AATTATTACTTTCTACTTAAAGTATAAAATAATAATTAGTTTAATAGTTATAAAGATAATAAATAGATATATATATAGTTAAATAAAAAAATATAATATAGCTAAAGCTCTAACTGTGCGAAACGCGTCTATGATTATTGATCCCGGTGTGTGCCACGAGCAATTCAAGCGTCTCATGGGATGGGCCTTCAATTTATCGGCCAGAGAGGTGGAATCTCGCAGGAGGATTGAAGCTCAATCCTGGGCTCGAAGATTGCGTTCAAACTGTAGGCATGCCTTATGTGTAATGCTTCCAAGGTTCCGGTCAAAAAGGCGAACAGCTGACGGCAGTATTCCAACCTTGGAAGGTTGTCTCGAAAAGAAAAGCTCGATAATTCCGGCGCTCTCAGTTTAATATGGAAGTAACGAAGGGACACCTTTGGACAATATCCATATGGCGACGTCCAAGTCGGCCAAGTAAACTTTCTGTTCCCAAGATCTCAAAACCTTGGAAAGCAAGCGGTGGTATTGGCAGGCTTCACCAGCGTCACCGCTCCTTGCCATTAGATATTATTTGCGCTTAGGTGAGTGGTCCATGTTGGTATTTTGCAATCGATCCCGACGGCCCGTTTGCAATTTGCTATCTGCCAGCTGCAACAGCCAAGATTGACTCGAAACTGGAGACTTACTCATGGGCCAAGGTTCATCTAGCAACAAATGCAGGTCGAACACTTTCGCGGCATCCAAGGAATTGGGATGGACTTGGGATGGGCGGGATGGCCTGCAATGGGCTCGACTTACAAGGCTTGGCAACCCATGACGCTGAAACCCGAGCTGTCAAGCCAAAGCTTCGCCCAAGAGCGGAAACGGAATACGACCTTTGCATTGTATCGACAAGCATGCTGCCACGTCTGCACGCAGATCGGCAGATATGTTTACCGAGACCCAGATTCATATCCATCTCGCACAGCCACGTGTTGCCGTTGCCTTCCGTCCACAAGGATGTGGGGACAACTTGAAATGCTCACCCAAAGAGTGGTGAACAGATGCCGAGGAGCAGGAAGCCTTGGCCGCCTCAGACAAAATATTACGACTTGTGAGGGGGCGTACGCCGCTGAAGACGTAAGATTATTCCGCATCACCTTTCCCTGCCTTTCCGTCTAGCCCAACCTGATGCTTGCAATGCAGAATCCCCACTCAGCTGAGTCCTCAACGTGCATTCTTTTAACGGTGTTCGCCGCGGGCGAGCCTCAAGTGCTCACTCCATGGCCGATTTGAGTGACACTATGGCACCTCTGATACCTCTTTCAACAGCCCCGGCACTCACAAAACGAGCCTCAGATGCCCTCCCTCCCAGGCTCGAGGCACTTGAAGGCATAAGAAATGCTACTGCACGGTTGAACGGGCTCACACGAATGCCCGACGATCCGATGTTGCAAACGAAAGCGGACGATAACACTCGTGAAGACTCGGGCGGGCTGGAACCCAAAGTTAGCCCGAGGACGACCACAATAACCTTGCAAATATTTGGTACGAATGTTTTCAGCCTCTAGTCTTAATTTTGGTGAGCGTCAGTTGGTCACAGGACTTATTTAACACGGGATTTTAGTGATTGCATTGGTCGCTATTGGGGGTGCATCTTTAATATGGTGGCAAAGAACACGGCGATCAGCGCGCCGGGCACAGGCACATGGACGCCAGGGAAGAGGTGACAGAAACCTGTTATCGAAGACCGGCCGTCGAGTGAAACTGTTCGGAGCAAGGGAACATAGCTCAAGGCCGCACGGGTCGATTTTGAACTCGACACCAGCCCACAAGCTCGACATCGATGAGCAGCCTCCGACACCGGTCCCGGAGCCCGTTTTGATCCGTGGGGATATCGAACCTCCCAAGTGGTTACCAGAGCTCCCTTCTCATCAAGAGATTGACCTCCATAACTCTGTGGCTACTGCACCACCACAACCTCAACCCAATCTTCTGCAACAGAGACTGCACCAAAATCTTGCAGCACAAGGAGTTGACGGCCCACTCTCCCTGCCGCTGCGTGCTCTACTCACAAGACAATCGACGATGTCCTCAAGTTACGCTGAATCAATGATGAGCTCAGCCCCATCATCACGATCATCCACCATTGTCTATGCCTCGCCACTAAGACCTCGTCCTGTCACACGGAATGCTCCGCGATAAAGGGCTCAACCCTTCCCTTTCAAAGAAAGAGTCAATCCTAGATACACATTCCGCTAAGGGCCGGGCCTTGACTTGGGAATGGCATTGAACAGGTAACTGAAAACGCCGGGAATGACCCCACAGACATGGCATTTTCAGCCAGGTTCGGTGGCACTGCGCCGTGAAATCCAGCTGCTGTTCTTCCACTCCAATGGCCTGTTTGCCAAGTTGCCGTGATGCCACCGCCTACCTCCTTGAACTTCTCAGCAACATAAACTATTTGCCAAGTAGTTATGATCCGCGTTTGGACAAATGCGCATTTGCGCACATCGACGTGAGAGGGCCAACCTTCTTAGAAAGGTCTTTTTCCTAGAGTTTCTCGCTTGGACTTTTCGATCGACGCATCACAACCCACTGTCAAGGCTGTAATCAAATTCTTGGCATTAGCCCATCTATCTTCAATCTTGCTAGTTCCATATACCCCGTGCAGTCTCTCGCAGATCAAATAACTATGACTTTGGGCTGCATCTAACCTTGCTCGCCACAGCTGACCACCCAATCCGAAGCCGACTGTTCCCTACAGCTCCAGGTGAAACAGGCAGCCAAAGACATGAGCGGTCTGCGCAAGGACCATATCCAAGGGTGGTTAGTTGCCATAATGGGATTCAGCCAACCCCCTAATTTGACCTACCAGAACTAGCCGAGGAGGATACCTGAACTAGGGAAGTTGTTCACCTGCTTGATTGTCTAGTCGCCGCAAAAGAGTTGGGCAACATTCTAGCGAAACGTCTCGGCGAACTCATATGCGGAGGGAGGGATAAGTGTTAGACCCTCCAAGTTAGCATAATCTGTGAAACTACTCTCCACGTTAATATTATCTAATAGGAGGTTATCTAATAGGAGGTTATCTAATAGAAGGGTATCTTATAGGAGGTTATTTAATAAAAGGGTATCTTATAGAAGGTTATCTAATAAAAGGTTATCTAATAAAAGGTTATCTAATAAAAGGTTATTTAATAAAAGGTTTTTTAATAAAAGGTTATTTAATAAAAGGTTATCTTATAAAAGAATATTTAATAGGAGTTAATATAATAGAATATTATTTAATAGAATAATATTTTATTAAAAGTTATTTAATAAAGAGTCTTATAAAAAAGTAATAAAAATAATAAAGTAAAAGTTATTTAATAAAGAATTATTTTATATTTTATATTTTATTTATATTCTTTATAAATAATACTTTTATTTATTATAATATATATAAAGTTTATTAAAATATATAAAATTAATTAATTAAATAATATAATTAAAAACTTTTAATATAAATAATAATAAACTTTAATTATTTTATATATTATTTTTAATATAAAGTTAAAATATTTATAATTATAATTACTTAATTAATTTATATTTAATTATTTTATTATATTATAATTTAATTTAACTTTTAATTTAATTTATATTTTTAAAATATTATAAAACTTTTAAATTTAAGTTTAAAACTTTTATAAATTTTAATATATTTTAAAGTAAATTTATAATTTACTAAGTTTTTAAAATATGTTAATTATTTTAAATACTAATAACTTTTATTTTAAAATAAAGATTTATTTTTATATAATTATAAATTTAAATATTATATATAATAATAAAATATAATTATTTTATTTAATTATATTTTAATTTAATAATATAATAAATTAAATGATTATTTTTATATAATTTTATTTATAAAATTAGTAAATAAATATTTATTTAAATAAAATTAAAAGAATGAAAAATTCATTATATATTTTAATTTTTAAAACTTTAATTATTTATTTTTAATTTAATAATAAAATTAAAATAATATAAATAATTTATATATATATATAAATTTTAATTAAAAATTAAAAATTATATTATTATAATATTATTTTTATATATATTTAAATTATTAATTAAATAATAATAGTAAATAATATATAAATAAAATTATTATTAAAATTAATAAAATAATATAAATATTTTAATAATTATAAATTTATTAATATAATTAAATATTTAAACTTTAAATAAAAGTGTTTAATTATTTTAACTTTTATATTAATTAATAATTATTAATACTTTAATATAATTAATAATAAATATAATACTTTTTAAGAAACTTTTAATTTTATAATTTAAATAATATTAAACTATTAATAAAAATTATTAAAGTAAATAAATATTATATATTTAAATATTTAAATAAATTAACTTATATATAAATTAATATTAACTACCTTTATACTTAAGATATAGCTAGATAGTAAGTAGGTTAGCCTTATAAATAAAATATAGATACTAGTACACCTAGAAGTCTTATAACTATATTATAGCTTCTCCTTAAGTTAATAGGGGCCTTTGGATGTCAACTAATTGACTTGTGTATCTTGGCATGTTTGGTGAAGATGTCCATGCAGTCATTACCTACAAATCTAGAGGATGTTCAATCCCAATTTCTTAAAGGCTTCCAGGCCCCTCTTCAGATCCTCAATTTCATCATCAGCCAGTTGGTTGCTTCTTGAGGCTTAATTCCTTCTAGAATGCTAGTAACTTAGAACCACTTCTTGCATTAGGAACTTGGGACCGCCAGGAGAGGTTCACAGGTCAATGATTCGTTCACGAGACCGCCGAGACAAGACGAGAGCACATACTTGACTGCTGTGCTCCCCGAAATACCTGCCCTCAATGAGACAGGCTGATTAGATCTGTCCATCTTGGATATGAGTACCTAGGCATGCCCCAGCATTGTCTATAGGCGCAGTCATGGTAGGAAGCACTAGTACCGTCGACCCACAAATCCTGAGGTTGAGGGCGAGAGGAAAGAATGTGCTTTACTCCTAGAAATGAACGCAGTGGTGTTTGCTTCAACCAGGCACAAACAAGTATTTGGCCGGGATGTCTCATTTTGGCCCCCATTGCACGTCTCCAGCTTTGCCAGGGAGTCACGACTTAACTGTGATGCTTCAGAAACTCCAATACCTTGCCCGAAACAATATAGTGCGCTTCCTCGGGAAGGTAATGCCCGATTCCGTCCCCAAGTGCAACTGGTTCATACCAAGTCCCAGGCTCAATCCAATCTCTCCAGATCTTTGCCACATCCATCTTGGCCCCAAGATTGTGCTGGGAGAACATGACCAAGGTTGGAACATCAATCTTTGCGCCTGCCTTCTGATCATCCTCCTGCTTCTTATATTCCGGTGCAGCCCCGGCAGCGTAGTCTTCACAGGTATGTCGTAGCGTCTCTTCCTCGTCAAACAGCTCCGCGTGGACCTCAAGCGCCCCGTCCGACTGAATGCTGGCTAGCCCTTCCTCACTGCCGGCCAGTCTGAGATGCCCATTTCGGCACCACTGCGCTCCGCCGTACGCCTTGATCATCTGGACAGCCACCTCGACGTTGGCAAGCAGTGGCCAGTGGAAGTACCCCGTCGCAACAGACGGGTTCGAGAAGTTATCCCATTGGACTTTCGTAGGTACAATGTCCATTAGAATCGCCCCAATAATCTGGAGCGCTTGATTAGCAAGTCGGCGGTGGATCGCCTAGGATCAGTCTCAATATTTACCTCTACAAAGGGAAAATCGGTTTTTGAGACCGCCAAGCGATGACAAATACGCGCCCCACGGTCATGTCCGCCGAGAATGAGACGCCGAGGTGGGCCCTCAGAGAGTTTGAAAACGAATTGGAGGGCCTCGAGGAGTGCACCGCCTACGTCTCTCGGTGCACTGGTCTTTGACGGGCTGCTGATGCCGTAACCCGGAAGCTCCGGTATGAAGAGTGAAACCTCCTTGTGGAGCTTCGGGACGACGTGGCGCCAGCTGCGAGGGGCTCCGGTCAGCTGTCTGTGTCTGCAAATCCGGTCGCTCGCGGCAACTTACATAAGGGAGGATTGAGGGTATCCGTGTACGAGGATCAAGATCGGGCCGTCACTGCCTAGGTCTGAGGCGTAGCTCACCACCTTGGATCCGCTCGTCGTGTTGGTTGCCTGCTTGCGCAGGTCCGGGTAGAAGTTTTTTGACTTGGCAGACATCTCTTTTGCTGCCCCAGTTGCTTGCTCTTGTCTCTGGGGATAGATTGCTTCGAAGGAGAAAATCTAGTCAATCAGCAGATCATTGAAGGGATAACATTATGAGTTCAAGAAGGGGTGGCCGTTTGTCCATATGAGAGACTGGGAGCTTAGCAATCTGATGTCATCTGCCGAGTGGAGGAACAGCTCGCGCGCCCTTCGGCAGCACAAGGCCGGCCCGTTTGGGAACTCGGCCGACTTCGGCTCCCATGAACTACTAGGTACCTGGGGAGAGAGGATTAGGCAGTCATGAAGCGAACCGAGGTGGGGGACAAACATGTTGATAACAAAACTCACTGCCCAGTACCTAAGGCGCTGAAGAGCTGCCCATTGCAGAAAGGAGTCAGCCCAACCCAGACGGCAAGGTCGAGCTTCTATTGGTGGCCTCAGGCAAGTCCCAATAAGGATTGCGAGAATCATACCTTAAGGTGCCGTCATACCAAGATGTCCTCACATAACAGCATGTAAGGCTATTTGTCTTTGGACACGCATCTATCAGACCGACCTTCTGTCCTGTGCTCACCTCGTTTGTTGTTTGCATGATCTATTGTTCTCACAAGATCTTTCCGTGTCTGAGAAATCCGGACTATGATTTTAAAGACCCTTCTGAACTCTTGCTTACCTAGGTAACTTGTGATTACTGCTACCAGAGATATTGGGGGATAAAAATATATAGTAATTCTTCTGCTCCCCAAGCCTTCTGTACCTATCAGAGCATTGAAGAGAGGGAGGGCTCAAACTCTCAGACTCGCCGGCGGTGTTGCTAAGAGATGGGGATGTAGGTTAAGGGCAGCACCTAGAGGAGCCCCTGTACATCTTATCATGTACCTAGGTAGGCGTCGAAAATTCATATTTGAATCAACAGCTATCCAAATACACCATCAGCCTGCTGCTGCGTATTGGAACCAAGGCTCTCGGCCATCCAACAGCACCTGGGCAGATGACTTTTCTCCTTCATCTCCCTCCAATCATTTTTATGAATTCTCAGAAACATCATGCTTCATTGTTAATATCACACCTTAGACCATATCAGTGATTTCTACAACATCCGAAGTTGGTCACCAGCTTGCAAAACCTGCTCACCCCTACCTGGCTGATTCCTTCCACACTCACTGAAGTTTCCAAAATCACAAGCCTAACAAGCCTGCTCATCTGCTTGCCTTCTCCCACCTCATCAACTGCTACTGGCAGTACCACTAGCGGACCTCTCCCTTTCTCGCCAGCTATGACCCCATCTGTAGCGGTAGCACTCCCCAGTCCTTGTCGGTACACACACTGGCTCTTCCAGTTGCCATCAACAACTCTTTCGATATCAATGACTACCAATTATCCGGTTGCTTCATCTTTGCTCACCACCTGCAACCTCATTCTCATCTTACTGACATCATCAGGACATCTTCCTCTTGCCACCTTGGTAACTCTATCTTCTCTTCTCATTGACAGCCACACAAGACCCTAATCTTATCCTCCTTCCGTTGCAAAGTGGCCATCACAACCCACTGTTTGGACAAGACTACCTGTCTTTGACAACTGCAGCTCAGCGTCCCCCCCTATCTCCTCCTATTGGTCACCTGAACCCATCCCAGGGCACTGACCTCATACTGAACAGAGTTGAGACTCTTCATCATTTCGAACCCTGGACGCACCTAGGCAAATAGACGAATGGCCTCTCTTTGACGACCGTCATTCTGTCTGCTCTGCTCTTAAACAGAATCGTTCCGCTCGTATCGACTGGGTGTCAGATTTTACTCACTCAAGCATCCCAAAAATCTGGCCAACCTACCCAAGTCAGCCGAATACTGCTCACCTAGCGTCAAACAGTCAAATCGTACCCGGAAGCTTTGAACCCCCGGTCCACCCAACATTATCAGGCTAGACTTGCCCGGCCGTTGGCCGCTGATTCATCATTTCGGGTAATAGGTACATGATATCTGACGTCCCCAGATCTTATCTGATTCACCAGTTGTGGTTCCACTGACGCTGCAGCTTGGCTAATCATCCCGCCTTCGGTAGACAGCCACGAATTTCAAGAAACAAGGAAATTGACCCACAGAGACTGATATCCACCTACACCTCATAGGGTTGGAATGTTGACATAACGTTCAAAACAATTTCTGTCAACTCACTTCTGGTGAAAGACCCAAAAGCTTGCCCCGTGCACTTTCAGAGAGAGCCTCATCGCCGAGCATACTCAAAGGCCAGAAAGCTTAGAGCATCCTCCTGCTTTCTCGGAGGTTCTTAGGCAAGGTCTTGCACATCTAGGCCACTTTCTGTGACCTATCTGGATTTCCACCCTCACATTACGAACCATATCATCAACACATTCCTACCATTCATTCCATGTGGATTCATCTGGCTTCCGAATCAGCCATTTCACAATACCACACAGCCTTCGGCCTTTACCTTCGAGTACCATCCAGGAACACAATCAACCAAACACTTCCCAAGGGGCGTCGAGAATCATAACGGTCTATCCGCCGGTTTCGACCGAGAGTTTCCACACTTGCGAAGCCACTCAGACAAATGTGAGCTTTTTTGCCTGCTTCACCCCCTGCCAGTGATGATTTCAAAACTTGGAAATGCCTGGTATCTAGTGGTAGCATACAAAAATAACTGACTACTACCCTAGGATACATCGCAGGAGCATCTGGTTTGACACCGAATAAAAACCTTGCGGCTGGGTTTTGAGACAATTGTGCACAAGCTTGAGATTGATCTCATCCTCGGTCCTCATACACCTGGAACTCAAGATACTGATTCGGATCCCAAACTGAGTGACTTCACTCACACGTAAGCTCAATCAGCAAACTAACATTTCCCATCGACTTCAGCACTAAGAGATTGATATTCCAACTCCACTCCACCTCCACCAACGGATTTGGGCCAATTACAGACGGACTCAACTTCAATTGCTTGTCTATTTTCAACAGCAGACATCTCTGCCTGAAGCTTGCTTCACTACCACCCAGACCAAACCACTGAACTTCCGGCAGAGATCACAAGGTACTGGCGTTTCGAGTCACGCATGGAGAATCCAAGCTATTCATAATCAAAAATAGCTTGCAGCATCTTTGCTCTTCTCCAGAATTGCAACATTGCCTCGCCTTTCCATATCAGTATTCGGTATCCACGCTCTCCATTCACTCGAGGGAATGTGATTTGGCTCGGTGGTTTGATAAATACCTCCCTGCAACTGATAGCGGAGGCCAGGATAAAATTGCTGAATTGAAGCGGTTCAGTCTTCCAGGCCCAGGAGTTGAGGTACAAGAATCAGGGAGTATCGTTCAGAGAGGGGAAACCTTTCAGCTACCGTCATTGTCGGAGCTAGCGTTCATCCGAAATTTCTATTGCGCTTAGAGGAGCTCAACTTTAGGGTTCAGTTTTCTAAAGCTGCTTCTCCCAGCCAAAGCTGTCAGCTGTCCCCGCCCTTTCACCAAAACGGGGAAAAGATTCAACGCGTCCCGTTTGTCTGCTTCCAGGCCACTAATCAGACTCTCCCCCAATCATCTCAACCCTCGACGAAGCCTTTCAGCAAGGTCATCAGAGAAGAGCCCATGATACAAGACAAAATGGCTTCCAGAATCTACCTGACCCTGAGGGAGACGACGGTCATGGTCGCTCGGCCAGCGACTTACCAGGATCTCTTGAAGGAGATCAGATTCCGCTTCCCAAATGTTGCGGCTGTAGACAGCCTCGTGGTACTTTTCCAGCCTACGCCCAATGACGGCCCGCTCGAGAATTGGGTGCAGGTGGCACCAAGCGCGTACGGCCATGTCCACGACAGCGCTGAGCTGTTCATCAACGTAGCTCATCCCCTTACCAAGGAATACATCCTGCCCTTGCCTGGTCGATCGGTGCCTAACCCCCAACTCAACAAACGTGTCCGACGAACAGATGGCCACGGAAAGCATGTTGGGGTCGAGCCTGGCAACCGAAACTTCGCGACGGAAAACGTCCAGGTGAGCAAGACAAGACACAGAGAGGTCTCCAGTGGGCCTAGAGGGGCTTCACAAGCCTTCGATAATTTCTCGATGAGCCTTGAGCTGGAGCGTCCTAGTGGTGATGCGTTCGCAAGCGGGTGGGGCGGCGCGTCCGAACGTTTTCGACGCTCAACAAAGCTTGTGCCCGACCTCATGGACTGCAAGGAGGCAGTCGGGCAGAGTGTCGGACAGTCAAACTTTTATCCAGCGGACGAGGAGGAAGGGATTGCTAACATCAAGCTGGGCGTGTACCAGGGGCGATACCGGGAGCAGTATCGGGGACAGTACCAGGGCCAGCCACCTACGGACGCGGGCTGGTACACCGATGGCGAGCACACCCAGATGGACCTGGATCGAGGCCAAGTCGAGGCCCAGCATCTCGCTGGTGGCCTCACAGAAGACCAGCTTGAGGGTGAGCAAGGTCCACAATTCTATTCCGACGGTGGCAACCGTAATTGGTTTGCTGCTTCCTCCTCCCCTCAGAATAATCCTGGAGCCTTGCCGGCAAGCCATAGAGGTTCTGAGATGCCCACAAGTCCAGAGTGGGGACACCACACCACAGCAGGATGGCGATGGGAAGGTTACAGGACTCCCTCTCCTGGACAATGGGACCCTTACCAAGGAGGATACAATTTTCCGGACCATGTGCCGAGCCGTTCTTGCTCTCCAGCTGATACTAGAGCTTGGAATCAGGAGGTCAATCCGGGTGGATGGAATGGCTATGATTCTGACCAGGGGTCTTCTCGTATAGTTGCAGGTTGGAGCCACCATCCTGAGGTTGGCCACCTCACCAGCGGCATCCATGCCAATGGCGCCTACACCAACGGAGTTACCACCAACGGTAGCTTGACCAATGGTGACGGCCAGCACTACGGGGCCAGAGAGTGGAGTCCCCGGCACCACCAGTCTGATACCCAATACTGGCGTCAGGATCTTCATGAAGAACCTGCTTCCAAGGCAAATGCTGGGCCGCATCCCCGTCGTGACCCTACCGAGGTTACCTATGGCTCCCCGAGACCAAGGATCCAAGGAAGCAACTCCGGATGGACCACTATAGGCCGAAAGAAGAATACCTGGACTGACATACCCTTACAGGAGGAGAGCGATCCAGAGCGGGCGCAGCCCAATGACAACGGCAACAACCATGCATGGGATGCACAGGCACCACAACAGAACTTCTTCCAAGGGATGACCAGTCTCGGGAGAGGCCCAGGCCATAGGTACGGTGGGGACGATACTAACGGATCCCAACAGGAGCAGAGACCCGGACGAGAGATAAGCTGGGGCTCGGACTTCTGGGGTGGACCGCCGCTCAACAGAAACCAGAGGGGCGCCTTCACGCACGATGACACGCCGGCATCTAAGCACTGGCGGTGATCCTTTCCTCTCTTCGAACCTTGTTGAGTCGACGCCTCGGACTCTCTCGAGCCAGGGTGATTCAGGGATCTCGGAGTTTGGGACCAACATGGATTTTGGTCCCTCCAACCATCACCAGCTCTATTTCCGTCTGTCGGCACTCAAATATTATTCTTATGGCTCCGATCGCCCCCCTTCTCTTATGTCAACCGCACAATTAATTCGATCGGAGTGCCGAAATATAATCATACCACACTCTAGGATGCCCCGGAAAGGGGGCCGAGCAGGCCAACCAAGCCTGCGAGGGCTCCAGGGGGCATATCACATTCTCGTGGAGATGGCTTCGGCAGCATTCATAATGCCGTCAGCCACAAGCCACTCGTTGGCCGTCACGAAAAGTCCTTCGCTCTACTTCCAATGCATGACAAAAACTCCGCATTTCCATTAGGAAGCACTTCAATGTGCTCTAAGCAGAACAAAATCAAACGTGATGAGTTGTGAATAATGCTGGATTTACATTTCCAGTTCTTCTCGCCATGAGTGACCGCTTGTGAGAGGTTTCATCATGATTGTTCTAGCATGTGCTAAAAAAGAAAAGTGAATTGTGGAATTTGTTGTATTCCGAACAGGCGCGGATCATCGAGACTCCGACCTTCACCAAGCATGCTCCTACAAGATTTATCATAACTTACCCCAAGTATCCATCCTCTCCCATTCCATCGCATCCAACCATTTCATAAAGTCCGAGTCCTGGCCCATACTAATTGGGGGCTCTGCACCAAAGCCGACATTCATACCCATAGAGAAACTCATATCCGGCAGGCCCATGACCATCCCATTCAATGACCCCAAGGTGTTTATAGGCGCACCATCCATTTCCATCATGGGAAGCACCCCTTGCGTCTGCTGGTGTGGCTGCAGCTGCTGCTCCTGCGCGTGGTTGCAGACGCTACCGCTGGTTGTCCTCTGAAGCGCCATCTGGGGCGGGCCAGGGCTGAGGATCCTGTCCAGGATCTTGGTGATAACCCTCTTCCCTTGCTCGCATACGCTGTAGCACCCGTCCGTGGGCTGAATGGACCCAAGTCGGGAGGCGAAAATGGCGAGGTCCTGAATGGTCTGGCTTCGAGGGAGCAGCGGCCGGTCTGGATACTGGGGGAGCATCTCCTGCTTGAGCAGCTCGATGGCCACGATGGCTGCGCTCCGAAGGCCGTGGCACGCTAGTGGTGAAGTTAGTCCTGCTACGGGTCCTAAAGTGTTGTATTCTAGATCATTCCAAAACATGAAAGACGGGGATCCGTAAGAGGTGAAAAGTGATACTGACCGAGGATGAAGCTGAAGCTGGTCTTGAACATTGTCGCGATGTCGTGGCGGACTGTGATCTGCAGGACGTCCTTGAAGATGTCCAGCGCGGTCGCTATCAGCTTCTCGGGCGTCGCTCCCGTTTTGCGGATCAGGACTGGACATCGTGTGTGAGCATGATTGTTTCTCCCGATTTGCAAGTGCGTTGGGTATGTGCTCACCTCGCTGTAGCAAAAGCTCGTTCGAGCGCCGGCCATTACGCAAGACGATGATATGTAGGGCCTGTAGCGGCTTAGTGGCCGAGGCATCGGTGAAGTCGAAGGGACCCATGGAAGGCATAGCCAGGAAGTCTGGCAACGACGACCAGTGCGCATCGTGCTTCTCTTGTATTGTCTTTGCACGAGCAAGGACTTCGTCGCGTGTGTAGTGGCCCAAGGCAAGATCAATCACATCCTCGCGGCGCATAGCACAATTCGCATCTGTTCGGAGTCAATGACCGAATTGGATTTCAGCGAGAAAGGAACTCACAAGCACGAGTCAGCCCGGCATATTGCAAGTTTCCGGCTGTGTTGTACCCATCTTTGTCGAGGGACGCGAGCGTAGCTTCGAGCTCAGGGCGCGCTTGTATGCTTCCCAACATGTCTGGTCAGCAGCTTATTGACGAGAAGTCAAGGGCGTCTTGGAAGATGCGGGTGTGGGACTTACAGTTGCCTCTCTGTCAAATCCAAGGGTGGCTCGATTGTACAGTAACGATACGACAGTCGCGGCGGGCGCCCGAGGAATGAGGCAATACTTATCTCCTGGAAGTAGGAGCACATGAAGGCACGCTTGCGCATCTCGGCCAGGAAGAACGGCACCTTGTCGTCAGCTTTGCTGCCTTGATGCAGGCCCATTGCAATGGCTGCGCTATGCGCCTCCCCTGTCGCCCTATAGGCCGAGTAATCTCTGTCCCCCTTGACAGCACCCACAAGAGCCGAGTCCTCGCTCAAGAGCCAGACAAACAAATCGTCAAGAACTTCACAGTACCGACAGAATGCAAGGCAGTCCTCGGAGACCTGCTTCGTGGTGTTTATAAGGCATTGGCGTGTCACTTCACCTTCAACAAACAGCTGATCTGACTCAGATGTCTCAATGGCACAGAGGCCTATGTTTGCGGCAATCAATCCCAAGGTTTCCCAGCGGAGCCCCGGACCCGTGGCTAGACGTGCCCATTCCAAGGCGGTTGTTTTCCCGGTGAACACCAATGGGGTCAGGGTATTTCTCCATATCAACTCGCTGAGTTTCCGTATCTTGGCCGGCTCCTGGCTTGCGAGTGTGTCTCCGTGGTCGACTACGAGCTTCAGCAGCCACTCCTTCATGATGGCCTCGATCACAATTCCTTGAGTGCCTTGGCAGACTTCGTACCACCGGGAGATAAAGCGGTGGATCATGGACCTGCGCCTGAAGAATGACAGAACCTTGCATCCCTGTGTTATCTTTTCATTGCTGATATGGATTCTTTGTTGCTGTGTGCTAATGGCGGCATCCAGGTCTGCAGAAACGGGCTCGAGAATGCACAAGCCTTCAGACAAGATGTTCGAATACGAGTTCGGGCCGAGGAAGCCTGCGTTCTTGCGGACCTCTGGAGCACGCTCATAATCCAACAAAGGTGCAGATGCTGCCCTATGAAATGGTTGGCACACAACATGGCCAGGGGCGGGAGTGGAGGTGTCGGAGTTGAACGGGGCTGTGGCGTTCAATGTCCATTCTTCCGAGATACCAGGTGACGAGGAGCTCGACTCGATAGACTGAGCGACAACGTGTGGACTGGCCTGGGAAGCCGATGATGAAGGAGTGGGGATGGCCCTTGGAGGAGTTCGAGTCCGGCCGGGGTGCTGCTGGCAGTGTCAGTCTCAATCACCAGCCAAGAGTGGGGCGAAAATAAGAAGGCAGATACAAACGCTTCTGCGCAGTGAACGGGCCTGTCTGCGGACTTGGGGCAGAAGCTGGTGGGTTTGTGGGCGATAGAGGGGAGAGGAATAGACATCTAACGAAAGGCGCATATCTAACCTGCGTGAGTGGGTTGGGGTGATAGAAGCATTGGTCGGTCCGCTGGCGCTTGACACAGCGCCCACAAGCCGGAACCACATCTTGAAGAGTTTAATTGTCAGTCAACGCATCATCGTGTCAAGCTTGAGGCGGCGTCATTTTTGTGTTTTTCGTGTCTCAAAGCCCATTGTGTCTCGGGATCTGGTTCCGTCTCGCGGAATCGGACAATACCCTCGAGCAGGTTCGAGATATATTCACCCTGGGGCATGTCCGGCGGTGGGTCGGAACTCACGATCACACCTGAGCTTGCTCTTGCGGCATGGCTCACAGGACTGCAGCTTCCCATTCCTCCTGTATTTCTCGGTCAGGCTTGAGCTGGAGCTACGGCCAGACGAGATGCCCTGAACGCCGGTATTGGCGAGTCGTGACATGTTGGGCGGATTACACGTTGCATGTGTCAGTACGAACTGAAAGCATCCAGCACAGATCAGGGGTTTCAAGCTCGGCAGGGTCTCAGAAACCCGCGTGTGTTGTGTGGATTTTGCCAATAGGGAATCCAGCGAGGCGGCCAGAAGGAGAATGGATAACGCGACGGTTGTCGGTATACCTAGGTACGGGCCTGTGAGAAGGGAGACGCACCGACTGAAGAGGACGTTGGGAGGCTCGGAGCTCGGAGTTCGCTGCAAAGTATTCCGCAGGACCCGGCAAGACGCCTGCTCTAACCACTTCAGGCTTGCCGAATCCTTCCCATGGTCGGAATCAAAAACGACTAGGCTTAGCTGCTGAGCTCCGGGCCAGATGAGTCAGGCACATGCACGCCTGGTGGCTTAGACGCGCAACGTTAGACCATTGCGTTGGTGCGTTGGACTCAGAATTCGTCATTTCGGAGTCAGACCGGTGGAGGTTGAGTAAGACGGACAAACATAACACCAGAGCTAAATCGGCAAGATCCAATGAGCAAAACATGCATTCCCTGCGCCCTTTGTGTAACCCCTAGGCGATCAGGCAGATATAATATGAAAACCTGCCAAGGAGACCGTGACGAGGCCGTACAGGCATACAATGTGTATGTATAAAGACTTTGCGACCGTCCGGCCCTGAGGCATCAAGTCATCCGAGTCTCCACAGTGCACTGATACTACCTGACATTTGAAGCCCAGTCTAGCTCCCCCTTGACTCCTCCTCCTCGACTCAATCACTTGACCAAGATGCCTTCCAAGCTCAACATCTTCTCCAAGAGCTCACGCTCCAAGTCTGGCAACGGCCGCACCAATTTCGAGAGGCTGCACGAGCCCCGCGGCTCCACGGAGTCCTCAACACCCTTGAACGAGTCCTTCAACCTTGCACAAGAGAAACAAAAGGCAAGGGAAGCCATGCGACAAAGACAAGCCGAGGAGTTCCTCTCAAAACAGGGCTACGTGAGTCTGCCATGGACAACTCGAAGCCACCGCCCAGCGCACTGACAGGTTGCTGACAGTCGGCCACCTTCCCTGGCTTTCCTCCCTACAGACAATGATGGCTCGAAATTCTGGAGCATTCAAGGGACCCATCTGAGAATGGAGCTGGTGTTTGATTTAGCTGCCAATCTAGTGGGCTCCGTTTGTGTCTTGTTGCTTTGGTCATGATATCCCTGGGCTGGCGTTTGACGATTGTTTTTTATCGGCCATGGCGTGGTAAAAGGATCTCTACAAGATGATCTGTCTGGAATGCGTCAAAACGGGGTCAGCTTACAAGCTGTGGAAAATTGGATTCATGGTGGTTATTGGCCAGGAACCTGTTTCTAAAGTGTCACCAGCAGATGTAAAAATCAACTATGTGTCTTGCTGTCATACATGCTGAGTGTTGCCTTGATAACAATACAAATGTTCAAAGAAGTCATCCTATTCTGCAAGTGAACCAACCTCAAGCATTAGACACCTGGCCTCATCCTCCCACAACACCAAGGATCCAACTCCAGAATGCAACTCCAGCGACAAGGCACTACCAACCATGGCAAACGCCATCATTCTCATCTATAGTTAGAACCCTTGGGGATTGACACTTCATCCCCAAGCCTGCCGACTACACAACCCTGATGGTCAATGCTTGAGCCAAGATTTGCAAGCTCAATGGATTCACAACATTCCAAGGTTGTCTTCCATTTCACACCAGAGAAGTACAATACTGAAATCCAGATTGACGACATCATGGTGCTTTCTATAAAGTACATGATGGTGTGGTTCTTTGCATTACCACCAATGGCTCTGTTCTAACTCAAAGTGCTCACCCTGATATTAAGGACCAAAACTCTAAGGTCCTAGCTTAGGGCCACACCTGTTCTTCAATAAAGAGAGAGGAAGTTTACACACCTAAATTTAAAAGCTATATACCCACTTATAACTAATTAAGTTTTCTTATATTTTTATATAATAAATTAATATCTATAAAAGTTTAATATTATAAATAAATTATTATTAATTATAATTAAAAGAAATTTATATAATTATATAAATTAAATATTATATATTTAATTAATTCTTTTAAATATAAAATTAAAAACTTATAATTATAAAATTTTAATTAATTTTTATTTAATTACTTTATTATATTATAATTTAATTTAATTTTTAATTTTACTTAAATTTTTAAAAGTTTATTTAATATTTTTAAGTAAATTAAATTTAAATTAAACCTTTTAAATTTAAGTTTAAAACTTTTATAAATTTTAATTTACTTTAAATTAAATTTATAATTCCTTAATCTTTTAAAATATATTAATTATTTTAAATAATAATAACTTTTCTTTAAAATAAAAATTATTTTTATATAATTATAAATTTAATTATTAATAATTATTTTTATTTTTATTTATAAATTATTAAAATTATAAATTTAAATATTATATATAATAATAAAGTGTAGTTATTTTATTTAATTATATTTTAATTTAATAATATAATAAGTTAAATAATTACTTTTACATAGTTTTATTTATAAAGTTAATAAATGAATATTTATTTAAATAAAGTTAAAACCTTTAAAAATAATAACTTTAATTTTTAATAAATTAATTTATATTAAAATTAATAATATTAATTTAAATTAATTAACTATAATTTAATATATTAATATAAAAATACATTTTTAATAATAAAGAATATTATAAATATAATAAATTATAAATTTATTATAAAATATTTTATATAATAAATTTAATTAAATTAATTTTAAAAATATATTATATTTTATTTTTAAAATTTTAATTATTTATTTTTAATTTAATAATAAACTTAAAAATATAAATAATTTATATTTAATTTATATATATATATATATATATATATATATATATTTATATATATTATAAATTTATTTTATTTTTAAATATAAAGTTAAAAACTTATAATTATAATTTTTAATTAAATTTTATTTAATTATTTTATTATATTATAACTTAATTTAACCTTTTAAATATAAGGTTAAAAGATTTATAATTATAATTTTATAATTAATTTTTATTTAATTATATTATATTATTATAATTTTATTTAATTTTTAATTTTATTTAAGCTTTTAAGTTTTTAACTTTGATATTTTTAAAGAAGTTAAAACTTTATATTTTTAATTTTAAGTTTAAAATTTTATAAATTTTAATATATTTTAAATTAAGTTTATAATTTTTAACTTTTTAAAAATATATTAACTATTTTAAATATTAATAACTTTTCTTTAAAGTAAAGGTTTATTTTTATATAATTATAAATTTAATTATTAATAGTTATTTTCTTTTATTTATAATAAAGCTATTAGAACTATAAACCTAGATATTATATATAATAATAGAGTATAATTACTTTATTTAGTTGTTTCTTAGTTTAATTAAGTAACTACTTTTAAGTAGTTTTACTTATAATATAGTGAAGCTAATAAATAGGTATTTATTTAAGTAGAGCTAGAACCCTTAAAGGAATAATAGCTTTATTTTTACTTATTTTAGCTAACTTATATTTATAGAAGGCTTAAGTTATATAACAACCTTATATATAGTGCTTAATAGCGTTAAGATTAGGTAGTTTATAGTCTATAATAGCTTTAACTTTTAATATATTAACTTAAATAAACTACGTATAGCCTAATATATTAATATAAAAAGGTATTTTTTAATAATAAATAGTATTATAAATAATTATAAAGTTATTATAAAAGTTTTATATAATAAACTTAGTTAAATTAATCTTTAAAAATATATTATATTTTATTCCTTTAAGATTTTAACTATTTATTTTTAGTTTAATAGTAGAACTAAAAAATATAAATAGTTTATAATTTAATCTAATTTTTAACTTTATTTAAACCTTTTTAAGTTTTTAATATTTTTCCTTTAAGGAAATTAAATTTAAAAAAGCTTTTAAATTTAAATTTAAGATTTCTATAAATTTTAATTTCCTTTAAATTAAGCTTATAATTTTAAAAATATATTAATTATTTTAAATATTAATAACTTCTTTTAAAGTAAAGGTTTACTTTTATATAGTTATAAACTTAATTATTAATAATTATTTCTTCTTTTATTTATAATAAAACTATTAAAATTATAAACTTAAATAATAAAGTATAATTACTTTATTTAAAGGTTATCTCTTAATTTAATAAGTTATATAATAAGTTAAGTAATTACTTTAAAGTAGTTTTACTTATAATATAATAAAGTTAATAAATAGATATTTATTTAAATAAAGTTAGAACCTTAATTAGGAAAATAGTAGCTTTAGTTTTATTTATTTTAATTAACTTATATTTATTTAAATTATATAATAATCTTATATATAATACTTAATAATATTAAAATTAACCTATAGTTTATAATAACTTTAACTTTTAATAAATTAAATATAGCTTAATATATTAATATAAAAAGATATTTTTAATAATAAATAGTATTATAAATATAATAGATTAATAAGTTATTATAAAAGTTTTATATAATAAATTTAATTAAATTAATCTTTAAAAGAAATATTATATTTTATTTTTAAAACTTTAACTATTTATTTTTAACTTTATAATAAAATTAAAAATATAAATAGTTTATAAATTTATTTTAAAGTATATTAAAATTTATAAAAGTTTAAGATTTAAATATAAATCTTTTAATTTAAAAATTATATTTATAAATAAAAATATTTTTAAAATTTAAAAACTTATATTAAATTAAATTAAATTATAATAAAAACTAAATAAATAAAAACTAATTTTAAAATTATAATTATATATTTTTAATTATATATTTTAAAAAAATAAAATTAATTATAATAAATAATAAAATTAAAAAATAATATATATTATTAAAGTTATATTTAAAGTAATTTAAATATATAATTTAATATTATCCTTTAAGATATTACTTAAGCTTTATAATATAAAGACTTAAAGTTTATATTAAATAGAGTGGATTTAAAGAGTAGGGTTACTTAAGGAAGAAAGGAAGGTTACCCTTTAGGCTTTAAGGTGAGAGGTAATGGTATGGCAGCCTTATCGATAAGGGGACCTGTAGGAACCCCTGTGGGGCCCACCTACCACCCTTGACCCCTGGCCCTAACTTCCTTCTAACAAACCTTGGGGTGTAAATGTGAGTTTCCGGCCGTCAATGTGGCCAAGAAAATCTAGGCTTGGATCGGCAGTTGTAACAGAGGTCTCCGCGAATATCTAGCACATGCTATCTAGCCGAAGCAAACCCGAGAAGACCTGCAGAACAGAATGCTTATCACACATCTTCCTCTGCTTATCTTTTGAAGTAACATGGCTTGCCGGTTGTACAGTCTCGCTAACCCCACTGGTGATTCCTCAAAGATGTCATCAGCTTTGATAAGGTGCTTGGGGATAATTTCTGTAAAGCATAACCGGACCCTACATACATATGTATGTAGTCGGTGACCATTCCCATCACGCAATTCTGAATCATTTACCCCTCCCCAAGCTGCATTCCATGTTCGAGAGTAGTCCCTGCGTTTTCTCTCATGTGGCCTGAGGAACATCTATGGTAATATGATACAGAGAAAGCCGCATAATTCACACAAAAATTCTAGCCCTTCAAGTTCGTATACTTCAGCGTGTTCTGGCCGCCTACAAGCCGCACCCAAAACCAGGGCACATACCCAGGCATCTCTTATTTGTGCACACCCTACCCTTTGAATTCTTTGTTTACCAAACCCCTTCCTTCGTGGCCTATTCTTGCCATTATGGCCGACGAAAATGGAGTGCTCGTCTTGAGTCAAGGGGTAGGATATGGCATCGTGGTCGGCATCGGAGCCTTCTTTGCCCTCATGATGTAAGTGCACAACAAGCATGATGAAACAAGTACCTTCAAAGTTGCTGGACAAGACACTAACGTTCTTGAACAGGTTGGCTATAACCTACCTTCAGAATCGCTACACCACTTACTCCACCAAACAGTCTGAAGAGTTCAACACCGCATCGCGAAGCGTCAAACCGGGGCTAATCGCAGCGGGTATCGTCAGCTCGTGGACATGGAGCTCGACACTTCTCACGTCCAGCACCTTTGCTTACTCGTACGGAATAGGTGGCCCAATGTGGTACGCCGCAATGGGATCATCACAGATCCTCCTTTTCTCGTTGATTGCCATAAAGATCAAGACCAACGCCCCCGGCGCTCATACCTTCCCGGAGATCATCCTTGCGCACCATGGACGCTTAAACCATGTCACTTACCTATTCTTCGCGTTCGCAACCAACCTCCTGGTGGGATCCTGCCTCGTCTTGGGAGGCAGCCAGGTCGTCGGCGCTCTGTCGGGCGTTAATGTCTATGGGGCCTGCTTCCTTATCCCGCTGGTCGTCGCGGCATATGTCATCGCCGGAGGCCTCAGGAGTACATTCATTGCCGACTACGCGCACACGGTGATCGTTTTCGTGGCAATTCTTACCTTCGGGTTCAGCATGTACGCGACGAGTGCGACGGTCGGGAGCATTGACAAATTCTATGACTTGCTCCTTGAGGCCGGCAGGAACATGCCGATCTCGGGAAATGCTCACAACGGATCGTACTTGACCTTCAAGTCGGATGATGGACTCGTTTTCGCAATCGACTTGCTCGTTGCAGGGTTTTGCACAGTCTGGTTGGACCAGGCCTACTGGCAACGCGCGATCGCCTCGCGACCCGAGACATCGGTGAAAGCATATTTGTTTGGCGGGATCGCATGGTATGGCATCCCATTTGGATTCGCCACAGCCATGGGACTCGGCTGCGCAGCATTGACATCCAACCCCTCGTTTCCAACATATCCCAACCCGCTCTCGGCTGCGCAGAATGGCAGTGGTCTTTCCGCCCCTTCGGCGGCTATTGCGTTGATGGGCAAGGGGGGAGCGGGACTTCTGCTCCTCCTGCTGTTCATGGCCGTCACGAGTGCGACGAGCGCCGAGTTGATTGCAGTATCGAGCCTTGTTACGTTTGACCTGTTCAAAACGTACATAAAGCCGGCCGCGACTTCTGATGAGCTCGTACGAATAAGTCATTATGGGATCATTGCTTTCTCCATAATTCTGGCCTCATTCTGCTGCGTACTGAACGCTGTTGACATCAACCTGACCTGGGTGCTTACGGTCCTGGGCGTGATTGTAGGTGGTGCCTCTATACCGGTTGGATTGATCCTACTATGGGAGCCAATGTCGTCTGTAGCAGCCTTGCTCTCGCCATTGATTGGAACCGCGCTGGGTCTAGTTGCTTGGTTCGTCGTGACCAGGCTCCGCAGTGGGAGTATTTCGGTAGAAACGACGGGCGATGTCACGAACGCCGTTGCTGGAAACGTCACCTCGTGTTGCACCGGTGTCATCATGGCGTTCGTGTTGACATGCCTCTTCCCATCGAAATGGGGAGCGACGGAAGCCCGAAGCGACCTTCTGGCAAAGATCAGACTAGACAAGATCCTGCATGGTGTTCCCACTGGTTCGACACAAGACGGAAGAGCTCCCGGAAATCGTGCTGAATCGGACTTGGAAAAGGCCGTCAAAGGCCCAATTACACCCCAGGAGGAGAGTGGCACACCTCATACTGCCTCGGACCCGACACCGGAACCGGTTGCTCCCACGGGGAACGCGATCGTGGATTTCCTCGAGGCTTCGTATTCACAGCCTATGGATCCTCAACAAGCCAGGGCCGCAACAAGGCTTGCTTATGGATTCAATATTGCATACTGGGCTGTAGCAATGATTCTGGTTCCATTTACATTTTTCGGCACCGGGTGGGAGATGACACGAGCGGGTTTCAAGGGATGGTGTGTTGTGTCTTTCATGTGGGTATGGTTCAGTGCGCTAATATGTGTAATGTGGCCAATTTGGGAGAGTCGAGAAACAATGTGGGCAATTGTCAAGGGCATATCGCACGATGCTCGTGGCAAGGGGAAGGCATGAAAGGCGTGCAGTGCTCACAGTTCGTCAACTCCGAGAGGGCTCTTAGTACCGAGGATTTCCTCGATACCCTCCCCGCCTGAGTGTGTCTGTAAAAGTCATCACGGAGCAATGTTATCAGAGAGGTTGGGTAAGATCTGACTGGCCGCGGGTGCGTGACTTGCTTCCAAGTTGCCTAGGGCCGGAGTTTAGCCTGGCGCACGATAATGTCCTGCTCAACCCCTCTCTGACGTCTCCCCAGCTCCCCAAGCTTTGGTTTGTGTCTTGTGAGTCCACGCTTCTTAGCATGCGCTTGTTGCTCAATATTCAGCATCCAGTTCTTTCTGTCCGCCATAATCGACCAAAATGACTTCACCAGAACGCAATGGGCTCTTACAAGAGCAGGCTCAGGGAAACCCGCCCGCCGACAACTCCGATGAAGGGCCGTTCACCCTTCTAGTCTTTCCATTCTCGCTCTATTCCATCATGGCACGATTTGCCATCGAACTTGGAAAAGAATACCACCGAGGGGCCAAGGGATTGCCCAAGATCATCCTCAAGCTCCTCAATCTTCACCGAGACGAGAATCTCTCAGAGTGGTTTCTCACTGAGATCAACCCGAATGGTCAGGTGCCCGTCATGACCCGCGAACGCCGAAACGGGTCGACGAAGCCACAACTTGAAATTACACCGGAGAGCACGGCGATTTCAAAATTCTTCGCAGAGCGCTTCTTTCCGGGCTTGCTCGGAGGCTCGCATAAAGGAGAAATTGACAGGCTGTTAGGACAACTGCACCAGATACAAGCTTTCTCGTTGAGCATCAAAAGCCCTACAGAGGAGCAGGCGGTAGAAGTACCAGACCCAGGCCTCAACGAGCTGCTCGCCAGAACAAGGATATCTGATAAATATCGGCGAGCACTCGAGTATAAAAAGGAACAGTAAGTAGGACGATTCGATGCTTGCACGTATCCCAAGGTCTGTGTGGTTAATAGCGACAGCTACGACAACAATTTGGCCTTCGCATTGCGCCCAGAGAACATTGCAAAGGCAAAAGCCCAAGCCGCCGAGCTTTTCGAAGAACTTCTGCACCTCTATAGGCAACACCACTCGAGCCCGGCCGCGGAGCAAGAGCAAGACATCTGGCTGTTCGGAGCCGCCACTGGCCCAACCATTCTGGACGCACACGTTGTGGCTTTGATAGCTCGCGTCGACGATGCTGGTCAGCCGGAACTGGTGCCAGGCGACTTGTTGACATATGCACGAAGGATCTGCAGCCTACCGGCCTGGGAGGCTGTGAATCATGGCAGAAAGACAAAGTGGAATAAGACTTATGGGCAGGTTCACCTTCTTGAAGACTTTTAGGGACGAGGCTGGACCCGGAGCGGCTCGATTCTTCGACCTCAAACTTAGAAAGCTTTCCAAGTTGCGTTCGTCAATTGTGCTCGGGTGTCCCGTCGGTAGCCATAGAGGAGCGTAAATCCTGGCCAACTGGCTGAAGTGACTGTTCGCTCAACTGGATGAATGATAGTAATGAAGTGGGTGGGCCGCCATTTAGATCTGAAAGCGTGGTGTAACCGGATGACCGATGCATGTCTTAGTGCTGGTTTCTTGTGAAAATTACGCGCTCCATGTGATAATGGCTCTTTTCATGAGGTACCTAGGTATACTGTGAGTTCAATCGAACTGCTCACGACGGAGACTATATCCCGAATACCCGATGAGCCCGAGGAAGCGGGCTTTAGTCTCGACTGCCCGGACATTGTAGCTCATCACGAGAGAATGGCTACCTAGGCATGTCGCCGATGCAGACCCGTTATTACAAGGATGTCATGGCTACGGGCCAGTCAACGGACCGTGGCAGTACCAAAACGCCAGGGTCTGGCCTGGCAAGACCGTCGTGAAGGGTGTGAATTCGGAGAGGCTTATCGTCAAGAAAGTAGCCGTGTGGCGGCCAAAATAGTGCCGAAAGGGTGAGTTTGTCGGGTGAAGCCGGCCCCACCCGGCCGGCCCAGTCCAATGATCGAATTTGGATATGCCTCGAGATCTCGGCGGCACCACGCATTTTAACTAGGGCCTAAGGCCGCTAACAAGGAGACACAATCACCATTACTTGTCAGGGGTTAAGCCGCGGTGTGCGCTCTTTCTCGACGACGGCGGCTTTGGGAATGGAGCCAGCTCGGTCCGTTTTTCAAGCGGTGGGTGTGGGTCTGCGGGCTTGAAGTGGACACTTCTGACACTCTGGGGCACTCTGGGGTGATCCACAGCCCCGAACACCCCGTATCAGGCGCTGACACGGCACGATGGAAGGGCCGTTTGCTGCAGCCTGCAGGAGGCTGCTTTGGGGCCCTGGGGGAGAGATAAGGGGTGCACCGGACAGGCACGGGCCGTTTTTCCTAGTCGAAGCCATCGTGACCTTGGGAGAGGACATTTGTGCGAATCGTCAGGTGTCTTTCATGAGTCGCTAACTATGCGCGCTGTCACTTTCTGGGTGAGTGAATTGCAAAATGCCGCGCCTGTGCCTGGACTCCGGGGTTCTGTAGGCGTGACCTGTCAGGTCTGGCACATGCAAACGGAGACAACTTCCATCGAGTCATCGATCGATGGAGAGGGTTGCTGTATTGGAGTGCCTGGCGGCGAAAATAGACGGCGGCACGGCGGAACTGGCGGATCGAGCTGTTCCAGCAATCCAGCCACCCAAGTCCCTGGAGTGTGCAAAATCTGCCAGTCAGAACAGCCGCTGCACAGCACGTTGTGGCCCTGTACGGCTGCTGAAGTGCTGTGAATCGTGGTGGGCATGCCAACGGGCAGCGCGGCGGTCCAGACTTCGCGATCTTCAGGCCCAGTGGGCCTCACGGAGGAGGACCGCTGAGAGTACAGGAGGCCAAGGGGTCGGGGGTTGCTTGATATATTGTGTCTTGTATGGACTATATTGTATTGTACTGTAGTAATCCTGTTCGACATTCCTGGGATGCAGACGAAAGTGAGACGCCTGCAAGTGCATCTGCACTAGTGCGTATGGAGACACATGTGTGTGATCCTGAAGTCTGAATGGTGCGTGCAAGCAGCAGTGTAGATATCGGCAAGGGGAAATGGTGTCCCATAGAAGGAAGGGTTGCCAGTAGGGTGGGGAATATAGTGTCGTGTAGAGCTGTGCATTTGACAGCCTGAGACCTGAGTTGCGGTAAACATGTAATATTGACTGGCGATGGCTTCACTGACCCGTGGGTGTGGGCTGGCGGGGCAAGGGTTGATTGAAATGCGGTGGAGACCAGGCTAGAGTAACAACGGGTCATGCGCGATGAGGCAATTGAGGGCTTCGTGAGGGCATGTTTTGGGAATGAGCCGATGACACTTGGCGGCGAGGCGCGAAGCACGCCAGTAGGCCCCAGGACCCTGGGGCGGCACCCGTGTTGCAAGCGCTCCCAGATGAGGGAGTAGTGATGAAAAAGGAGACCCATATGAGGTCAGGGGCCGCCAGAATGACGCCGACGAGGTACGCCCCTGGCCGATGACGTCGTGGAGCTGTGCCCCGCCATGCACGGTCATGCCTTCCCCAAGGACACACGCAAGAGGGCAGACGATGCGGGATAATTATGGGGCGAGGCACGGGCCAGCGAGGGGCCTGGGCCCAGGAGAGTGCAAACGACCTGACGACCTACCTGGGTGCCCAGGTGCCCAGGTGGTACGGAGTAAAACGGTCAGCGAAGCGATCGGGTGCACAGCCCGGACTGACGGAGCGACAGGCTCGGGAAATGTTGCCTGCACAATGCACAATGCACACTGCACACTGCACACTGCACACTGCACTTTGCACCTCCCACCCAGATACACAGGTACTTCTGTACGCATCACTCATCACATCCGTGGACGCTTACAAGCACATTTCTGAGAATGACGTCACTCGTCTCTCCTTCGTTGCTACAACGTATGCGGACGCCGGGGACAGCGTCGCGACCAAAACGCCGGATGGGCGGGATGTTTGGCCCACCAAGTTGTGAAGCAACCAGGCCCTGTTGGCACAACAATGCACTGCATCTGTATGAGTCCGAGGTGCCTGGATGGTTGGTGTGTCCGAGATAGAGTGGCCCGGGCAGGTGGGTGGGATGGCAGTCGGGGGACTCCATGCTCCTGCCGAACTCCTCGATGGAGGGAGGGACGGCAGGACGGCTACAGCCTACAGGCCTGCGGCTCAAAGTTACACACGGCCACCCATCCAGCCGGCCGGCCAGGTGGCCAGGCCTTGGCCGTTTGGCCCTCGAAGTCTAATAAAAGTGATAGGCCAGGACCATCACTTCATAGCGCCGGCATGGACAGACAGCCTGGCAGCGTGGGGCGGTGAGGTGAGGCTCGGGCTCTTTTATGTGATCTCGGTTGCCAGAGCTAATCTGTCTCGCCGAGGGGATTGCGCCAGGGCGGCAGGGCGGCAGGGCGGCAGGGCGGCAGGTCGGCCGGTCGGCAGGTCAGCAGAGAACCCACCACCCGAGGGGCCCACTCAATGTCAGCCCAGAGATGACAACACTTCAGCAAAGAGATTTTGACTGAATATCGCCTGTCCGAGATGGGTTCTGGTGTGAAGATTGGGCAGAGTCAAGAGTGACTCTTGACTGATTCACCTGAGCGATTGGGGGAGAGACGGCGAGAAATAAGCCGGTTCGACACACGCACTTCCCTGCAGGCAGGCAGGCCGGCTTGTTACTATTGTCGAGAAGAGGAGGAGGAGGAGGGTTGCAGCACATACAGCACATACAGCCAGCCAGCCAGCCAGCCAGCGCAACTCATCACATCTGTGCTACCTCCAAGGTTTCTCACCGCGTCTGCACTGCGTGAGTATGTACCTAGGCAAGCATACTCCGTACATGCAGGATGCACAGAAACAAAACAAAATGTCTCGGGCGCCTGGTCAGCCCATCCGCCGTGTCCGCAGGTCGTCGCAACAGGCTGTGCCCCCTTGGCCAATGACAATGACGATGCAATCAACAGACCGTCCAGCCGTTCCCATTGCGGGCCTGGGGACACCATGTCATGCACTAATAAATCTCTCATCTGGAAGCACCCAATCAGGCCTTGGTCAGCACATGGCGATGGTGGCTCAGACTGCAGGCCGCCAGGCCGTTTCGCAAGCTCGGCCTTGGCCCAAGACCAACACCGGTCCGTTTCAGCCAGCGTCTGTTGGCCCGTTGGGGGACCCACAGAATCACGATGGTCTGCTTCTAACACATTCCACATGCCCGCCTTGCAAGATTTGTTTGCGAGGAACCTGCTGGGAGAGGCCCCACTCCCCTATCGACCCAGATCAAGCCAGAGTTGCGCCCGGAGACTGGTAGCGCTGGACCGACTGGCTGCCCCCTGGTCACACACTCTTGGGCCCCACTTGCCTTTCCCAGCGGGCCTCCTCCCTGTGCCCCTCCCCCAGCAAGCCCACCACGGCGACGTCAGGGACGAGGGACTCCATGTGAGGCAACTGCGACTCACGAACCACAGGCCCCTCCATTCGCTTTCCCTTCGCCTTCGGACACGCTCTGCTGTCATACATAAATACATTCTCCCTCCCTTTCTCAACCAAGCCTTGCCCTTTTTCTCCCTACCTCATCTCACTAATCCCAACAACCATCACCACCGACTTCCATTTTGACAGTCAACAACATTCCCCAACACGACCAACAGTCATCCACAGCCTTTTCTTCTGGTCTAATCCTCCCCCCGGGCTACATTCACCATCCATTCACCCCCACTTTCAACGTCTCGCTCTTCTTCCCCCACAGTCATCATAATGGCGGCCTCTGCACCTTCCAAGTCCCTCAAGGCCGTTCACTTCGGCGCTGGCAACATCGGCCGTGGCTTCGTTGCCTGCTTCCTGCACAATAGCGGATATGAGGTCGTCTTCGCCGATGTCGTGCCCGAAGTTGTTGACAAGCTCAACAACACCAAGGAGTACAAGGTCATCGAGGTCGGTACCGAGGGCACAACAGAAAACACCATCACAAACTACCGCGCCATCAACTCGAGGACCCACGCGGAGAATCTCGTCGACGAGATCGCCACTGCCGACGTTGTCACCTGCTCGGTTGGCCCGACCATCCTGAAGTTCATCGCACCTGTTATCGCCCAGGGCATTGACAAGCGCGATGAGAACCTCAAGCCCCTCTCTGTCATTGCTTGCGAGAACATGATCAACGCCACCACCGCCCTGGCCGATCACATCAAGGACCCCAAGAACACCCCTGCCGAGCGCCTCGACACCCACCACAAGCGCGCCCGCTATGCCAACTCTGCTATCGACAGAATTGTCCCTGCGCAAGACGCCGATGCAGGCCTCAACGTCAAGCTGGAGAAGTTCTACGAGTGGGTCGTCGAGCAGCTGCCCTTCGAGGGTGAGCACCCTCCCATCGATGGCATCAACTGGGTCGAACACCTCGAGCCCTTCATCGAGCGCAAGCTTTACACCGTCAACACTGGCCACGCCACCGCTGCCTACCATGGATACAACCGCAAGAAGCGCACCGTCTACGACGCCTTGCAAGACAAGGACATCCTGGCCGAGGTCAAGAAGGCCCTGGCCAACACCTCAGACCTTATCGTCACCAAGCACGAAACCTCCGAGGAGGAGCAGGCTGCATACGTCAAGAAGATCATCTCCCGCATCGGAAATCCCCACCTTGAGGATGCCGTCGAGCGTGTCGGCCGTGCTCCCCTCCGCAAGCTTGGTCGCAAGGAGCGGTTCATCGGGCCCGCGGCTGCGCTCGCGGAGCAGGGCAAGGACTGCAGCGGCCTACTCGATGCCGCCGAGATGGCTCTCCGTTTCCAGAACGTCGAGGGTGATGAGGAGTCTGTGGAGCTCGCCCAGAAGATGGCCTCCCTTGACGCTGACTCCATCGTCGCGGAGGTCTGCGGCCTGCAGAAGTCGGAGAAGCTGTACCCCATGATGGTGGAGATCGTCAAGAAGGTCCAGGCCGATGCCGAGGACTAGACGTCCCGATGACTGCTGAGACGATTGTTCACATTTGTTCAGATTCCATGATGAGACAAGATTTGGCGTTTCAATGAGGTTCTAGGGATTCCTATCGTACGGTGTTTAGGGAAGCGGACAACGGAAATGCATACCCCTTTGATGGTTGGCTTCACATTTTTCCCTTTTTATGCGTGTTTTTAGTATTTAGCATCACCTCAGAAGATGGTGAGGGGGATTTGCCGCCCCAAAGCGGGACCGAGCAACCAAAATAAACAAGACTTGATCGATGATCCAGTACCTCATCTGCAGTAGAGTGTGAAACGTGCAGCATTTTGAGGCTGCAACTGAGTAGATGGCAAACCTTGCCAACGTTCTATAGCAGCGTAGAAAGATGCCTCTATGAGGAGAACCGCGTTTGTGGTTTGGAATATAGAGGTTATCGTCGACGTATCACTCACTGGATCAGCAAATTCCAAAGTTCCCAATGCGATGTCCATCCTGTGGTGACAATTCAAACATGATGCTTAATGCTGGCAGCTGGAATTCGAAAACAGCAATGTCGACAGCATTGCAGTTCCCCTACCTACGATTGATTGATTCACACGATCCTTCCATTACTCTGACTAATCAGTTGGGGGTGGGTCTAACACGCCTTCTGTCCGCACCCCCAGGACTTGATGCCTCAGGCCACACGGCTCTAGGCTCGAGGCTGAGCTCCCCAAAGACCACATCTCAATTGGCAGTGGACCTAGCCAGAGCTCCCTGAGACGTGGCAGCAGCTTGCCATTCACACACGGGGACGCTACCCACATCCACATTTCCCCCCGACCAACTCCTACCGGCCCCTGCTATCGCATTCATTCTACACCAGTCCATCCCGTCAGCCTGGCCCTGCGTGAGCAAGCTCAAGTCTGTTCACCAAAGGAAGAGAAGCCCTCCCCCCATGTTGGCTTGTCTGCCGCCGACATTCGCCCCACCGCCCTGAACTCGAATCCTCGACGACCGGTTGTCCCCTTCTGGACGCGACCCCGACACCGATAGCATCTGCCCACCATGAGGCTCGACGTCAAGGTATGCGCATCCCCGTCTCCCATCACCTCTGGCCCGGTCCAGCTGCTCTTGAATGGCCTCGATGGCGCAGCAGATACTCGGAGACCCCTCCGGCCTCGCTGCTCGGCGCACTGCTCGGTGCCTTGGAGATCCACAACTTCTAGAGGTCCGAGCCGGGGCAGGCGGGCTCTCCCCAACCCCGTCCTGAGCATACAGGAAGGAATATCACGGTCGCTAATACTATTCCTCCGTGGACACAGCGGCAGCTCTTTGCCCGGAGCGAGCGCGTCAAGGGCATCGACTTCCACCCGACAGAGCCATGGATCCTCACAACCCTCTACAGCGGCCACGTATACATTTGGAGCTACGAGACGCAGGCCATCGTCAAGACATTCGAGTTGACAGACGTACCCGTGCGTGCCGGTCGGTTCATTGCGCGCAAGAACTGGATCGTGTGCGGCAGCGACGACTTCCAACTACGAGTCCACAACTACAACACATCAGAAAAGGTCGCCAGCTTCGAGGCTCACCCTGACTACATCCGCGCCATATGCGTCCACCCAACACAGCCCTTTGTCTTGACGGCCAGTGATGACATGACCATCAAGCTGTGGAACTGGGACCTCGGGTGGAAGTGCCAGCAGACCTTCGAGGGACACTCCCATTATGTCATGTCGCTGGCAATCAACCCCAAGGATACAAACACGTTCGCGTCAGCCTGTCTGGACAGGACAGTCAAGATCTGGTCCCTCGGGTCTTCGACGGCCAACTTCACCCTCGAAGCACACGAGCAAAAGGGCGTCAACCACGTCGACTACTACCCACATTCCGACAAGCCATACCTCCTTACCACTAGCGACGACCGGACGGTCAAGATCTGGGACTACACGACCAAGTCTCTCATTGCGACGCTTGAGGGCCACACGAACAACGTTAGCTTTGCATGCTATCACCCTGAGCTCCCCGTCATCATTTCCGGCTCGGAAGACGGAACCCTGCGAATATGGCACGCAGCCACCTACCGATTTGAGCAGAGCCTGAACTACGGTCTGGAGCGGGCTTGGTGTGTCAGTTACCAGCGGGGCAAGCAGAGTGTCGCTGTCGGGTATGACGAAGGATCGGTCGTTGTCAAGCTGGGCCGCGAGGAGCCCGCCGTCTCCATGGACGGCTCCGGCAAGCTGATCTGGGCCAAACACAACGAGGTGGTGTCGGCTATCATCAAGGGCGGCGAGGCCACCAAGGACAATGTGCCGATCAACCTCACCACCAAGGATCTGGGCAGCTGCGAAGTCTATCCATCCACCCTCTCACATTCAGCCAACGGTCGGTTCGTCGCGGTCTGCGGCGACGGTGAATTCATTGTCTACACCGCGCTCGCGTGGCGCAACAAGCAGTTCGGCTCGGCGTTGGACTTCGTCTGGGCCTCCAAGGAAAACTCAAATGACTTTGCCATCCGTGAGTCACCGACCAGCGTCAAGCTGTTCAAGAACTTTGTCGAGAAGCAAGGCGGTCTGGATGTTGGTTTCCAGGCGGACGGCCTGGCCGGGGGAGTCCTCCTCGGTGTCAAGGGACAGGGAGGCATCAGCTTCTTTGACTGGGCGACTGGTGGCCTAGTAAGACGGATCGAGGTCGAGCCGCGCGAAGTCTACTGGAGTGAGAGCGGGGAGCTGGTCGCGCTGGCCTGCGACGACACCTGCTACATCCTGCGCTTTAGTCGCGAGGCATACCAGGAGGGTTTGCAGTCCGGCCAGGTCGAGGACGATGGTGTGGAGGCCGCCTTCGAGGTCATCACCGATATCAGCGAGAGCGTGAGAACCGGCGAGTGGGTCGGCGACTGCTTCCTGTTCACCAACTCCACCAACCGCCTGAACTACCTTGTTGGCGACCAAACCTACACGGTGTCACATTTCGACCAACCCATGTACATCCTTGGTTACATACAGCGCGACTCCCGCATCTACCTCTGCAACAAGGATGTTGCTATCACATCCTTCGCCCTGTCACTGCCCGTGCTGGAGTACCAGACTCTCGTCCTCCGGGAGGAGCTCGAGGCCGCCCAGGAGCTGCTCGCCGCAATTCCAGAGGGCGAGCTCAACAAGGTCGCCCGATTCCTGGACGGCCAGGGCCACAAGGAGCTAGCCTTGGATGTTGCCACGGACCCCGAGCACAAGTTCGAGCTTGCTCTTGCGCTGAGCCGACTGGACATCGCGCTCGACCTCGCCAAGCAGGCCGATGTTGAGCACCGATGGAAGACTGGTAAGTCGTGTCCCTGCCTGGCATCTATTGATTTTGGTCGGCGACTAACCAAAACGCTTCTTAGTGGGTGACGCCGCCCTCTCTGCCTGGGACGTTTCTCTGGCGGCAGAGTGCTTCACACATGCCAACGATCTCGGCTCTCTGCTCCTCGTTTACTCATCAACCGCCGACCGCGACGGCCTGACATCCCTGGCGAGCAAGGCCGAAGAAGCTGGCGCTCACAATGTTGCTTTCTCCGCGAAATGGCTCCTTGCAGATGTCGAGGGCTGTGTGAACATCCTAGTGAAGACCGAACGTCTCGCCGAGGCCGTCCTTTTCTCACAGACTTACAAGCCCAGTTTGACTGCGGATGTGGTCAAGAAGTGGAAAGAGTCCCTGGAAAAGGGCAAGAAGAGCCGTGTTGCGAAGACCATTGGAGCTCCTGGCGCTGAGGGCGACGAGGAGCTGTTTCCCGAGTGGGACGAGTGGCTGCGCCTGGAGAAGGAGGGCGGCACAGCTGCCGATGTGGATGTCGAGATGGAGAACGGCAGCCCGGCTGCTGAGACTGGAGAGGAAGAGGCCGCCGAGGGGGCGGAGGAGGTTGCGGATGATGTTGCGGACGCGGATGAGGAAGAGTAGTGCACTATCTCACCATAAAGAAGGGGTCTGTGGTCAGAGCACGTCGTACGATGAGATGTAGGTTCTCGCGCCGCCAGCCTGGAGTTACAATGACGACGGCACTCGAGGGAGTTCGGGCGCGGGGTGAACTGAAGCGGATCCAGTCAGGCTTAGAGGAGTTTGAGTGGATAACACAACGCGATTCCGAGGGGAAAGGACGTATTAAAGAAAAGTTGTAGAGACTACCTACCTAGGGAGGTAGCCAGCACAAGTAGGTTTAGCCACGGATGCAATCTGCATTGCTACAGGTGGTTATGATGAGCACCACTCAGCCATGGTTCAACGCGCTCATGTCAAGCCTTTTAATACACAAATATATCATGACAACCATTGCCCGGGCTTCCAAGATCTAGCAGTTTGATCTCGGAACGCCACTGCTTAAGATTTGGACAAGGCCGATGTGGCTATTTTCAACTTGGGTCGTACGAGGTGCCTTGTTTGTGCAACTCGTACTTTCTTGCGGGTTTCTACCGCTCATTGGTCCACTCAACTGGCAATGCCGCAACTGTCAAAGCCATAATACATGAGCACCAGTGACGTGGGCAATAAGCGGGCTATGAAACCAGGCAAATCTGCCGAGACGCCGCCCTTATTACATCCTTATGGACAACCACTTTCGGAGAAACAAGGTCACAGGCAAACTGAGCGCGGAGTTCAAATTTACCTCGACAACAAACAAATGCAAGTTCCATTAATCATAAAGCACAGGAGCTGTCGTAGTCAAGCCCACAAAACCGAACAAGCCAGTAAAAGAGGACGGACGAGCTCATCACCACAGCGGACTAGCGAGAGCTGCCACGCACGGTAGTAGCGGCTGCGAGTATGATCGTCTCGTGTTCCTATATATGAGCTTGCGGAAATGGTGCAGGTGGCAAACCATGGTGTTCCAGAGTTATGTTTGTGTGCGTGAAGCCGAGGTGTCCCAAGGCTTGTTGATGTACTTGACAGTACCAGGGCGCCGCGTTGACTCGACCACCTGGGCATTGTATTGGACAAGCGGCGAAGGACCAACTTCGAATGTGAATATACAGCTCCCTACCTAGGCGTCTGTAAGGTACACATGATTTTCACAGTTGTTCTCTTGGGCAGAGATCCACATCCTAGAGCAGGATTCACACTCGAGTCACTACAATGCTGTGCTCACCGGAACGTGAGTCTGGCAAGTGGAGCCAGCCCCGGACTCGTCTGATACTAATTGGCACCCCCACACATGACGATGGCGACATCTGGTGCGTTGTCTCTGCAGCCTTAGATAGTCATTGTAGGTGGCATCTAAGGCCCCAAGGAAGGCAACTTGTACGACATCCGAGCGACATCCGCAACCTGGACTGCGTGATATTGTGGATCATCTGGCAATTAGTTGCATGTTAGCACCGCATTTTCCATTGGAATTGCGTCAACTCTATTGTTCTTCATTCGCTATCGCGTTTGCTGTTGGCTTCCGATGCATCGTCCCCTCACGATCGGTAGCCCGCCGGGGCCATAATGCGCTTGCGAATTCTGGACTCGGGATGACGTGCTGATGTCTACAGGTTGCAAAACGAACAGCACTGAATGCTAAGTATGCATACCTAGGTATGTTGGAGGGAACAGAATCTATTATAAATATATGCAGTGCTCCCGTGTTTACATTTAGTTCATCTGCGTTGATATTCCCATTCTTCAAATACACCTTCGCAGGTACACCGCATGTGCAGGTCCACACATCAAGTCATCTCTGTAGACCGACAAGACACAAGACCCAATCGACCCCTTCCACACTGTGCAGCACCTCATAATGGCCCCAGCTGCGACCTCAGATATTGCATTCGGCTCTGCCTCAGCAGACAAGAAGTCTTTCCCAGTGCCGTTGAAGCTGAGCGGTGCCCTCGAGAAGTTCACTGTTGAAGACGCGACGCCAGCCATAGGCCGCGAATTTGTCAATGTCAACATCGTTGACGATCTGCTCAATGCTCCCAACTCAGATCAGCTTCTGCGAGATGTGGCAATCACAAGTGAGTCTGCCTGCTAGTTCGCGTGCGCTCTTCCTGCGGACTCGCTGACGAACATATAAGTCTCCCAGCGTGGCGTGGTCTTTTTCCGTTCTCAGGACAACCTGACCGACGACCTCCAAAAGGAGTTTGTGGACAGGCTGGGCCAACTCGTTGGGAAGCCATCGTCTTCAACCTTGCACATCCATCCAGTACTCAACAGCACATCGGAGTTCGGAGTTGGCGATAACGCGGTCAGCCATATTTCTAGTTTGGCACGGAAGAAAATGTTCCGCCACAAGGAGCAACCCAACAAGCGCCGCTACGATGCCGCACAGTGGCATTCTGATATACAATTTGAACCATATCCGGCAGACTACACATCACTCCGTCTTACCGAGCTTCCGAAGACTGGCGGTGACACCCTTTGGGCTTCCGGCTATGAGATCTACGACCAATTCTCCAAGAAGTACCAGCAGTTCTTTGAGGGCCTTACAGCTACCTTCAGCGGCGAGGGCTTCCTCCGCGCAGCTGCGGCAGACCCGGAGAACGTCAAGATCTACACCGAGCCCAGGGGCTCCCCTCACAACATCGGAAGCGACTTGATCGCCGTTCACCCAGTGGTGCGGACAAACCCTGTAACCGGCTGGAAAAGTATCTTTGCTTTAGGGCCCTTCCCCAAGAGGATCAATGAGCTTACCCAGGAGGAATCGGATGAGCTTCTGCGCAAGTTTGAGAGGGTCCTCCTGGACCACCACGAATTTCAGGTTAGATTCAAGTGGAGGAACCCCAACGACATTGGTGAGTTCTGCTCATGTATGGCTTTTGCAGCATCCTCGCTGACTGACTTTGCAACCAGCCATCTGGGACAACCGTAGCGTCTTCCACACCGCCACCAATGACTATGATGGCCTGGGCGAGAGGTTCGGGCATAGGACTGTGGGCATTGGCGAGAAGCCTTACCTTGATCCGAACAGCCGATCAAGAACAGAGGAGTTGCAAGGTGTTGACACTGAGGAGGCTTAAAGAGGGCCGGGGAAGGAGGCCGTGGCGTATTCCAATGTAGTTGTTTCGTTTCTCATCTCCATATACATGTAAAATGTATGTGGCACATGTATAGGTACACTACCTAAGTACTTGGACCGCTCTGCGCACATCCCCACCAACGCACATATATTTCCCACTAAAAATACTAATTTTTACCCTAACCTATTTAATTATATAAAATTACTATAATAATAAAAATAAAACTAATAGTTAAAAGTATTTTTTTAAATTATATAAAAAATTCTATTTAAGTAATAATTATTATATTAATTTAGAAATAAATTCTTAAATATTAATATTATTTTTTTTAATTAATTCCTATACTATTTATTAGTTACCTAATTAAAAAAGAAAAACTTTTATTTTAAGTTAATTAAAGTAATTATAATATTAAATTTAAAAATAATATATATATTACTATTATATTTATTTATATTTTAAAAGTTTCTATTTATAGAAATTTATTAGAATTAATTATTAACGATTTTAAAAAGTAGGGTAAAAAGTAGGATTTACTCTACTTTTCTTAAATTTATAATAATTAAATCTATTAATTTTCTATAATTAAAAATTCTTTTAATTTAAATTTTAATATTTTTAATAGATTTAATATGTATAGTAAGTAATATTTATTATTAATAATTAAAGTTTTATAAAAGTTTTAAGTTTATAATAAAACTTTTAAATTTAATAAAGGAACTTTAAAAAGGAATTTCTAACTTTTAATAATTATTTTAAAATACTTCTTTATTTTATTTTTATATAAAAAATATTTCTATATATAAATAAAGTATAAAAATTTTAATAGAAGGGTTTATTAACTTTTAGAATTTAATTTTAATTTCATATTTTAAAATATATATATTATATATAATTTAATTTATTAATATAAATATTATTATTTATAATATAAAATCAATTTCAATATATATAATTTAAAAGTACTAATTTTATAGATTTAATTTAGACTTATAAAAATAATATAGAATTAATAATACTATATTATATATATAAGAAATAATGTGTGTTAGTGGGGATGTGTGCAGAGCGGTCTAAGTACTTACCTAGGTACCTAGGTAGGTAGTAAACACTTGCAACCCATGATTTACAAAAAGCGCACAATACCAATGACGTGTTCCAATGTATCTAATCTATAAGTGACAAATTGAACATGCAGAAACAAATGGTATAGAGTGCACAACTTTGAGAAATCCAGCTGCTTAATTGTTTTTCTTACCTAACTAGGCACACAGGGCGTTTGCATCTGCATCGTTACATTCAGCTATTACCAATCACCATCCATCATCCATTTTCTACCTAGGTACGAACATTCATCAACAACACATTGATTTGCATGGAACATGTCAAACAAGCCTCAGGCCCGGGCTGCTTGAACAAAGCTCTGGTGGTGCTTAGGGTGACTCTTTTCCACTCTCCCTTTGATCAGTTTCTTCATGATTGCACTGCTTTCAATAGCAATACCCTCTTCAATTCGACCGGACGTCACAGACAACTTGCATCAATGTGTATGATACATGTGGGAGCTTTCCCATCAACAGCTGCGTCAATACCCTTGGGCGGGTTGACCAGGGTCAGTCGAAATGTCGTTTGCCCGATGGGCCATTTGCCCATCACTTCTTGGACACATTCCTTGCTGATGACAGATTTGCCGGAGACCTTCTTGTAGTTGATGAGATGGGGTGATGCGATTTTGGTGTAGATGTCATGTTTATGACGAGAGGCAATGACAGCCTCCTCTTTAGCACCTGTTCCGAGGGCAGTGGTGATGGTACCTAGGTAGCTTTAGAAGACATCCTTATGTTGACCCTGGTACACCCTGGGGCAGTATTTTGCATAAAGTATCTCGAGATTAACACAGATGTAACTAAAGACAAAGGATTAAGGCGTTCCGCTTGTTGTCAAGTAACCAAAGTTTCACTCACATGGCACCATTGTATATAGTATATAACTACATATACAATTTGCACCAAGGGCCCTTCAGCATACAAAGTTCATCTCAAAGATAACACTTCTTTCACATGTATTCCAGATAAAACAGCAACATCACTTTGTAAGCCATGTGGCATGTCCTGTCTGTTTCGTGTCAAAAGCCACAATCTTCGTACAACGGTCGTATAAGCTGGAGTATCGACACTTGAAACCCGTCCTGTGTGCTCTTGGCATTGAGTGGCAGTTGCCAAACAAAGCGTGTGCTTGGAACAAACGCCAGAGCGCGTAAATAATTCCGGCCCCAGAGTGCCTGCTACGGCCCAAGGGTTCAAATGTTAATAGATTCTTAATTGTCAAACACGATGTTAGTGTTGACCAAATCGATTCTTGTTGTCCTTTATCATTGAACCATAAGGGACGGCCGTCTTCAATAACGTATGTCCAGGTGGGTTTGCATAATGACGCATAAATTGCCCGGGCGTTCGGCACATCAAATGTAATGGGAGTTTGTCTCAGTGGTTGCACGGTGTGAAAGCCAACATTGGTCGTTGGGCCAATCTGCGCTCAGACACGTCGTGGAAACGGTGGAGTACTTACACTAAAACAGCATTCCGATGAAACCAGGCCATCTTGGGAGCTACACCACATGTGAGATCTAGACCAATTCATATCTAGGCAATTCGAGGTCAATGGATCGACCGTAACTTAGCAATGCCTCGGATCACTTACCATGACTTATTGAGACCAAAATCATTGCAGTCGGCACATCACATGTCACTTCAAAGCCGCGGTCAGGAATCGGGAGAACCCTTGGGAAGTGAGTCAGAAAGGCGAATAACAAGATGTAGAACAAGAATTCCTGGCCGTCGGAGACGGTGCTACGTTGACGGGCAGGTTCTCAACGTAATGAAAGGTCAGCCTGACTAAAGCTGACGGTGCCAAGTAAACAACACGAGCGGCACAGTATTATGTTCAGGCTGGGCCGACAGAAGACGGTGCCCAGATCCCCATCACGAGGCATCGAATATCCAGAACAGGATCTGGTCAAGACAGCAGCAGCGTCTCATTCTTCAGTTGATGCGAATGCTGGTGGGCCGTTGTAAGACCCTGGACTAATTTCTGACAAATCAGTCAGGCCACAGACGCAATGCTTCGTCCAATAGCCAAGATGCTCAGATCGAACGGCCAGCCCAAGCTGTCGCGATGACGTCTAAATCCGTGCTCATTAAGAGATGGACTGAATGTAGATATCCGAAAAGGCAAAAGTGAGACAGAGCCTGGATTGGCTGCGGCCCATTTCCTGCATGTGAGTCCCGTTTAGGGCGTGAATTATGGTCAATTCAACGCTTTATGGCGCACCATATTAAGATGGCTTGAGATCAACTGCCGGGCTTCACAAGGTTTGTGATGTCCTTGCACTGCGGCGTCTGTCTGGGATGCCGTGACGCGTCAGGACGAGACCGTGCCTGGGCAGTCAGATACACAGCACAGTGAAGCTCAGTAATCTGAACTCAATTCTTCCCAGCAGCAAACACTTTCCTCCGTTGCCGTATCATGTGGTTGAACAGAGTAGGCGCAGCTGTGAGCGCGTTAGCAACCTTGGAAGCCCAGCCTACTATACCGCGCCGAAGAGAGACTTACCCGGGATGTAAAGTAGTGAGGCGGCAATGTAAGCCCACGCGTGGGAGTGATATCCGAGCCTCCATGCTTCTGACACGGTGTTATACACAACACCAACCTCGCCAGCGATGCCGAGCGGGTACAGCACGTAGAAAGCGCTGTAGCGAGCCCAGGTTAGGGTGCGGTACTGGTGGCCACCGACAAGTTTTGTAGCGAAGTACAGGTATCGAATGGCATCTGCAGCGCTCCAGGCAAGAACCATCAGACCGTAAAAGGGACTGAGAGCAGAGGACTGGTAATTCTCGATGACGAGCCAGAGGACGGTGCTTCGACCAGCGACTTGAACGAAGCTGGTGAGCACGGGGGCATTGACAAGACCTGTGGACGGGTCAGCCAGGATTCTTCAATGTTGTGGCGCAACATGGCCTTGGGTGTACCTAGAACGGAGTGCAAGATGTCCAGTGCGGCCAGGCTTTGGGTGAGCAGGAGCGTGATCCTGACGCTGGGAAACAGATACACCTGGCCCAGACCATTGCTCAGTGCAAGCGCCGCGCTCCTGCCGAAGATAAAGATCCAAAGAAGGGCCGAGATGGTATTATAGCCGATCAGATATGCCCACTGTGGGAACTTTCCCTCGAATACGCCCATGACTTCCAATCCGCACGCTTGGTGATTGCTTGTGATGCGGCGCACCTGAGCACTGACTTGGGCGACGTGTAAATTTCAACCGCACCAATCCAGGCCAGACGCGCTGAACTGACGTCGGTTATCGTGATAAGCAATGATTAGCAAAACCCTGCGTTCGAAAAACGAGACTTGCCCCCCTAACCCAGGTAAATCAGCACCCTGCCATACGTGCTACGAAAATCCTTACTAAAAATTATGAAACTTAAAATTACTATTATAATATAGATATTAATATTATTATAACTTTATATAAGTAATAAGTTTATATTTAATATATTAAATTATTAAAATTAAAAATAACTTTTATTTAATAAGTTACTAATTACATAAAAATAAAAATAATATTATATATTATCTATTAATATTTAATAATATATTTATTAATATCTTATTCATTCTAAATTCTATTTACTTATATTATTATATAAGTCTAAATAGATAGTGTTTTAAACCCTATCTAAGTCGTGTTACTAGACTATTATCCAGACTTGGACTTATATTCCAGCGGGCAGCAGAGGAGTTCTGACTGAGCTTGCTAGACCACCTGGGTAAGATTTCTACAAAATCTCGCCTCAATAGGTGCCTAGAAGAGTCTGTGCAATCCTTCTTTCATTACGGCATGGGAGGCACGTTGGCCTCAAGGTTGCTCCAACCACTTCGCAAAAGGCCAGTGAACCATACAGAACACAGAGAAACTAGCAAGACATCCCGTCGAGTGCCGTCCGCCCGGTTCGGGTTCCTTTGACATCAACATTGAAGGATTCCAACTGGTTTCTGTTGAGTTGATAGGTTCCGGATCATGGTCCTGAATGCGATAGAGAGCTGGAATATGAATGGATCCTAGGAGTCACGCCACATGCTGACAGCCAGTTTGTATCTGCTTGTGTCGCACTATCAGCGGCCGCCAGTTTGCGCAAAGCTGAGACCAATGATAACATGGAAGCGTTATGTGCCAAATGTGGCTCCACCAGCAACACCGTCGAGCGATATCATGGATGAGGCCCGTGGTGCCTGCCGACGCCCGTGTATTTGGACCACAACCGTGGATGGCCTTGGCCTCCAGATGTCGGGATCCTGCCAACAGGGTCTCTCTATACCCTGCAGCTGGCTTCAGACCTCGGGAGCCACCTGGCTACTGCTGACATTCCGCAGCGCCGGCGTTCTTGGGTTCAACCGAGGCGCATCCGTATAAAATGTAGGAGAAGCACGAATGAGACATGTCCATTTCTCCCATCCTTTCCAGTTCCCATAACCTTGAGGCTGCTTAAATGTTGGTACGTGGAAAACATTGACGTTCTCGCACTAGGCCACATCATGAGCATGTCTTCTCCACTCCTCTACAACTCCACGACGTACGCGGTGTTGGGTGCAAGTCATCGCCCTCCTGTACGTCCTGTATCGTGCTGCCCTCCCCAAGCCTATCCCAGGCATTCCTTATCATGAAGCATCCGCAAGCAGAATGCTTGGCGATGCGCCGTCGATGATCAGGCACAAGCGAAAACACTCAACAGTTTTCGATTGGATGACAGCGCAGTCATTGGAACTGAATTCACCAATTGTTCAACTTTTCTTGAAACCTTTCTTTCAACCAGTTGTCGTCATTACAGATCCTCGCGAGGCCCATCACATCCTGCTGCGCCGAGCCAAAGACTTTGATCGCTCCAATTACTTCAGAGATCCGTACCGACATCATAAACATGCTCTCAGCTCGCACGATCAACTGACACGCTGGTGCGTTCATCAGATGCTTTTGGCGGGGTGTGTGAGTAGCTCCCAGAGACTGTTCGCAGGCTATTGTCCTGCCTCTCACATTCCACGGTTACTTCAACCTCTGTACTCCATCGGCGCTCATGCGGTAGACCATCGCCCTTGGGCACCTTGTGCAGGCTGGGCAGCATTGTCCCTACGGCCTCAAACTCGTGCAGTGCTTTTCTTGGAACCATGATCGCTAAATCTGAATCTATTAGTGGCCAACAATCACATGATCCAGCCAACCAACGACAAGTTTAGGCAGGGTCGCCGCCTGTTGGGTGACACCATGACCACTGGATTCCTCAACAAGGTAAGACACGACTGCTATGTGGCAGACCGAAACCTCTTGCGACTGACATCTGGCTCCCTCAGGTTGCAGCACCATCCCTCCACAGGCATGTCCTGAATTTGCTGGAGCTCTGGCGCCTTCAGGATCAGCGCCAGCAATGGGCATGCGTTTACTGTTGCTGAAGATATTACCCACATGGCTCTTGATTCGAGTAAGCACCACGCGTCCCACCAGCTTTGAACCCGAGTTAAGGGTGCTAAGTTGCCTAGTTTGGCATGTTGCCTTTGGTAGCCAGCTCGAGTGCCTGCCAACCGAAACTGGATTCTTGAGCGCCCACTCCAAATTCAACACACCTGCAGCGGCAGATCAGCCCATGGTCTTCCCAACGCCAGAGTACAACTCCGCCGTCAAGTCGATGAAGGTGATCATAGACACACTGGAGTCAACAGTGACGTCTCCGATGCCGAGACAGACACACTGGCTCATCTCCCTCACGCCATCCGACCGCCGCGCCAGGGCCCACAAGGACCAGCTCATCCGCGAGCGCCTCGAGGACGCAAAGTCCCGGATACTCAGCCTCGGCGAAAAGGCCGGCGAGTTCGCCGACGTGACCTCCGCAACAGACCATATGGTTCGCCGGGAGGCAGAAGCCGCAGCCAAGGAGAACCGCGCGCCGCAGTACGAGAGCCCGATCGCCAAGGACGAGATGTTTGGGTTCCTGATAGCGGGCCACGAATCGACCACGACGGCGCTCATGTGGACGGTAAAGCACATGACCAACCACCCCCGGGTGGTGAAGAAGCTTCGCGGCATCCTGCGGGGGCACTTTGGGCACGAGAGCGGGCCCCCAACGGTAGAGCAGATCACCACAACCAACATCCCGTACCTGGACGCCGTGGTGGAGGAGATTGAGCAGTGCGCGCTCACGGGTGCCGGAATAATACAGACGGCGGTGCATGGCACGATGCTACTAGGTCACCGCATCCCCAAGGGCGTCGACGTCTTTATGATGACCAATGGGCCAGGCTACATGGCTCCTAATACCATCAACGAGACTATCCCCGAGCACGTGCGGTCAGAATCATCCCGGGATTTCAAGGACCGTGCGGTCCATCAGCGACATCACCGTTTTCAAGCCGGAGCGTTGGATCAAGGCCGATAAGAAGGGGGTGGAGACGTTCGATCCCAATGCAGGGCCCGCCATGCAGTTCGGCGGCGGGATCAGGTCTTGCTTTGGAAATAAGATGGCCTATCTGGAGATGAGGGTCTTCGTTGCCCTCTTGGTGTGGACTTTCGACCTCGAGGCGGTGCCGGAGCAGCTCAGGGGATTCGAGGCTTTCAATAGACTGACGCACAAGCCTAAGCAGTGCTATGTGGTACTAAGAGAGGCGGGCAAGGCTCATTGATTCCACCCAAATGGTATCTTTCCTCTTGGACCTTGTAGTTGTTTTTTCCTCAGTTCTGACTAGATCTATTCAAGAAATGAGACTTGATTATCCCTCTCCTTGTAGGGTGAGCACGACGACATCACCTTTTGTTTTCTTTCATACATTTCGTAATTACGCTAATACTCCTCACACTGGCAATTCGATAATCTAAACTCCGGGATAGGTATTGAACCGCGTATCTGTGATGTTACCTACTTGAGTAGGTACTCGGCATATGGTACCCGCATTTGATCACCGACTGCTTGTAGTAGACTCCACAGGTCTTCAACCCCTCTGCCATTTGATACGCCGACTTCAGTGTTATTCTAACCTCTTTCAACAAGGATATGACCCTGCCAAAGTCCTCCTAAGTCTCGATATTCTCGAAAGAAAAAGGCACGCGGTGTCGCTCTTTAACCCCTACATCACATTCTGCAGGAGCGCTAAAAGCTAGTCCCTTTACGCAAACAGTAATTCCCAATGACCCACCGGTAGGTATCACAACAATCTTTTCGAGTGTTGGACATTATCAACTTTAGGGAAAGTCCGGCCACGTCCGGAGCACCCACGGCCAGGCCCATGAAGAGGAGTTCAATACATATGTACTTGTTCCCACTATGCTACGTCTCAACTAGGCTATTCTGTACACGGATTGACGAGAGCTTCATCTGAATGTTCAGGTGTCCACTCAAAAGGACAATGAGCTCAGATGATGTAGCGGTAGCCCTTTTGCAGAGCCCTTGCCTCAGCGACAGTGACACCCTCGACCTGGGCAGTCTTCTCAAGCTTCTTGACATCACGCTCTGTGAGTTGAGCATCCGAGTTCTCCATCCTCGCAAGTTGGGCGTTCTGCTTCTCAAGTAGTAACTTCAGGGCGAGCGCGCAGACGGCAGCGAGAACCTGCAGACCTATGCAGATGCCCAGGGCCGGCCGGTAGTGGGGTGCATCCTTTGTCTTGTATGTGAACGGCGTCCATATCGAGGCCGCGTTGCCTACTGAGTTGATAAATGCCAGGGCGGCGGCGCGTTTCGCGGGCGGGCGGGGGATCGAGGAGGATATCCACGCGTAGATGATGCCGTTCAGGGCAAAGACAAAGATCTGCAGGAACAAGGAGAAGTATCGAGCACCAAAGTTATCGACCGCCATGAAGACTTTGCAGGACCGAACCAGTTAGTCTTGTGTTAGGTCCGGGGACGTGGGGAGAAGGGATGGGATGGGTCAGTGACTGCCATGCGACGCACCGATAAAGCCCACAATCGTGATTGGAATTGGGTAAGTAAAGAACCAGAATCTCTTGGCCAACTTATCCGAGATTCGGCAGTGCACGAAGGAGAAGACCACCATGAAGATATAAGGCGGGGCGCAGAGGAGCAGGGCGTGGATGCGGTCCTTGACGACCGTCTGTGTAAGAGTCGGGAAGTAGTTCTGGATACCAGCAGCACCGGTCTGGCCATGGTAGGCCAAGGCGAGGAGGTACGTCTTGGGATCTGTCAGGGCCAACTTAATGCCTAGAGCAATCGGAGTCAGCCATCAAAAGTTTCAAGGAGCAGCTTAATGACAGGGCCGTGAGGTGGTTGTTGCCTGACTCCAAACATCCGGTTCGTGGAGAGGCCGTGTGGTGGTATCTGCGGGATATGTGGCATGTCTGGTCTTGAAGGGGCAAAAGTTGCATCCAGAGGCTTGTCTTACCGCGGATCTGTGACATGCCGCCGGCCTCGTCGACGTCGGCCTCGGAGGCTTCAATGGCAAGCCGGCGCATGGCCACCCGCCTCTCGTCTTCGGACAGCTTTTTCCAGGTGTCTGGGAAGTCGGGCAGGACGAGGCAGACGAGAATGCCGAAGAAGATTGTGATGGCGCCCTCCAGGATGTAGAGCCACTGCCAAGCCGAATAGCCGCGTGCGCCGGCTAATCCGTTCAGAATACCGGCGGCGATGAGGTTTCCGAAGGCACCCGAGATCAGGGAGCCCGAGTAGAAGATGGCCATGCGCAGCGAAAGTTCCTCCTTGGTGTACTGTTGGGTGTCAGCAGTTGACGGGCAGGGGTAGGGTGAGGTGTGTCGTCGTAGACTGACCCATTTAGAAAGATAGAACAGGATGCCGGGGAAGAAGGGAGCCTCGACAAAGCCAAGAACAAAACGGGTGCCTATGATTTGTCCGGCAGTCTTGACCTGACTGGTCAGGAGCGACACCAAGCCCCAGATGATGACCTGCAAGCAACGCGGGGATTAGCGCTTTCCAAGGCTCTGGGCGGATGGTACAAGAGGTCGTGTAAAAAGGCTTGTGGGCTAGCGCGTACAAAGAAGCCGATATACCAAGACGGGCGCCCAGCATAGTTGAGCATGGCGTTGGACGGGACCTGCATGAGGACGTAGCCAACGAACAGGGTGGACAGGCCGATCTGATACTCGCGGTCGGTCATGTTCAGATCCTCCTCGAGGCCCTGAAGGCGGGCGGCGGCGTAGTTGTTTCTTGTATGTAGGGCGTCAGCAAAAGACGGGAGCCTTGGCTGGCTGGGTCGTGCTCACCGGTCGATGTAGTTCATGAGATAGACCAGCACGCAGAGCGGCATGATGAGGACGTCTATCTTCTTCCTGAGCCTCTTCTCCACCTCGAGCTCTTCGGGCGACAGCTTGCGCAGGTGGTCGGCCGTCTCGGCGATTGCCTTCTCGTCGCCGATAATGTCATGGTCATGGATGTGCTCCGACGCCGGGAGGTCATCTATCTTGTCGCCCATGGTGAAAAGTGCTGCGAGTTCAATCTTCTCTGGGGAGGAACTGGCGGCGAGGGGAAGACAAGACAGTGAGTGGAGGGAGGGGGGAGGTGGAAGGGAAGAGTGATTGTTTTCTAGTCCCCCCTCCCTGCTGCTGCCGCCGGATGGGGAGGGACCGATTGACCATCAGCCAACATGGCAGCATGGGGTTGAGTGATGTACTGTACGTGCCTGGTGTGCTGCCACGGCATGATTGTCGGTGGCACTACCTGGCTTGACAGGGACGGTGTGGGGAAGATGAACCGCCCAAGTTTGGGGTAAGTCTGGGGAATAGTCTAGTCCCCCACCTTCCCTGGGATTGGGATGGGGATGGGGATGGGGATGGGTGGGATGTCTGGGGTAATGGCCCCATCCCAGCCCAGCCAGCCCCAGCCCGGTTTGGCCCAAAACTGCCGATCCGCTCATTCGCCTGGACGAGACTTCCCGTCGGATATCAACTCGTGTGCCCCTTCTCGGCTACCCAGCCTGCCAGCCTGCCTGACGACAATATCTCTTGGCCATCTCCACGCCGTGTCCACTCAAGTGGTCTCGTGCCGCAACGGGGACCACCTGAGGCCTGGGTCCATACGCCCACTGCCGTGCTGTCCAGAATGTGCACTTGTCCGTGTCTTTCCAGCTGGTGCTTCAATGTTCAGTCGGCCACTATATACCTGGGTAGAATCAGCGAGGAAATCGACGAACGAGGTGGCCCGGCCGACCAAGTCCTGGCCCGCCCCCACCCCTTCAGGCTTTTCCTAAGATGAGTCCTCGCGCTTGGTGCTACGTCGCGAATGCCTGGCATCACGTTCCTTGAATCACCCTCTGCTGTTCAGCCGAGTTGATTTATCCTCCATGCTGACTGCCCCCGTAGCCTCGTTCGTTGCCCACCTGCGCAGGTGCGTTGCTCGTGGGCTGGTAGCCAGCAGCGGCCCGTAAAGTTTCCTCAATGCTACGTATCAGCCTCTTTTCCGACATATCCGGCGTCTCTGCCCACCTGTAGGGATCCATGCACGAATTTGGGAGCGGGCGAATGGAAGACCGAGCAGAACGGATATCATAGCTCGGGCATTCCAGGCCTTCCCTTTGGCCCTCGCCCGTCAATGGCAATGCCGTTAGCTTCTGCAATAGGACCACCGCGATCCCTGACCGAGTCCTGTTCGGCGCTAGGAGTTGCGGTATTCTGGAGCCATCCCGGACTTAGCTGGTGAGTTTAGACAAGGATGTGCCTGCTCGGTTGCTGAAATTGGAGAATTATGCCCCACTGTTCAGTAATTCAATCCCGACACGGCTTCAGGTAAATACAGGACAAACCAAGGCGTGGGCGCTATCCATGTTGATGACCAGTTGACGTCCCTGACTGGCTTCAATGTTGGCCGAATAATCATACTAGGCTCTGTAATTACATCAATTCGTCTGTGGTGCCCGTCGTCAAACTGCGTGCCAATGAGGTCGACGCACATATTAAATGATGCAAGCATTGAAGAAAGTTTCTTGCACAGAGCTTAGCACCAACAACACTGTACAGGCTCAACTACTATACACCTGCTAGCGTGAGTGCTTCGTACTTAGGCTACCTAGGTAAGTAGGTAGCAGAGGTTACCAGGTCATATAGCCAGGTAGACTTTAACCACAAGCCATGAATAATTCCATATTTCTACTATGAGCTTCAGCTATACTATAAATCTTTTTCCTTTAAACTATGTGGTCGTACTGTGTTTTAATCACCTTGGTCCCACCAGGTAATTGCTATCGTTATGCTTGAGGAACTCCTACTTTAATTCTCGTTTAATCAAAATTACGTCTGTCCCGCCTGTGGGGAGCGGGTATGCACATCTTGACTTGCTTCATCCAGCCTTCAGGCGAAACCTCCAAGTCCAATGAGCCCGTGGGTCCCGTGCCAGTTCCCTCATGTTGTTAATAAAAGGACCTATCGAGTTTTCCAAAACTTTCCCTTCTTCGATGCACAGTGTGGCGAACCTGACAGCCTCACCCGCACTGCCCACGGAATTATATTCGATTGCAGCCCGGTAATACGCTTCGACCATTCGGGTGACAAGACCCTCAGATTCGAATAATTTCACCAGAAGCTCCGCTTTCTCGGGACTTGCGGTCGACGTGGCGGAGTAGTCGTCAAGGTCTCTCTGCAACGTGAGAATCTGCTCAACTCTTCCATCCGACTCCAAAATTGCCTCCTCACTTGCCGAGCAATGCGGACATGTGCACTCGAAACCCCACCCATGCTTTGAGAGCAGCTGCCGCTGTGAGCGTGTTTGGATGGAGCTGGTTCAGAGCGTTCTTCAGTTAAAGGCTTCTCAACCACAGGAATCATGGTAAAAAGGCTAGTTGGAAATTGGCTCAGCCCGTACTTACTCGAAGTAAGTGACCGTGAGCTCCTCTCCAGGTGAAATTTCGCGGGCTGCGAAGACCGATTGGGTCAACATGGATGCGTCAAATGTGTATTTCGAATTAGGGCGGCAGGCGTGGTTCAGCCGAGAAACTACACGGCTGCATAAGTAGGTGCTCAAGGCCTGGGATCGACGTCCTCCCGATTGTCGCTTGGGCTGGTACGACTTTGAAGGGACTGACCTTGTGGGAAGACAGAATGGAATTCTAGGTTGTCCTTAACCGAAGTGACAAAGTCATTCTTCATGAAAATCTCATACACCCTCTGCTGGTGTGTCTCGACATCAATGTGTGTGGTCAGGTTGAGGTATTCTGCTTGATAGGTCTCTGGCAAATCGGCGACAGCTTGTGTGAGTAGTTCTGTAAGACGAGCTCGACCCAAGCGCTTAAAGGCTATGCCATCCACCATGACAATAGGCGCACGGTTTAAGAAAGCCTCGTTGGTTCTCAGAAGCCTTTTGGCCACCAGGCCAATGCCTTTCCCCGGTATTTGTTCCTCTCGGTAGGCAGGGCCAGCGGACTGCATCCACCCAAACATTTGTTCTCTCGGATCAGTGAAGACGTGTAGAGATGCCATTTCCTGGAGTGTTTCGGCGGTCGTAACCAAGGCTATGCCGTGGCCGGCATTGAACGAGGGCTGAGTAAAGGCGCAGAACACTTCAGAACCGACTTGGTGACACTTGTCGCTTCTGTACCATTCAGAACCATTATCTGAGACGCCCCCATCGCCGATGATATCAGGCATCTCAACAGGACATGACGGCCAGGCCCCGACCGAGAGGAAAGGGCAGACAAGGTCCGGGTGCGTCTTTGTCAGATGGGTGGCGCCCAAAGCTGAACATAACCTGATCCAAGCTGTGCAAATAAGTAAAGAGCGTCTCATTTTTGGACAGATTGATGTTAAGTCTAATGAGCTGAGATTGGCATTCCGATAGACGACAACAGACAACCCCGGCGATGGAAAGTTTTGGGAGGTGCAATTCGGTGCTGACAAGAAAGGAGGTCCGTGACGATCTTGTTTCAGCCGCTGCACAGTGCGCCCGCAAACCCTGAACTTTACAGTGGACCGTGGTCAGAATGATTTTAACCACGCTACAGCATTTCAGACTCAAGGTACATATAATTCAACCTCACGTGCGTGTGATCCAGAAACGGGGCATGACCATAATCCAGCAGAGCAAAGAGGGATTTAACCAGGACTGAGTGCAGGAAGACCAAGCGGTGCCCTGGTGTGCGTAAAAAAAATAAAAAAAAAAAAGAACCGGGCTTCAGCTGTTCTTCAAGAGCTGAGCAACACCCGCACTTGGGCAGGTCAATGATTACCGAGTTGTTTGAATTTGGGAACGCCAACATCGTGAAGAGTGCCGAGACCGATGACGTCTTGAAGCATCATTATCGTAGAGGGAGCGCGAACTAAAGTTCGAAGATTTCAGATTGCATATCCTGCATCCAAATTGTGTCTTGTAAAGGGGCAGCTGACCGAGATACCTCCGCAGTGTTACTGCTGGTGATGATGTATATACTTAAGTAAATTCGGAAAACTTCTTGGTTGGAGTGTAAAATAGTCAATCCTTAGATAAGTAGTAAGCGTCCTGGGTATATTACCTAGGTACAAGGCTGTAATGTGCATTCCTTTCAAGAATCATTCCTGATCTGGCTTCGAGGACTCAGTTTGGAGGAGTTTGTAGCCACAGTTATTAACATTGTGTGTGGACAAGGCCTGGGGGGTATGCAATGTGTATGTATACATTGAATGTAAATCAGGGCATTATGCACACATCATTGGTGTGTTCTGCCTGGTTAACTCGCCGGGAGCTCATATATCGGGATGCTGCCCTCTGCCTCATGGATTCGGTGACGCGGGCGGCCATCTACCTCGTAGACGGGCGTATCCCCTTGGGCCTCGAATCTCGGCGTCCCTGCCGCCTCGTGCGCGGGCGGGCTCCCCTCGGCTTCGAATCTCTGCACCCCACCCGCTTCTAATAATGTCGTGCTCCCTTCCGCTTCGTATTTCTCCCTGCCTCCCGCCTCTGAGAGCGGAGTGGCAGTTGCCGTCCCGTACCTCGACATTGGAGATGCCGTGTCCGTTCTCGTCTTCCCATCAGACAATTCGGGAACGTTTGCAGGGCTTCCGATGAGTTCACCACCATATTTCGGCAGCGACGAGTTCTCGGCATTTTGTTCCGCGGGCTCTGCGTCTGGCCACTTGCGAAGCTGATTGCGAGCCCTGCGACGTCTTACCCACCAAAACATGACTGCAGCCAGGATGATGAGGGCGCCTACAGCGCCAGCAACTATTCCGCCGATCGCGCCTCCGCTCAATCCGCTTTCAGCGGCCTGTGGGTCTGCTGTTGTCGTGGAACTGTTGCCTGTCGTCGAGTTCGCGGCGTCTGGTGACAGTATTGCGACCAGGTCGGGTGAAGGCATTGGATTTGAAAACTTGGCCTGGGAGATATTGAAAATGCCCCGCTCACTGTCCACTGTCAGGTATGTCTCCTGGAGGAACACACGACCAATTGTGTATTGCGAGTCATTTGATGCCCTCCTGATGGGAAAGTATCGTGTGGCGTTGGGGAAAACAGGGTATTGCCCTTCGAGATCAAAAGCGGCATAGGGGAGGTCGAATCTGGTGATGGTGCCGCCCGTGGTGCTAGCGCCGAGTGCGAAGGTGAGAGTGGGCTGAAGTCGCTGCAGTTCCGTATGCTGTTCGTCATCAATCAGATACCGACCTGTCTCCTCAACGTACCGGAGCCCGAAGGCATCTTCGAAGAGATCGCACCACGCCTGCGGCAGCCATAAGTCTGGAACAGTTGAGTCAATGACAGCAAGTAGTCCGCTGCCAACGCCTGATAGAGAGACTGTCCCATCCAGAGTATCCGTCCCAATCGCTGACTGCAGACCGACGACCAATGGACGTTCTGAATCGGAGCCGAACGGAAGTGAAATGGTGTTGTCGGTGAATCGAGTGGAGTCATAACCTCCAAGGGTTAAGCTACCGACAACTTTGGAATACCCTTTTGACCCATTAGCACGTATCAATTGTAAAGACCGGTTTCAGCAGCCTAATGTGTCCGCCAATCTTACTTACTGTATGGTGCTCCGGCCGTGTAGCCGTACGAAAGGCTTGGTATATTTCCCTCGTCTTTCAACGTCCGCAGCAGAGACGACGGTCTCTCTTCCTCGGAGAAGTTCGTATAATTCGCACCAAGTCCAAGCAATCCAACCCAATAGTTCGGAGTAGCAACACCAGCCACAACTTGGTGCTCTGTCGCCGGGCTTGATTCGCCCAGGCCCACGGAATCGTACCCGAACAACCCTCTCCCGTCTATGCCAAGGTGCTCCTCGATGAACAGCTCGTAGATCCCGATGGCCTTCCAGGTGGACGATTTGTTTGTTTGAAAGCCGTTGCTTTCTTCACTCTCGAAAGGCCAGACCCCACGGCTATCTCCACAATCACTGATGTTCCCAACGATGCTGCTCTCGCAGCCCTCCGGGACTGGTACCCAGGTCTGTTGGCTCGCCGTGGATGGAAGAACACTGAACCACTGTTGGGGAGTCCCTACACGGATCATAAAGCTGCCATAGGTATTAGAGAAACTGGGCCCGTCGGAGCCGGATAACTCACCTCGACCAGCTGCCGTCGACCCCGGCCCAGACTTCTGCCGGGTCAACAGAAATGGGTTCTGCCATGTGCTCGTCTAATACATAGATCCATGCGTTGTCGAGAATGTGTGAATGGGATGTTTTTCACAGACACAACTGCTGATTCCCAGACGAAGATCCCATGGGAACTTGGGTCAGTGGCGGCAGCCCCCACACGTGGGCATTGCCTCGGATATCGATGAAATTGGACCGCTTCTGCGGCCGCGCCAAAGCCTAGGCAGCTTGTAAGAAAGAATTCTCCGGTCCTCAGCGCGTTTCTTTTCTAGGTGAAGGGAACACAGCCTCAAATCTCAGGCGCATCCTTCCATAGTAGTTATTGGGCACAGTGGTCTCTGCAGTCAGCAAAGGCCCATAGAAGGATTCACACTATGGCCTTGGCGATAACAACGCCGGGAGTCCAGGCTGGTCCACAAGCGTCAACATGAGCCCTCTTGCGCAATATCCTTGGCATCATTGACTGGTAGGCTTTCTTGGTGGATGTTATAATATCCGGTGCGCGTGCCTGCAAAGATGATGTTGATCTGTGATAGAGATTCCTGAACCTTGTTTGTATCAAAGCGCTTGAGTGCTTGCAGGATGGTCGCAGCTCGTCGCCAAATCCGGCCATGGGCCTGGGTAGCATGCATAGGATGTGCTCACCAAGTTCGAGCTTTGAACTCGACATCGGGCGCAATCAACACGTCCCCTTCGACCACCAGCGCCGCACTACCGAGCACACCAACCGTACCAGTCTGTGGGTTTGCAGCAAATCTTGCAATGGTGTATGATTGGAACAAAACAAATGCAGAGACGATAACTCACACAATCGTCCCTCATGTCACCACATATCCTAATGGTAGTGCCGTGACAAGCCTGGAGACCATCGCAGCCGACCAGCCGGAAGTGACGGACTTTGTACGCAATACGGCCGTAATAGACGGATGGTTCACAATGTAAGTCGTTTGTGCCTTTCATTCTACGCTCCTCAAACGTCGTATGCCCAGGGGCTTACCCGTTCATCAATAGGACCTATCCGGAGACATGGGTGAAGTACGTCGACTTTTGGTCTGCTAACTGCACAAAGCGCGACCTCACCATCCCCGGCTACGACACAAAGCTGGTTATGCCTGCTACCACAGATCCTGCCAAGTTCTTCTACACGGCAGACCCCCTAGGCTGGGACGTTGGGCCTAATCCAGCGACCGTGACGCCCGCCATGATAGAATACCTGGCAGGGCTGCAAACTGTCGTCGAGCAAATGAGCGGCGAGGATATCAGGACATGCACGTTTGCCACTTGTGCTCAGACAGCCGTGGGCCACTCGATGGTGTCTGCTTCTGTGCTGATACAGGCGACAGAGACAGCGGAAGCCGTGCACTACACTGCGCCTGCTCCATCGTCAACCGAGCGCAGCACGGCAGAGGCTCCGTCGTAAGTGTCTGACGCCGCCCTGATGTTGATCCTGGTACTGACGGTAGACGTGTTAGCCCGCCGGCGACGACCGCCGTGGCCTCTCCAACGGAGCATTCGGCTAGCCCTGCTCCCACATTGGTGTCACCTCCTGACCAACCCCCAGAGCCTGAACAGCCCCCGTCTCAGGGCCAGCCCTCGGATGAGCAGCCTGCCCAGTCTTCGGTTCAAGCGCTGCCCTCAGAAGAATCTCCCGTCCCGCAGCAGCCGAACAACCCAATATCGTCTGTAGAGGTCACCATCATCACGGGAGAAGGTTCAAATGGTGCTGCCCCAAGCAGGACACCTGTGGGCAGCGAGGCCGCTTCCGTTGCGCCGACCGAGACAACTTTTGTGCGCACGGTGACGCCAGGAGGGCAGACCCTGATCCAGACAGTAGTCTCTCCGGTCGCAAACCCTGCCCCGGCAGAGGTGACGCTGGTGGAAACTGTCAGCTCTGATGGTCACTCGGTCGTTCAGACGTTGGTATCAATCTTGCCTCCCCCCAACGTACAAGCATCAGAAATCACCCTGGTCAGGACGGCCACCTCGGAAGGCAACACGGTCCTGGAGACAGTGGTCTCTATCTCGCAAGCTGCCGTGGGTGACAGCCAGGCTTCCGAGGTGACTCTGGTCGAGACAATCACGTCTGGGGGAAGCACAGTGTATGAGACGCTGATTTCGATTGCGCATGGATCTGCAGGAGGGGAGCAGGCGTCACAGGCACGGCAGGTCACGTTCCTTAGGACGGTGACGTCGGACGGGCGGACACAAGTGCAGACGGTCGTGTCTGCTGCGTCGACAGGCGACTCGCCAGCGCAGACAACCTTCACCAGGACCGTCGTTTCAGACGGACAGACGTACTCGCAGACCGTGGTGTCGCCTATCGCCAGCGAGACGTCTACTGGCTCGTCTGGCGCGTCTGCTTCCAGCCCAGTTGTGACGGCTGATGCTGGTGACAACTTGGCGCAGCTTGGCTTGACCGTGGGATTGATGGCATTCAGCACGGCGCTTCTTCTTGTGTTGTAAGCAAAGGTCATGCGGCTTGTACAATAGACGACTATCGCAAGTATTCAGTGACATCAATAATGGCATGGTGTATTTTCCTTGTAGTGATGTTGGTAGATAGAGGCAGACTGGACGTGTAATTATTACTAAACCATGAAGAGAAGAAGTGACAATACCTCTGAGCCAGTCGTGTAGTCAGTCTCTGATGTGGGTCGCGCCAGTGCTTCCAAGTTGCCTGAGGCTTCCAAATATTGCTTTTATTGTCGTGGTGTTTTATTTGTGGACCGCCCTAGGCGTTAAGCTGCAACAACATCAAATGTCCTAGAAGTGTGGTGTTGTGATGTTATATCAGATTTGAAGAAGATGTGGCCGTGTTATGGTTGGGGACAAAGCCACTTACACGGTACCTAGGTACTTGGTAGACGGGGATCGTCTCGAGATTCCAGAACTTTCTGCGCTTGACAAATGGGCGGGGTCCCCCCCTGCACCACAGCGAGCTTGCCGAATTCCAGGGACCGTCGAGCGACCCTCAGCAGAGAGCTAGCTGCTGGACCGACTGCATCGCAGCTTGGACGAAGCTGTCAGCTCGCCTTGCCGTCCACCACCCCACGACCCCACGACCCGCGCCTTCCGATGCTGTTGGCAGCTGCGCAGCCGTGGCTCGACAATGGTCCGTACTTGGACTTGCTGTGCAGGTGTGCTCAAGTACATAACCAGACCGCATGCATACATCGCATCGTGCTGTGCCGTGCCACCTCACCCCCAGCCGAGCCGTACCGTACCGTACCGTACCGTATTCTATCGTATACTGTGACCTTCTGTAACCTGCCGTCTCCCGCCTTGCATCTCCCACCTGCCTGCCTGCCTTGTGCCCTCTGCCTTGTGCCCTCGAGGCTCGGGACGACGACAACGACGACAACGACGACGACGACGACGACGACAATGCTCGTCCGCCTTTCCAACATCGCCCTGCTGACCTGACACCCTGCAGTCCTCCATCCACCCCTCCATGCTAATCAATCAATCACTTGCTCACTCAAGTGCCCACTGAGACAACATCCGCACTGTACGCACCACCACCACCATCATCATCATCATCATCACCACCACCTCGTCGCTCGCCTGCCTGTCCCATTCGAGACAGCAATGGCGGTACAAGAAGCCGCCGCCCTCAAGGAGCAGGGCAACAAGCGTTTCGCAAGAGGCGACTTTGGGGGCGCAGAGGGCCTATATTCCCAGGCGTAAGTCGTGATCCCCCAGCTCCTTGTCACGGATTCGCCCCAGCCGACGCACCACCTCCCACAGCATCATTGCCGACCCCAAAGACCCAAAGATCTACACCAACCGCGCCCTGGCCCGTTTAAAACTCCAGCGCTGGGAGGACGCCATCCTGGACTGCCAGACATGCCTCGCCTTCTCCTCGGACAACATGAAGGCCCACTTCCTCCTCGCGCAGGCCCAGATCGAGCTCAAGTACTTTGACGACGCCCTCCACAACGTCAAGCGCGCCCACGACCTCGCCGCAAAGACCGGCGACAAGTCCCTCACCGCCATAACAAACCTCGTCCTGCGGTGCAAGAAGGAGCGCTGGGACGACAGGGAGAGGCGCCGCCTGCGCGACGGCTCCGCACTCGAGCGCGAGGTGCTCGACATGCTCGACAGGGAGCGCGCACAAGCCCAGGCCGACTGCGCCGACCACGACGAGCTCAGGGATGTCACCGCAGAGTGGGACGCCAAGATCGCCGAGATGAAGAACACGTTCCAGCTCGCGAGGGGCGAGCAGGGCCGGAGGAGAAACGTCCCCGACTGGGCCGTCGACGACATCACCTTCGGCATCATGGTCGACCCCGTCATAACAAAGACGGGCAAGAGCTACGAGAGGTCCAGCATCCTCGAGCACCTCAAGCGTTCCAAGACGGACCCCGTCACGAGGGAGCACCTGGACCCCGCTGACCTGCGGCCCAACCTCGACCTGAGGGACGCCTGCGAGGACTTTCTAGAGAACAACGGGTGGGCCGTCGACTGGTAGGATCCTGTCGACACGTGCACCCTCGCGCCCCAGCCCCAGCCCTCGTCCCAGCCCCCGCCCTGGCGCTGTCTGGTGTGCAGGTCCTGGCTGGGCTTAAAGCGCCGGGCCAAGGGGCCACGCCTACACATTGGGCGACCACGGCTTTCATAGGCGGCGCCCCATCACCTACACTTCTGTTTATAGAACTCCACTATCATCACCTAGGATCGACGTGTCGGGTTGCGGCATACAACATTGCAAATGGCGTTCGGCTGGTACTGAGTGGACTTCAATCCGACATGTCCAGGCATGGGCAACGTCTGCAGCGGGAGAATGGCTTGTCCTTGTTCAGATTCGGGAGTGCCTGGACGGGCACTACACACCCTAGGTAGTACCGAGGTCCAATGGTTCTCCATTTGGATTAATTAATCAATCACGCGTCTCCAATTCGGCTTCGTCTCTGTTCGTGCAATTGCCTCTCGCGCTTGGCTGGTGTGAGAGTCGTCATGGGGTTATGGTAAGCAAGTGAGAGGCTGGGAGTGTAACCCCTTCATTTGGCACGTTGTATGAAGACTTGGCAAAGTGTACGGCGTTCAAGGTCGGGAGTCACCACCATTGAATCGACCTGGAGATTGTCAGCAGATCTACTGCCAAGGGGTGAGAACAAGAGACCTACTCGCCATGTTAAGAAAAGACAGGATTGTACCTACCTAATACTTATTAGGTGCCCAGGTACGTAGCCAACACTGTTAGGCCGTACCCGTTCGCATTTACCGGATGTCCAGATCATTAAAGACGTCGGGCTTGAGGAATTAAAGTACCCAGGTACTCAAGGTCTCGTCTTTAGAAAGTAACTAACCAGGCTGCTCGCCAGGAGTAGTTGGCCGCTGACGAGCAGTCAAGCAGCAGAAGCTCGGAGAGTTTATCCCCCGACTCTCGGTATCGGTGAAATCGATCGGTGAAATCAGCACTACAACGGCGAGTGTTCAGAGCCAGCTGGCGGGATTGAGTTGAGCCGTCCTTGCTTACAAAAAGCAGTGATTGGTACCAGTCTACTCAAGTACTTGCTCACACACAAGCTCAGGCTTGGTGGGGCTGGGCATTGCTGTGCTTACACGGCGTCTACTATGTACTAGGTATGTCGCATCCCATCGCTCGGTCGCCGTGTTCTCCACAATAGAGTACATACCTAGGTACTTGAGTATATGAAGACATGCTTTGAATCAATCTCATTTTAAAACTTCATGAGCTAGTAAATTGGCTGTCAGACAAGACAAAGGACTGCTGATCCAATACTAGCGTCCAGATCCGAACCACAAATCCCATGTTGAGATCTTATGAGTTAGTTTAGAGCCAGCCTTCACCTGCTTTCACCAACATGGGCGAGCAATTCAATGCTTGGACATTCACCCATGGCGGCTACCCGACGGCGCTGCAGCAGTCAGCCCTGCCGCCCGACAATGAACCGTTGAAGCCTTCAGAGATTCGTGTCACGACCCATGCCGCATCAATTAATCCTGTCGACACCCAGATGATGGGCTTCCCGCTTTGGCCCTACCTCCCAAGCTTCGTGATGCCCTCCCAGAAGGGCGTGGCCGAGGACTTTTCCGGCGTAGTCCAAGAGGCAGGGCCGGAGTCGGGCCTCAAGCCGGGCGACGAGGTCTTGGGCATATCCCCGTTTCTCCCCGGGGGCACCCTCCAGAAGACCATGCGTCTCGACACCAAGCGGGGTTCCGTGGTAATCCCAAAGCCCGCCGGCTGGTCGTGGGAACAGGCCGCCGCCCTTCCCCTCGTCTGGCTCACGGCGCGGACAACCATCGCCGAGGTCGAGAGGTACGCCAAGAACGGCAGGATTGCGGTGCTGGGAGGGAGCTCTGCGACCGGGATGTACGCGGTGCATCTCGCAGCGCGCCGTGGGTGGACGGTGGCCGCCTCGTGCTCCCGCCGCAACGCCGACTTTGTCCGCAGCATGGGGGCGGGCGAGATCATCGACTACGAGACCGAGAGCGTTCCCGGTCGACTCAGAGACTTCGCACCAGACGCCGTGATCGATTGCGTTGGCGGGACGGAGTGCCTGGGTATTGCCAACAGGTATGTAACGATTGTCGGCGACAAGACCAACCGGTTCACAATGGGCGGCGCGAATACCTACCTGTGGAATCCTCAGATGATCCTGCGTGCCGTTCTTGGGAGGCTTGGTCTTGGTCCGTCGTACAGCTGCGTCAATCTCGAATTCAAGTACGCTTTCCTGGAGGAAATCCTGGGTCTGCCCAAGGACAAGATAATCATCGACAGCATCTTTGGCTTCGGCCAAGTCAGGGAAGCGTTCGAAAGGCTTAATACGGGGCGCACAAGGGGGAAGGTCATAGTCAGGATCAGCAGTTGAAGCTGGTCCAAGCGAGTGCCAACCTTTCTACCTGAGTACCCAGGTAGGTGGAGGCTCGGTGACTCCAGACTTGAGGATGTCAGGACGGGGCTTGGAGCTGGCGGTTTGCTCTACTTTGTGCACTTCAGCATATCACTTAGCCTAAAATATCGTGGGAGAGATCTGAAAGTCAGAGTTAAAATTGGTAGAATCAGGCACTTCCATCAATATCGTTCATCTACTAGTATCACATTCAGACCAACATGGGACGGCCTCGCATAAAGTTTATTGCCACCTGAGGTTTCCGGCGAGCCTGAGATTCTCGCAGATGGGAGCTAAGAAAACACGGCCGCCCCAAAAAGATGCGTCTAACCACCAAAGTAGACACCCCGGGCAAACAGCAGGACCTAGCACCATACCAACCGTCCCCTAGAGAGCTCACCCATCATGAGGATTGTGTAGGATGACCATCCGATGAGCGACACATGTTCTCACCGTTGCGGTAATCTTCAGGCGTCAGTATTCTTCGGATGCGTTTCATGAAGGTCTCCCAGCCAGCGACGTTCTGGACGGGCGCAGGCCGTTCAAGATGATCTGTATGCCCTCGACCGTCAAGGTGGTGTCCGAGATATTCTCTACTTTGGGCGGTTCATCTATGCAATGGCGCACTTGAATCAGTCCAGACCACGCGATATATAAGGAATGGAGGTCAGCAGCCAGCCACAATACGCCGAGCAAGAATGAAGAACCCGTATATTGCGAGTAAGACAGATAGCTTGATCTCATATCCTTGATCTTTGTGCCTGGAGCAACGGCCCGAGGCAATGCCCAGCCCGCAGCGCGTTTGTGTGAAGTCTTATGACGCACTGAACCAAGGCTTGGTCGCATCGAGATCGAGACAGCAGGAAGCACGACAGCCTCGAGCGCGGCACGAGACCTGCGTGGGCTCAGAATGGGCATACACATGGGATGATGTTGTACCACGTCGTGTGTGTGGACGGCATGCTGTCCCGTGTCTAGTCCCAGCTGTAATCCGCACTCAGGCTAAATCGGGCGCCAGAGAGAGACGTGCCTAGCTCAACAACGGTACTCTCTCGACGAATGTACATATATTGAATACTGATGAGTAAGATCATGCATGGATACCTGAAAGATAGCGTGACTCGGTTGCCGAGCGCACCGCTGAAGCCGACATCACTACCGCTGTGTTTCTCTGGTAGGTGCGTGGAGTGCGAAGCCGGATGCTGGCCCGAGATGGTCGTGCCAGCAGGCATGATCAGAACAAGCAAGCCTCAAACGCCGAGTCAGTGTATCGATACAGGATCGTGTCTGTCGTTCAGTAAATCGCTGGCTGTTGTACCACTCTCGCGCTGCTCTTGTGCGGGCCGACAGCCCCACCCAAGATGCACTCAGCAGGCACCCATCTCGTACCTACAGCTGTGTATCATCAGCAGCTTGATCCTCCTGGCTGGAGATAGGGCCCTTCCAATTTCCAAGCTCATTGAGTGATTACGTCGGGCGTTGGAGTTCAACCCGCGTGCTTGCTTTCACGAGATCCACTACCTTCACGTTTCGGCCTGACAGCGGAAGCCTCATCGATCTTGTACAAGCAGCCTGGGCCGGCGTCTTGCCAATGTCATTTTCAGTATGTCACCCTCAGTCCTTGATGTCCACTAGAATCTCTGAAAATAGCGACGCCAGGGATCTGTACAACGAAGTACGCAGACGTGTTGGCTTCCGATCGAGTCCTGGTGTGTTGATTCTACTACATCGTCAAATGCAATAGGAGGAATAGAGCACCGAGCCTTGTGCGAGCGCGCCCAGGGGTGAACCGTCTGGAGCTGCCTAGCATTACTTTGTACTGCGTGTGCGATCTTCTCTTGTCAAAGAGCGGTAAATTTGACCGCGAGTGGTCTGTGGGTACGGCTCGAGACCGTCAGTCTGTATGCCATTGCCGGGACCACATCAAACACCGCTGGGGTCTCTGAAATCGGGCATGATGGGTTTGGATTTAGCGCTGATAGCTAAGCCTTGGATATATAGCCCCAGGCGACCATACACTCAAACACTGTGCCAGCCTTACGCGAATCCCATGACGACGGGTTCTTGCTGCAGATCTCCTTGACCTGCTTTTTCTTCAGGGAACCATTACCCTTGACAGCTTCCCTGATAATCTCGGCCTTCACCATGACATATGGCTTCGGCTGCATCCTGATCACTTCGCAGAGCCGAACCTCCTCGCTTGTGAGCAGATGGTAATCGGGCATATCTTGGGTCAGCTGCATCGGTGTGACGCCCGATATAGGCTGTGGGACATGAGTTGGCTTCTTCGAGGAGTCAGCGCCGTTGGCCACGACAACACTGCTTCCGTTGACACCGTGGGCGTGGTTCCCGTTCGTATGCTTCGAATCTCCACCGGCCGAAGCCTCACCATTCGGGAGTCCGCTCTTTGCTGCTGGCCGTATGGGGAGGTCTGGGGCCACCAGGAGAGCGGCTCCGCTTGGCGGGTCTGAAGGGGGTGGTTGCTTATTCCTTTGAGCCGCCGCCAACCGTTCGCGGTCCATGGATCCCATGGGAATCTTGTTCTGTGCGCGAGCTGCCTTGTCCTGCTCGTACTTCTCGCCGCTTCTGAGGTTGCCGATGCCCATGTTGCGCCAATCCTGAAGCTGGGTAATGGCCTGTCGGAGGTTGAGCTCATCAACAAGACCCTGGTTGAAGTCCTCAAAGTCCTTGTGGTTCATCATGCGCGCAAATGGTTTCGCCTTGTTGAGGATGTCTCGCTCTTCCTTCGATCGCTTCTTATCAAGCTTGGTGTTCTCTCGATAGTCCAAGAGGTTGTGTTCGAAGATTACCTTTTTGCGATCGACACGCTGCGTCAGCCGGGAGTTGTAAATCTCCATAACCGTCAGCTTGAGTTCCATCTCTGGCTCCAGCTGGCCTGTGTTTGGGTTGATGCCATCGCCAGGCTCGAACTGCATGAGTTGGACAGCTTCCTCGGCTTCGTTCGCGTGCTCGGTCTCGAACTCCAGGCGGCCCGGCATGTAGCCCTGGATCTCGTGGCACGACGGGACAGAGGCGGTTGGTTTTGTCTTTGGAGGCGGCGCAGGCGCGTTCTTGATTGCGTCTTTCCGCTCCTCTATTCTCCGTTTCTTGCGTGCTTGGAAGTCCTCCCGTGTGATCGCATTGGCCAAGGCGGTATCCTTGGGACTGCAGCGTTCAGGCAGAGGGAACTTGGAGGACTGGATATAGACCTTCTCGTAGTGGTCCCTGACCTCGTCTTTTGTGCGATATCCTCCAATATGGTCCGCAATGTCTGCCCACGAGCCAAGCCCGTAGATCTCACAGCCCTCGAGGAGGAGGAGCTCCTCATCTGCCCCCCACTCTTCGTCGTATATGGGAAATGAATTCTGTTCTATAACCCGGTACGGATGTGTGGCAGGGTTGTGGTTGTTGCTTCCTGAGCCCTTGGAGAAGCACTGGACGCAGAGGTCATAATCGATACAAGTGGCGTGTGCGCATCGTATGCGTACCTAAAATGGCGAGAGAATATGGATGTCAGAACCGGCAGAGCAAGTCTTGAGTGTCCGGAAGGGGGGGAGGGTTGGTGAGCTGCTGCGCAATGGGGCGACAGGGGGAGAGAGGGGTGGGAGGTTCCTCACGGTAGATGTGATGTCTACAGAGCAAACATCACATATGTATTTGACACCACCCTCGCTACCTCTGGTGGCAGTCTTCTTCCTGATGACAGCCATAGCGGCTGCCGAAGGTCGTAGCGACGGTCAGGCAGTCCTCGCGTCGGGCCCTCGGAAGGTCTTGGCAACGATGAAGGGCTCAGGTGGGCGTCCGGCTGGCCCAAAAGACAATTAATACAGTGGATCGTGCAGAATGAAGCGAGAATTGATGATGCGACGCGTCAGGCCGATGTTTGGGGGCGAGTATTGATGAAAGTTGAGCGTGGTAGTTGGGCTTGGATGATGCTGGATTGATGCACAGGTGGAATCGCGAGTGAGCAAGTGTGGGGCCTTGACCGATCCCCGTTGGACCAGACGGGTGGGTTGACCTAGAGCCGCAGGAACCAATTCAAAGCTCCTTGGTTGCTAAGCGTATACGGAGCTACCAGGTACCTGGGTGACCAGGTACTCCACCCGGCAGCGCGGAAGACCAGGAGCTACGCATGCCTCTGGCCCAGAAGGTGTACCCAGGTATCCAGGTACTTCGGTACTAAAATATCCGAGGCGGCTGTTGCGCATAGAACTACAACTGCCACAGCAGTTCAAATAATTGCCTACCAGATACGGTGCGCTGGTAGTTTACATAGCTAGACATTCTGCGTGGATGTCTAGAACATGTGCCGCTTGTATACCTAGGTAGGTACGTATGTATTGTCTCTTATTCTTATTATTGTTAATTTATTTTATTGATAAAACAAAGATACAACTTCTCTCAACCGCTGCACCGAATTTATACAGCATAACAACAGACAACAACAGACTGGCTGCTGGCTCCGGTTTCCCCGAGTTGCGGCCCACCCCCAGCCGAGGCCAACGGGGCCAACGGGGCCAAACGACACTGGGGACTGGGCCCGTCATGGCCAGAGCTTGAGCGAGGACAGCCACGGCCGCCCCACCAGGCCAGGAGCCGTTTGGCGGGGTATCAACAGAGAGTGCAGTGCTCTGTACTCCGTACGGAGTAACACCACCCACCCTTGCGACAGAAGGACCGATGACAGGTTTGTTAGTGCGCATGATCCTTATTAGTGCCTACCTAGTTGCCTAGGTACTTAAGTAGCTAGGTAGTCTGCAGTACGTATAAGAAACAGCTCACGCGTCTTGAAATCTCTGGCCCGGCCCCCTTATGCCCTCTGCAGCCCTCTGCCCTTTTCCACCATGCCCGACAAGATCCTCGACGACATCTCGCACCGCAGGTACAACCCGCTGACCGGATCCTGGCTGCTGGTCTCGCCCCACCGAACAAAACGGCCCTGGCAGTGAGTACCCTGTGGCTGACCCGCAGGCGCGCGGCAGTGATGAATGACATGATGTGTCTGACCACCAATGTCCCAGAGGGCAGCAGGAGGGCGCGCAAGCCAATACCCTGCCAGACTATGATCCACAGGTACGTCCTGTCGTCCTGTCGTCTTGTGCAGGCGCAGGCGCAGGTGCAGGTGCAGGTGCAGGTGCAGGTGCATGGCCACTGGCCCTCGTCGCTGACCCGCCAACAAACAGTGCTACCTCTGCCCTGGCAACCCTCGCGCCCAAGGCGACGCCAACCCGCAGTACGCAAACACGTTTGTCTTCGTCAACGACTACAGTGCCGTCAAGGAAGAACAGGCCGAGTACCACCCGCCCGAGCCCGCGTCCAGCCATGACCTCTCGGCCCTCCTGCTCCGCGCCGAGCCCGTCACGGGCAAGTGCTACGTCCTGACCTTCAGTGCGAAGCACTCTGTGACCCTCGCCGACATGTCGCCCGCCGAGATCCTCCCCGTCATCGAGACATGGACCCGCATCTACGCAGCCCACCTGTCCCCCTCGAGCCCCCTGGCCGACGTCGCCGCCGCCCTGCCGCTGCTGCAGAGGCACCCCGGCCTGCCCGACAACATCGACCCGCCCAAGAACCAGCTGCGCTACATGCAGATCTTCGAGAACAAGGGCGCCGCCATGGGCTGCAGCAACCCCCACCCCCACTGCCAGGTCTGGACCACGAGCACCCTGCCCGAGGAGCCGGGCAAGGAGCTCCACCAGATGGCAAGGTACCGCGCCGAGCACGCCGGGCGCCACCTGCTGGCCGACTACGTCAAGCTGGAGATGGACAAGGGGGAGCGTCTGGTCTGGCAAAACGAGGCCTTCGTCGTCGTCTGCCCCTGGTGGGCCGTCTGGCCCTTCGAGCTGCTGATCATCGCCAAGAGACATGTGCGCGCCCTGGTCGACCTGAGCGACCGCGAGAGGCTATGCTTTGCCGAGGCGGTCCAGGAGGTCACCAGGAGGTATGACAACCTGTTCGAGTGCAGCTTCCCCTACAGTGAGTCCCGCGGCCTTTCCCATCCTCCATGTCGACCTGCCACCAGGAACCGCCGTCCAGCACTGTGGTGGCTAACATGACCAGGTTCCGGCATCCACCAAGCCCCGCTCGACTGCACAGAGGAAGAGGCCGAGAATAGCTACTTCCACATGCATTTCTACCCGCCTCTCCTGCGCTCGGCGACGGTGCGCAAGTTCCTCGTGGGATATGAGCTGTTGGCCGAGCCGCAGCGGGACATTACGCCGGAGCAGGCGGCGGCAAGGCTCAGGCCCCTGGGAGGCGAGGTCTACCGCAAGAGTCTTCAGAAGTAGACAGGCCATGCAGAGACGAGGGCCACTTTGAAAATCCTATTTGTAACGCCTTGTATCAAGCATTAGTAGTATATAGACAGTAGAGCCAGCGCTAGACTCATCTCGCCTACAGCGAGCGGTCGTGTAGAGAGTGGTATCGTGATCGGCGACGTGCACCGCGAACAGTGTCCATCACCTCCCAACTGGCCCGGCAGCTGCGCCGGGTGCTTTGTTCACTCTGTATACAAGCCAAACACCCTCTTCCCCCCCCCTTCCTTTTTCCCTTGCGCGTGCCCATCTGTCGACCCAAAATCCACCCTTGATATTTCATGCCTTGACATAGTGTGAATAATACAGAGTCATCCACACGCTACCGCTGATGGCAGCCGAGAAAGGGAAGGCGTGCTCCCAGCCCAGTTTGACGGTCTTGAACACGAAAGCCTCGCTGGTGAAGTGCACCGCCGCCAGTAGGTGCGTGATCAGGCACATCTGGTACAACACGGGGTCGTGCACGCGGTAGGCGCCGTAGAGGCGGATGAGGCCGGCGAGGACGGTGTACACGCCAAACAGCCGGGCGGCCAGGGGCGTGACCTGGTCGACGCCGGTGGGCTTGTCCTTCAGGGACGGCGCGTCGGCCAGCGGCTGGAGCTTGTCGACCGCGTCCGGGTTGGCCGATGCGCGGGGCACGAAGAGCCCGTTGTAGATGCGCCGGGTGTAGTGGAGGGTCATGAGGTTCTGGACTGCATTGCCAATGGCTGCCACGGACACCTGGAGACTCACGTGGTCAGCCTTGCGTGGCAGGGTACGGGATGGCGCCGCGTAGCTAACTCACCAGCAGCAGGTAGTAGGGGAGGATTCCGTCCTCGGCTGAGGGAAGTAGGCCGAGCATGCTCGCGACTCGCGCTTGTTGGGGGCGTCGGGGGCTCGAGGCGGCTTCGTGATGCGTGGGATGAGGCTGACAACGTCAATTGGATTGATCCTAGGACAGCTTCGACATCTGGTGGCCTGTGGTAGTTGTGTAAGATGTACACTAGAACTAGATATGGTGTGACAAAAGTGGAAGTTGGCGGCTGGCAGTTTGTTCCCGGGACCGCTTCGGCAAAGATACTCGAGAAGTACGTACCCACAGGCCCGCAGCAGCCAATCAATCAATCACCCACGAGGAGCTGCCGGGGCACAACGACCACCAGATCGTTCATGCTCGAGCGAGCCAGGGAGACAGACTATCACTATCGAGTATTGTTGACGACTGGAAGATGGATACCAGAATCGGAATTATCACATATTATAGACATTAACTGAAAAAATTAACTGAAAACCCCCTCGTACCCGCTCTGCCCTTTCTCTTTTCCCTGGCCCATTGGGCAGAACATGCTCGTCTCAACCCGAGCAGCAAAACCCCAAAGCCATCAGCAGCTTGAACCCTGGCGGCCGATGCCGATGAGCCCAAGCAGCCCACCCAGGATGTTGCTCAACAGGCTTGCCAGCCCCGGGACGGAAGTGATGAGCTTGCCTTCCAGGAGCGCGTTGGCAATGGCCGGCACGTTCTTGCTAGACGACATCCACGTCTTGACCTCGCACCTGTCGCTGGGCACAAAGGTCCTGACCGGCTGGGGGAGCACCTTGGTGCAGTCCGTGAGCGAGTTGATGTTGTTGACGCCCAGCAGGCTGAGGCGCACATACTCGCGGGCATAAAGCTGTCCCAACAAAGGCCACGTTAGCGATCCTGTCCCGGCCACTGCGGCTGGTCGCCGCCGTTTTGGTTCCGCGGGGGTTACTTACAAGGTTCCACGGCAGCTGCGCGGCGTTGTTGGGTGCGGCAAAGGCAGTGAACAGCCTGCTCATCCTCGGGTCTGCGGCCAGCTTGATGTCGCTGGCGAACTTGAACACGCGGGCGGGTGCGTTGGGGTTGATGGTCTCGTTGTAGTAGAGCATGTCCCAGACCCCCGGGGTGCTGTCCTGAGGATCACCGGCCCGGCGGGGGTCGACGAACCGTTGCTGAGCCGTCGAGTGCGCACCGAGAAGCGCCACCAGGCCGTTGGGCTGGATGGTCTTGTCTTGGAACAGCTTGATCAGGAAGTCGGCACTTCCGTCGACGGGCGGGAGGAGGCCGTCCCTGGCAGGCTTGGGGTTGTCCTTGCGCCCGATGTAGGTCTTGGTGCGAGGCCCGAGGGGACAGACTACAGTCGCAACATTTGCCCCCATCTGGATAAGGTCTGCTGCCGAGATGCCGTAGCCCTTGTACTTGTTGAACCAGACCTGGGTCAGCGTCACGATTTCCTCGAGGCCACGGTTTCCCGGGCGCCGGATCTCGTCCGAGTTGAGTATGATTGATCCATCAGCGCCGCCGTCAGGCCCGGTATTCTTGGACCACCCGGCCGCGTCATGGAACCCGAGGCGGACCGCCGCCCTGGCCGCGTTGGTGCACCTGCCAGACGGCCCCTTGAAGGCGGTGACCATCTCGTTGGCGATATATTGCCACACGCAGCACGTGTCAGCCTTGCACTGCGGTGTGCCCAGCCTGGGGACGTTGGGATACGTCTCCAAGCTCTCGCCGTTGGCCTGGTGAAGGATCACCGCCTTGATGTCCTTGCCAACGGGTGTGAGCTGGCTGTCCTGCAAGGTGGTCAGGTCGCCGATGAGCTCGTTGGAGTTGAGGCTTGGGTCGACTGGCCCGCCCTGGCGGGACATGATGTTGGCCTTGATTTCTTCGACAATTTTGGTCATGCCCGGGTGCGCTACAGCGTTGCCAACAAATGTTGCGCCTACGCAGGCAGTAGTCAGAGCCGAGAACTTCATCGTAGTCTTGTAGTAGTTGGTAATGGGTGACTGAGCACAAAAGAAGGAAAATAAGGCTCGGGCAAGGTCCGGATTGGAGGTCAGATCGGTTGAAGAAAGAGGGACGATGTGATGAACGAAGGTGATGGTCCTAGTATTGGCAACATTATTGTGCTGGTGAGGGCGTCTCGTGATATTTATATTCTGGCCGGCCTGCTCTTCCTCTCACCACAACATGCTCGGACGACATGTAGACCCTCAAGTTGTGAAATGGCATTCCATATCACTGTAGTTTCAAACACAAAGACTCTTGGCTACTGCCTCTGTACACACTTTCTTCACCATGTAGTTATCGGGGCACACGGTTGTGGGCGCCTCCAGCCCATTCTGGGCTGGGCTGGGTTGGGTTGGGAGGGGGGGGGGGGACGAGTCCGTGTTCTTCACGAACGCTGGGTGGCCTAGTAGACCACATGAGGCTCCAAGACGGCTTGCCTGGGTCGACTTGGCATCCATCTTGCCGGGTCGTGCAAGTGGCGCCAGCACCATCTATCACGAGGTGGCTTTAGCATGCGGACCCGAGTCGGCAGGGAGCTGGTACTGTAAGGCCGTGCCCTTACAGAATAGACCTGGCTGTGGAAGATGTTCCACAGACATTATCACGCCTCTTTGGTTGACTGGCATCTGGAATTGGGCGTATGGGCTCTCCTTCTCTGTCGTTAACCTGACCCTTACCTTCACTCTCCCGATCGTGCAAAGCGAACCCTTGCCTGCAGCAAACATGGTCTCGTGTGTCTGTTCACAACAGCACCACGACGTGGCCAGTATGGTCGCCGGACCTCGCCCTTCGCGGGCTAGATGTACCTACCTAGGTAGGTAGCGAGCGTTGTTAGAGGCCCCCTGGATGGAGTTGGCATCCTCGTGGCCTCTCTGTGGTGGTTACGGCGGCGAGAAAGGGGCGTTCCTGAACTAAAACGCGGCAGCTTGGATGAACGGCGTCGCCACCAACGTGATAGCGCGTGCTCCGAGTTCCGACAACGCACCTGGAGCGCAAGAACCGCATCCCGTAATAGAGTCTGGACGACGCCAACGTGCGCGCCCGAGCCCCGGGCCGAGCCCAAAGCGCAGCCCTTATCGGATGAAGGAGAGGAGCATGAGCACGATCGACTCGTTAAAAGGCCAAGACCGCCCGAAGAAACCGGCGTTGCCAATGCTCTTCCGTGCCTTTGTCGACTTTTCAGCTGCGCACGCCTTTCAAGTCCTAGACATGCCCGAACAGCTTCAGTAGGGCCACTTGCAGTCGGGCTGGGCGAGCAAGAGGCTCTTGGCAACCCAAAAACATCCCTTCGGACCTTCACAGCCTCAGAGCCTGTGTGCCCCTGTTGGACTAGCTCATCTAACGACGTGTCAAGGGAAATGAGACAGTACGCACCCGACGACCAGGCTTCACGAGCCGTGTGTTCCCGGCTGGGAGCAGACGAGCAGGCACGGGCGTCCAGAGCTGAGCTGGTGGGAGCGGATGGGCAAGAGATTTTTGTCCCCGGGCCAGAGAGTATCTGGTGTCGTCCTGCACGGTTCAAAGCCAAGCCGACTTCTGAGCCCAGGTGCCCGACTAACCTTGAAGCCGACATCAGAACGCATGCCATGCGTTCCGGTGACCCCGATGCCAAGCTCTCGGGTCGCAAGGGCTCGAACACTGCAGTGGCAGAATCGCAGAATCGCATGGGAATGGCCTGCAAATTTGCCATAATCGGAACAGGGATTTGTTCGTGAACGGTCAACTGCTTCGTGCGCCACGCGTACCGAGCCGCCTGTGGGATGAGCGTGCGGCTGCTGCGATGGCTTGAGTGCACATGTGCTGATGCTCGTTGCTGCCGAGAAATATGGTTCCCAGTGTGCAAGCTAGGAGTCCCGACAGTAACAGACAGACAGCCCATCCAGCCAGCCAGCAACCTTTAGAGACCAGCCCAATGTTGCATAGGGTGAATCCATGATCTTTGTTTGGTATATATGCCTGACACCAATGACGGTACGGTACTTAGATACTGCTAGGAAGTAACTAATTTAGATTATTTATTCTAGCCTTTAGGCCGGATAGGAGAGTATGTGGCTAGTAGTTAATTTTATTATTATAATATCTTTATAATAGATATTATAAGTTATAAATTAAGGTATATATATATTAATTTTAAAATATATAATTATAAAATAATAAAAGATTTAAAATTTAATTAGTTTTATATTTATTTAAAATTTATATAAAAATAATATATATTTAAATTAAAAAAATTAAAATTAAAAACCTTAAAAGAATTATTATAATATAAAATATTTTTAATTTCTTTATAATATAATATAAGAAATCTTTTAAAATTTATTTTATTATTTTTATTTTATAATATTATATAAAAGTTTTTATTTATTTTAATATTAATTATATTAATATTTTAAATTAATATATATAAATATTAAATACGTTATATTTTATATAAAAATATATAATAACTTTATAATATTTTATTATTATAATTATATTAGGTTATAATTTAAAATAAATAACTAAATATATAAGTTATTTATAACTTTTAAGGCTCTAAGCTCTTTTAAAGTTAGAATTATTAAAGGCTTTCTTTCTTTCTTGCTTTTTTTCTTAAATAAACGGGTAGAGTCCCTTGTGGCAAACCTTGGAAGATTGGAGGTCAATCCTGTATAGCTACTTAAGTACTTTTCAGAACACAGGGGGCTTCCAAACAGACTCCGTGACGCCCTACCAATAAGTGTCAGCTGGAGCACAGTTGTTCACAGGCCGCTGTGAGCAGCTGAATAGCGGCTTGCAGGCGATAATTTGGGCGCCCTCGGGATGGAAGTCCAGCCTCTGGCGCAGACTGCCGGTACTGTGTAGGGCTTGAGACAGTCAATAGTCGATGCTGTCCTCATAGCGCCCGAGTGCCCACCCGGGCTGCCTGGGTAGCCGTCTGTACGGAGTACTTCGTACTAATGCCATGCTTGTAAGGTACCTACCTAGGTAGGTACGTGCACTGGGTTCTAGGGCCCCCACTAATAATAAGCCTCGGCTTGAGGATTTCTTGGCTAGCCCGTCCTGCCCGTGGCGCCCAGTTTTCTTGGGCCGCATTAAGAAAGAGCTCAACAATAAACAGGCCAGCCAATCGACCCGGCGATCGACCCGGCAAAGCTTCCCTCCTACAACAAACATCACCAAAGACTCCATCTCGACAGCGTCGCCATGGCAGTCAGTGACTTCCTGCCGTCTGTGCCACAGCCAGTGCAAATCGGCCTGGCTGGCATTGGCACCCTTTACGTCGCGAGCCACATCCTGAGCTACGCCCGCCTGTTCCTCAACCTCTTCGTCCTCAGCGGCACCAACCTCCGCAAATATGGCAGGCCGGGTTCCTGGGCCGTCGTGACGGGTGCTTCGGATGGCCTGGGTAAGGAGTACGCAAAGCAGCTGGCCTCCAAGGGCTTCAATCTGGTGCTCGTGTCGCGCACGCAGTCCAAGCTCGAGGCGCTGGCTTCTGAGCTGGAGACGTCCGGCAAGCAGGGCGTGCAGACCAAGGTCCTAGCCATGGACTACACGCGAGACGACCCCAACGACTACGACCGCCTGTCCGAGCTCGTCCAGGGGCTCGATATCGCCGTTCTCGTCAACAACGTTGGCCTTAGCCACTCGATCCCCGTGCCCTTTGTCGAGACAGACAAGAAGGAACTGCAGGACATTGTCACCGTCAACTGTCTCGGGACGCTGAAGACAACCCAGATCATCGCTCCAGGAATGGTCCAGCGGAAGCGTGGGCTGATCCTGACCATGGGCTCGTTCGGCGGGTGGATGCCTATACCGTACCTGGCAACCTACAGTGGCAGCAAGGCCTTCCTCCAGCACTGGAGCAGCGCCCTGGCCGGGGAGCTCAAGGAGGCCAATGTAGATGTCTACCTGGTCCTGTCATACCTCGTCGTTTCGGCCATGAGCAAGATCAAGCGCCCATCCGCCATGATCCCCACCCCCCGACCGTTCGTGCGGGCCACGCTTGGCAAGGTCGGGCTGGGCGGCACGCAGAATATCGCATATACCTACACGCCTTGGTGGAGCCATGCCATTATGCAGTGGTGGGTCGAGAAAGCGGTTGGATTTGGCTCCAAGCTCGGAATTGGCTTCAACCTGAAGGCTCACAAAGACATCCGGGCCAGGGCTCTCCGCAAGGCAGCAAGGGAAGCGAAGAAGGAGTGAGGGGGCATTACATCATCAGCATGGGTGTTTCTCTCTCCATTTTCTCTGATCTCTTGCCGGTAGAGATCTGGAAACAAAAGGCATGGGCCGAATGGGCTATGGGGGAAGACCAAAAGATCCGAGGCAAGCAAGACATGGCGAAAGGATTGCTTGCTTGCCCCAGAAATAAAGGCGCCACCAGCTACTGGTCCCCCACCCCCCGCGCAGCCTGGCTCGCTGATTGAGTAGTACCATGGGACGAGGAAGAGGAAGGTGGGAAGCAGCTCGGAATGTCACAGGCTTTGGGAGGCCAGGGGGTGGTGCCATGGGACAATTCTGAGGACCAGTGCAGAGTTGGGTGTTGATGTTGACCTAGCTTAGCTACCTAAGTACCTTAGGTAGGCACTTAGGTACCTAGGTACCTTGTATGGGAATGCCTGGTCTGCCGAGATACCATAGTATAGGGAGGGCCTTTTGCCTGCTTCGCCAATCGGCTGAAACATGGCCGCCTAGCCCGATTCGAATCCCATCCGGTGACTCGTTTGAAACATGCCATTGGGGATAGATATCTAGTATCTTTGTGGCATCTTGTGAGTATTTGAGGCTGTCGCGCCCGAAACAGCCTAGCCCCGTCCCCCCAGCGCGCCAGGTTCGCGTCTCCACCGAAAAACTGGGGCCCAGCCTTCCTTGGCCAGCTCGACTGCTTGGGAGACCACCACCCCTGCAAAGAAATTGTGTTGACTGCATCCGAGAGCTGCAGTCGGCCAAACCACACCTCACTTCGCCAGGACCACAACGGTCGACCGACTGCCAGCCAGCGAGCCTCCCAGCCAGCCAGCCTCCTCCATCCTCCATCCTCCAACATACCCATCGCCCTTCCATCTCAGCAGCCTGCACCCTGCAGCCGCACGCTCTTGGCTCCTGCCTCCCTGCTCCCTGCTCCCTGCTCCTCCAAGTACTCGACTCGACGCGACTCGACAGGCAAGCCCTCATTGATGTTGCGATAGCTTCCTGCCATTCGGTTGCCTCTGCGCAAGACGGAGAAGCGGCCGAGGCGAAGCTGCTGCCGTCGACCACCGCCCCCGGACAACCGCCCGCCGGCCCTCACCATCCGCCGCGCACCCATCAGCTCCATCCTGACGAGGGGCGTTTCCCAAGACTCGGTCCCGCAGCCCACGCCGTCGACATCCTCGTTGCATCCCACATGGCCACCCCGACGCCAGTGCGCCACCTGCCCGGCGCATTCATCAACACCCCTGCGCCCGCCAACGACCCCACGCGACGAAACCTCTTCGGAGATGCAGCTGCTGGCGGCCCAAGGGTAGGCCCTTTGGGACGTGACCCCCTCAGGCCTGCCCCGGATCCCTTCCGAGCACCTGGCGCCGCAGGCCCATCACAACCACCAGGCCCGCCTGCGCAGCCTGGCCTTCCGGGTCTCCCTGATAATGCGGCCCAGCCCCCGGTTCTCAGGGCTGCCAAGGTCGTCAACGACCTCCTGCTGCTCGATGAGCGCTATCCAGATCTCAACTCGTTGTGCTCGCGTGAGCAGACCCCCATCCCGCGTTTTTTTTCGTAGTCGCACCCTACTCACAAGCCTGAATAGTTCGGACCTCGTCAGAATATGATCTTGCGACGCTCGATCCAGCGTTTGCTCCCTTCCACAAGCCCACCATGTACCCAATCCCCGACCGGGTGTTCGAGAACTTCGATCGCGGCCAGATCGCGACAAGGATGGGGCTTTTCACAGAGATCAACCATGCCTGGGTTACTATTGACAACGCCCTCTATCTCTGGGACTATACCAATCCAGACCCGGAGCTGATCGGATATGAAGAATCGCCCCACACCATCACGACCTTGGCCTTGGTCCGTCCAAAGGGCGACGTCTTCGTCAACACAATCACACATATCTTGGTGCTCGCCACAGCGACAGAAATGATCCTACTTGGCGTTTCTGCCACGCCCACGCCCAATGGCTCCCACACTGTCAGCCTCTACTCGACCAGGATGACTCTGCACAAGGGTAGCCTCGATGTGAGCTATATCGTTGGGTCCGCCGATGGGAGGATATTCTTTGGCGGAAACAACGACACCGATGTGCATGAGCTCTACTACCAGCAGGAGGAAAAGTGGTTTTCCAGTAGGTGTGGAAAGATCAACCACACGCACCCTGGATGGTCCTCGGTGGTGCCCAAGCTGCCACATCCGAGCACACTTCTCCCCAGTCCGAGCTCTCTCTGGACGCCCAAGGCGAACGAGGCCCTGGCCGACATGGTTATCGATGACAGCCGGAAACTGCTGTACACGCTCTCCAACACCTCCACCATCCGTGTCTACCAAATGGAAGGCCTGTACAAGCTGAACAAGTGCATCGAGAAGGACAGGACAACGTGCTTCAATGAGACGACTCACTTTGTTTCGGGCTCACCGCTGCTGACAAATGACATGACGATTGTTTCAATCAGCCCTATCTCCGCGATGGAAAGCTTCAACATCCACCTGGTGGCTCTGACCAGCACCGGCTGCCGCATCTTCCTGAGCGCGACCAGCACCTCGTCCGCGTCGGGTTCCGCCCCGCAAAGCATGCAGGTCATATTCGTCAAGTTCCCACCCTCGCCCGACCAAGTTGCTCAGGAGCAGCAGCCTGGTGACGGCGCATATTTGAACGTAAATTCACAGGCCCTCACGACGAGCAGGTTTGGCCAGCGTTTTGCGCCGGGCTACTTTTTTGATTTTGTTGCCAAGGCGGACAATCCTAACACCGATGTTCTGTTCGTTGCTGCACCGGGCACCGGGCGAATCAAGCTGCAACATTCGACTGTCGCGCGCAACGAAAGCCCGTTGAGGTACTTTGAAAGCGCCAACTTCATCGACCTCGGCCAGGGTGTCAAGGTGCTTGCAATAGGGTCTATCACACCCCCTTTCGCCGCGGCTGGACAGCCTGTCGGCTTCGGAAACGAACTCGCGGTCCAGTTCGATCAAGCCCCATCCGAGTTTGCTATAATGACTAATATGGGCATCCACATTATCCGGAGACGAAGAATGGTAGACATTTTTGCGACAGTCATACGAAAGGCTGCGAGCGAGGACACCGTCAAGCTCGAGACGACCCGCTTTATTCAACATTATGGCCGCAATGAAACCGTGTCTACAGCCCTTGCCATAGCTTGTGGTCAAGGTAATGACCTGCGCAATGGTGCGGCCCGTGTGATTGACCAAGTTACGCAGGACCGCGCAAGATCTGTTTTCATCGACTTTGGAGGTGACCCGACAGTGACCGAAACAGACTCGATCAACCTGTCTGCGCGACATCACGCTCTGGGCCTTTACCTGACCCGCTTGGTTCGGATGTTGTGGAAGTCGAGGGTCATCCATCAAGGCCTGGACGCGGCAGGTGCGGTCTCGGTGAGATCGACGGTCCCATTAACAAAACTGAACTCTGTTCAAGAAAACCTAGATCGACTTCGGAATTTCCTCGAGGCCAATCGTGGTGTGATCAAGGGCCTCAATGGTCCTCAGGATCTCGCGAGCGCCCAGAACCGCCTCGCAGAGATCGCCATGCAGTCTGAGCACCAGGGTCTGCACTCCTTGCAGAGGCTGATGGAAAACATCGCTGAAGGCATATCGTTTGTCCTGATGCTTTTCGACGAGCGCGTAGCCGAAATATTCGTTCGGCTAGACGCGCCGACGCAGAACACGATGCGCGAGCTCACTTACGAGCAGCTCTTCTCTCAGGACGCCGGGAGGGACCTTGCGAAGCTTTTGGTCAAGGCCATTGTGAACAGGAACATCGAGAGTGGCGCGAATGTGGAGACTGTGGCCGACGCTCTGCGACGGCGGTGTGGCAGTTTCTGCAGTCCGGACGACGTGGTTGTCTTCAAGGCTCAGGAGCAACTAAAGAGGGCGTCGGAACAGGCTGGTAACCCCAATCACCTCCGGCAACTACTCGGGGAGAGCCTGCGTTTGTTCGAACGTGTCGCGCGCAGCCTTACCTTGGCTAATCTCCACGGTGCTGTTCAGCAATACCTGGAACTGCAATACTATGCGGGCGCCATCCAGCTGTGTCTAAGGGTGGCTCAAGAAAAAGATCGCGGGAACACGGCTCTGTCTTGGATCAACGACGGCAGACCGCCTAATGACGCCCGGCAAGCTGCTTTCAACGAGCGCAGGAGTTGTTACGACCTTGTCCACGAGGTGATGCAGAGACTGGATGCAGCCTCGGCTCGCGAGCCAGAAATGGTTGACGGACGACCCACCTTGGCCGCCACCAAGCGCAACGAAGCATACAACGTCGTCAACGGCTCCGACGACGAGGTGTTCCACTTCGACCTGTACGAATGGTACATCGAACAGAACTGGACCGATCGCATCCTCGCCATCGATTCGCCGCATGTCATCACCTTTCTCCAGCGCTTGGCGTCCACCGAAGCTCAACACGCTGACCTTCTCTGTCGGTTTTACACGCTCCGGGGCAGGTTCTACGAGGCCGCGGAAGTCCAGGCTGATTTGGCAAAGAACGAGGTTCTCGAAATAGGCATCAAGGACCGCATCACCCTGTTGAGCCGTGCCAAGGGCAATGCTAGCGTGTCCACGGTTGGCATCAGCCGGCAGCATCAACAGGTTCTGAACCACGATGTGACGACATTACTAGAGATTGCGCACATCCAGGATGACCTCCTCGAAAGGCTCAAGGCAGATGAGCGGATCCCAGCGGATCGCAAGGTCGATTGCGAGCAGGCTCTGAACGGCCCCATACTCTCATTGACAGAGGTGAGCATTGCCACGCACTGCGTGAACGTTAAGGACTTGGATGTGCTGACCACGAAATACGCAGCTGTTCAATGGCTTTGCCGAGCCAGCTAATTACTATGACCTCTCTCTACTCATCTATCATGCAGCCGACCACCATGCCCCGCGTCTCATTGCTGACACGTGGCGCAGTCTCATTACTGCTGCCCACAACGAGACGGAGGAAGCATATCGCACATGGCAAGAACAGGAGCAGGAACGCGGCCGGCCTGGCAATGACGCCGAAGTTGGCCCGCCCGCGCTGCCGTACGAGCATGTGGTCAACAAAGTACAGGACATTGCTCACAGGACCAGCATGAATAACCATGTCTTCCCGATCGATACTGTCCTCACGCTACTCTGCGAATACGTGATCAGTCAGCGGCAGAATGAGGAGATTCAGGCCGATCCAACCTGGCCTGTTTTGCTATTTATCAACAACCTTGGCGTTGCCCATGCAATAGTCACCCGTGTGCTTGAACGCATACTTGATGCGCAAGAGGCGCCTTTCATAAACCGCCATCGGAAGCTCGTGGTCCGGTGGATCCTTGTGGCATGCGAGCTATGGGTGCGCGAGGTGGAGCGCCGAGGATTGGATGGCCAGCAGGGAGGTGGAAACATCGGGCGCTGGACGGTGCAGCTGCTCAGTAGGGCAGCGCTGGCCATGCAAGATCTTGCCGCTGCGGAGAGAGAAATGAATAGGCCAGAGCATGCAATGGAAGCACAGGCCCTGATGGTCGGCGCCAGGGACCTGGCCGAGAAGATCAACCAAGTGCTGGGGTTGTGAGCTGAGCCGGATGGGGGGCGGGACACGTGAGGGAGCACTGGGAGGCACGGCCTACGGCGGCGACCTCTCTAGCGTGGAATGAGAGGGTTGGAATCAACAGAGGAAAAGCGAGTGCACTGGTAAATAGTTGGAGAGGTTGTCACCATTTCATGGGACCACGCCCCTTGAAGTACGCGCATTTCATTTTGGGTCTCTTGAAGAAGGGAGATGGTGCTCAACAGTTGACCATTCTGAAATCTGTACAAAAGTATAAAAGAAAATGCGTTATGACAAGGCCTCATAGGACCAACCATTAGAGAACCCGATTCAAACCTACTACATCCAACTGGCGTGTACCGGAAAGACATCTGATGCTAAGGGATGGGCTGCCCCGAAAGTCCACAAGACGGGTCGAGTGAGGTCCTAAGCAGTTCAGTCCTACCGAGTGGCAACAAGACCGTGAATGTTGCTTGCTGGCGAGGATGCGAAGTCTGGGACTCGACATGTACTGCGTGAGAGCCTAGGCGACTTGCCTCACTGGAACTTTGCCATGCGTCATCTTCTATCCAAGACAACCACGCCTCCGGCCGACATACTGTCGATTTGAGAACCAATTACTGCATTATGAACTAAGGGGTGAATACTTTATCGGAGCACAAACTCGTCCGTCAGTTTTCCGACGATCTTTGTCCAACATAGACCATCACCGAGTCGTCCCACAAGTCCGGCCCCTGGCAAATATTTGTACTTTCATCGGAACTTCTCTTCTCTCTCCACATCACTGCAGGAAGAAGAACACTGTGACCAGCGCCAGGGCAAGAGAAAAGGTGGCCTTGGAAGAAGGAGAGCCACCCTCGTTCACGGGGCCTGCACCAGGCCCAAAGGCGAGCGACATGGCGCGTGGCTGCGGCAGCTCATCATATCTTTCTAGTCCTCGCCGGGCCACACCTGTACCAACAGACTCGGAAGGTCCGGCTGCCCGTGCGGTGAGCGTGTTGTACTCCTCGTCAGGGGTGGGAATGGAGGACGCATTTTCAAGGCGCTTCGTGGGGCTTGGATGGTAATAGCTCCTGAGCAAGCCCGCAGGCTCCTCACCCTGCCCATCAAGAGGCACGTCCGCATCCCGCTTGCCCGGCTTGCCCGGCTTGCCCGGCTTGCCCGGCTTGCTGGGCTTGCCCGGCTTGCTGCTTGCAGAGCCATAAGACCCGCCCGTCTTGGGGTCGCGGTACCAGTTCTGCTTCGGGTCGCCCAAGCACTCCCCGACAGTGACGAGGCGGAATCCCGCATCACGGGCCTCCTCGATCATGAAGGCGGCGAGCTCGTGCACGGTGCGGTCGTGGATGTCATGCGCGAGGACAATCTTGCCGGCGGACCCATCCCGCGGGCCTTGCTGGAGCGCCTGGGTGAAGGTCTGACGAGCGGCGTCATAGTCTTCCCTCCAGTCATTCGTGTCGACGCCCGCGTTGATGACGTGGTACCCAAGTGAGCCGACCATGTCGAGCACGTCGTCATTGGTGCTAAAGTAGGGCGGGCGGAAGTACGTAGGGATCCGGCCCAGAGTCTGCACGAGGGCTTGCTCGTTGAGCAACAACTGCTCGACGATGCCGCGATCATCGACCGTGGTGAGGTCCGGATGCGCCCAAGTATGCGTGCCGACCTGGTGGCCCTCCTTCACCATGCGTCGCAGGAGTTTCGGGTGGCCGTAGTCTGTGATCTGGCCGTCGCCGCCCATGTTACCACCGCAGACGAAGAAGGTCGCCACGGCCTCGTAGTTACGTAGAATGTCGAGAAGGTCCTCGGTGTACTGCCACGGCCCGTCGTCGAAGGTCAGGGCGACTGTCCCGGGCTTGTTGCATGTGGTGATCAGTTCTCCGTAGGGCACGGGTCCCAGCTCGGGGCGCGACAGATGAGACAGCCAGCGAAGAGGTGGTTTTTGATATAGATCCGAAGAAGTTGAGGGCTTGGACTTTGCGTACTCTGCAGACGAACTCTGGCGCTTCTGGGGAAACGATGACGAGTTGTGACTGGGTGATGTGGCGTGCGGCTTCGGCTTGTTGATAGTGCCTTGTAATTTACAGCCAGTGCTGAAACTGGGGAGGCAGTAGACTGCACCGCAAGACTGTTCATCAGAGCTACAGAGGTTCTATTATTTCTCAAGTTAGCATGCTGAGTAGATGTCATTGAGGGAGGGAGGTGCCTCACACTCTTGAAGCTGCAGCAAAGTCCATCCCCGCAAATAGATTCGTTTTTATTTGAGGCAGCATATCCGCAAGCATCACCATCTGCAAGCAGTGGTGTGAAGGTGCTGCTGTTGTCGAAGACCACGAGTTGGCGGTGCGCGGGTGGCGAGGCCATGATGCCACCAGCCACGGGCGGCAACGTTGGCAGCGAATTTGAGGTGAGTGAGTTCATTACGTCTCTGAGTATAAGGGTCGTCAGGGAACAAGTCTGTGAGAATGATGTTGGCAAATGCATATTTGCGCAGAGAACATGGCAGCAGCAGGAAGGAGCCTTTAAGCAAAGCTTGAGAGGGATCGTCTAGATGATAGGTTTGTGGGAGAGACCGTCTTTGAGCTAGATGTACCAGTTTACCTCCAGTACTTTAGCACAGCACTTGAGATGAGCCGGTGGAGGGCCATCCTTACCAAGCTTCAATACTCTCGAAAGCTCGTCTTACCGCCTGCAATAGCCCATGGGCTATCATGGTTAACCGGTTATAAGCTCGCCCTAGAATGATGCCACTTGGTTCTTCTCGGCCACATATATAAGATCAAGGACATTTGAAAGCCAATAAGAGGTTCTGAAATTTTCATGCCTAAATTTGGTACGAGGCAATTTACATACGTCTAGGGGAAGCAACAGTCTAATCATTGCTATAATCACTAAAGCATTTAGTGCGCAGCCGGTCATCGCTTCCTTGTTCTGCGAATCGTGAATTACCAGTGGTCATATAGAGCAGGAACGATCTTATTCTCGTCAGCAATAATACTCCACATGACACCGGGGCATTCCAGAAGTTATGGGACATCTAGCTACATTAGATAGGTAACACTTCCGTTATGACTTTTGCGGCAATTGACTCGGAACACCCACAGGTACATTCTGGCCGCCTTTCCGTGCAAAACTTACCTGGGGCGGCTTGGTTAGCCTCGCGCGTCCAGCCTCGTGTTCCAAATCAATTACCTACTTAAGTCAGTACCAATGCTGCTAGTTGGCGCCATCGAGAAAGTTTGAGCCTAGGAGTGGTCAAATTTAAGCCCCATAGACTGGTCAAATGAGAAGTACCGGGTTGCTATTCCTCAGCTCCGACGAAAAGAAGAAGTGCAAAACAGGGTCAGGCTTGATTTCTTGGTGGTCGTGTCAATAAGGTATACCTGACTCAAGGAAGTTCATTGGGAAATACATGTCTCTAGAGGCCAGAGAAAAATACAGCCAATATTCCTATCTGTGGCTATGTAAGCAAAACCACTAATATTACTTTTCCCAGTGACATAACATTGGCTGCACTGACTTAGGATTGACCAGGTGGTTCTTGAACATACATTGTCAAGCATCCAGCAAAGCCTCTAAGTCTTTTCTATGCAACTTCTTTTATTTCACTTAGAATGATGAAACTATTGTAGTCTCACCGCATGACTTCTTTACCGGCTATTGGCCCTTGGGCTACTTATATCAACAATTCTAGTCAGCGGCCTCGTCGGCAGTAATACCTCCTAGCCTTGCCCATACGGCACGAGGCTGAGGCCACATGCCCATGTACTACAATATCTCTATACTGTTATTGGTACTATTTTTTTTTAAACGCTGGGTCTTAAGTTTTTACCAATATGTGATGGCACCACATATGTTTTATATATGTGGGGATTAGAAACGAAACTACTCGCTTGGAATAATTCATGCAGCCTAGCCAAGCATCAAGCTTGCGGAAAATAATAGACGAGTCATTCCAACTGCAAAAAAACCTAACAGAGGGAGAAGTAGACTTGTTTGTGCTTGCACCCTCTCAACCAATGTAGGATGACCGATATCAAATGCATTACATTCCAGCTGTTTCAGCAGAAGCACAGGACTCATATAGCTCAGTCATAATACCTTCATCTGACCAAGCAGTTAGGCATCAAGATATACTCCAAAGAGGTCATGCAGTTGCGTACATGGCTGTCATGCCTTCCTAGGGTTCAGAACTTGAACGGCATTACTGTCACCACAAGCCACAAGTGAGATAGGTCTTTTCAGGATTGCATTTGAATCAACCTCTTGGCGTATATATCCTCAGATGATGGCTCTTGCCTTCTTGTATCATCTGCCATTAAAGGTTGACAGCAGAATGACCGTTGCCACAGACACACAGAAGTCCTTTTATTAAGTCAGACGTATACGGAATAGAAGCGAAACCACTTATTAAGTCAGCCGCATTGCGCACCAGAGCTGGGATGTTTCACTGGGACGATAAGAACGAGCTAGAAGGATCGCTTCCCGTCTGGCCTAACTGGCTGGAGACAGCCCGACGGAAGCCAGGAAACTCCCAGGAAATTTGTCCTACTACGTCAGTCCCCCGTTTGGGCCCTCTTCCCTCACCCAATGCATAGGTACAAAATAAGCCTACAGAGCTATTCATCCAGCTATAACCCGAAGTTCGGGTCCGATCTAGCTAGCATCCCTGTGAGGTCTAGGCAAAAAGGCACGATCACGACATCTGAAAATTCTCAAAACCTTGAATTAGTTATCTGAAACTTTATGCGTTAAACACGCCCCGTTTATAGACATCCGTGATCTGCCGTGAGATCTCCACCTCACTCCATCACGATCTCGCGTTAGAGGAGGTGGAGCCCAACATTCAAGTTGTTGTTGGCTCGGCGCCCAACCATCGACCGACCATCCACCAGAAGATTCGCGCCATCCCACGTGTATGGGGGGCCACAACATCGCGAACCCGGTATATTTGCCTTAAGCCCTCATGTTACCGCGAAGATAAGGCGTGTTGAAGGCACCACCCGGACCGTTGGCAGCGACCGAGTGACGCTCCCACCGCACTATTGGGCGCAAGTGCCAACCTTATCTGATGCGGCCTAACCTCTCGTGTCTTGGTGACGGCGAAAATGTATTAACACTACCTCTGCTTCCCCCCCTCGGTAGCTCGGAGCTAGCTCGTTGTCTGGGGTATCCAGGACTGGCTTCTACTACAAGCCTGGGCATCAGTCAGAGCACGGGGAAGGCGAGCTGCAACGTCCCGAGGCCTTCAAGGTGACTCCTGACCAGACTGATGGGCATACCCAGGTATAGAAGTGAGACATGCCTTTCATACCACGGCTTGGCTATCCTACTATGCTTTATGATTTTCTGCGGGCTCAACACATCAGAAAGAATTGTACAATATGGACGCGGCATAATTATCCTGTTTTTCTGATTATAACGTCACCTTTTCTATAATAGACGCACACGATCTAGCCGTCCGTGTTCGAAAATATCTAATTAAGAGGCATGTCTGTCAAGGAAGTTGCAGGTGAGCGGCGGCGCAGGCATCACTCGTCATCGCCTTCGACCTCTGCATCGCCCAGCTCTAGGTCACTGGACGCCGACAAGGATCACCACCGAAGCCATCAACGGCGACGGAGGCGCCCCTCTGCATCAGAGACGTTTGATGACCCTAACGGGCAAGCAAGCAGCAGCCAACAAATCCGGGTGCGTTCACGGAACAGAGACGGACACGGAGGCCGAGAGCGGGGCCGCGGCCCCGATCACCACCGTGACCGTCGTTCCTCTACGGTTCCTGATCCAGTCCACTCCGGCTTGACAGCAGCAGACGATGATAGTAACAGCGACAAGCCATGGTTCAAGAAAAAGACCCTCTGGGCGAGCGTCGCCACAATGGTCAGTAAAGTCCTGCTTGTTCTCTGCGGCAATTCTAGCTCGACATTGCGACAGAGGCGAGAGATAGGGACATCTCTCAAGTCACCTACATTGCCCCCCCCCCCCTTGCTTTGTCGGTAGTAGCAGATAACTCATTCTCACGACTCTATAGGCCACGGTTCTCGCCCTGCTACCAGCCTCGGTCTCGGCCAACGCGAGCCAGGAGGCCGCGGCGGCAAGCATGAAAGCTGCCAAGGCGGCCGGGAAGAGCGCAGAGGCCTCGACCAGAGCTGCGGACGCGACAGAGAAGAGCTCCAGGGCAGTTGTCGGCACCTCGATGGCGAACGGGCACATTGACAACCGTGGAAACTACTGCGGCCCTACGGACCATTTCAAGGGCGGAAAGAGCAGAAACGCACGGGGAAGTCGCTCTAGGTGATGATGAGGATACCTAGATAGGTACCTGAGTAGGGAGCTGTCTCGGGCGACGCCGACGTGATGGAGAAGATGCGAATGAGGGCTCACCAACGAGCCGTCAAAATGGTCCTCCAACGGAGGCAGACTACAGGCCTTGAAGAGGATGAGGTCATGTTATAATATGTTTATTATGCTCGGAGAAGGACAACATGAGTCAACCTGGCCTAGAGCAAGTTAGGGGCAGCTTTGTTCCCGATGTCAGCTACCTTCTTCTTGGCTTTTGACATTTCTTTGCTCTTCTACAACAACTGCCAACCAGTATAGCTGGTGCACCATGCAGCGATTTCATTTGTGTGTCTCTTCAGATCTAGTGTCCATCAGCGGAAACAAGTCGTTTACTCAAGTACTGGCGGAGCTCGCACCCTCGACGATCCAATGAGACTCACCATCCGCTTCGAGAAACCTTCTTGTCACAAGCCATTGGGTCATGACTGTGACATCGCCAACCCTTCAATAGTAACAAAACGTCATAGTGGAGCTGTTGTCCCGTAAGTCGGCATCCCACGGGAAAACATCCGACAGGGCTTTATCACGTGCAAGATGGCCCATCATGGATGTGATATCGCCCTGTGGAAGGTGATACTGTGGCTGCGTAGTGGACGCCCGCGAAGAGCTTATACTCATCTCCTGAACATCTAGACGTCTGCCCTTACCGACAAGGCACTCCAAATCGAGCTCAAAGGCACTTGCTCCGAGTTGCATTATAAGCAAGGGCTGGTATGTATCAGAGACGGAACGGGCCCAAGTTCGAAAGCGACAGTGAATCTAGTCCAGTTGGATACAATGCATAAGCTGTGCTCGATATACTTATGTAATGGCCCAGCCGTACAGATCGAGGTGACCCGAGCAAGTCGCACGTACCCTAGGGTAGGCAGCGCAGACATGCGATGCAATTGGGTCAAGGCCAGAAGCGAGGGATCGTTGCGAGAGTCCCGAATCCATCTTTCATTACTTTGAAGACATGCGGTTTTAAATTAGCAGGATGTTCATTCGAGGCAAGTAAACAGTCCAACAATAGAAATTCGATAGTCGTAGCTCATTCGGGCGTTCACTACATTATGGCTGCTGCTATTCCGGTGAGATGCTCATCCCGTCTAAATATACACCAGAGACCTGTGATGGTTTCTGCCCCCCCCCCCAAACCACGGGCGATGCTGTAAGTAGCTATGCAGCCGGCAACCTGTGCTTTGATGATACCGCACTCCCATCCCGCCCAATGCTTGTATGTATTCCAAGGACCATCTAACACCCAATGCTAATATTCCAATCCAAACGGGCGTAGCAGGTGCCCATCCGTTTCCGGAAATGCAACCAGCAGACCTGACACCAACGGAAACATACCAGACGCCCAAACAGTCGTCGCACTGAGTCGTACTGTACAGCAGCGGTTCAGCTGCGTTAGTCGCGGAAAAGATGGTCATATATAGGCACCGCCTCTCGGTGTTCGCGTCCCGCTGCCGCTGCCGCTGCCGCTGCCGTGCGCTGGGGGCTTGGGTGGCGGCGTAGGCGGAGTTTGGTCCCTGCTGCCTCCTCGGCCCTTCTCCCACCGGCCTCTCTGAGGCTCGCTGCCCTTCTCGTTTGAGCTGTCGCTTCCGGCTCGGCCCCTCGGAGGGCTGTCCGTGATACCGCGTCCATAGCGCGTCATCTTGTCGTCGCTGTACAAGGCGTCTTCGTCGTACATGTAATCGTCAGACCCCTCGTAGTCATCTTCCTCGTACGAGGGCAACGCCGGCGCTGACGAGTATCCGGGCCCCTGGTTATTACTGTCGCCCTTTACCAGGCCTAAACGTTCCTCTTCTGTATATTGTGGTCAGCTTTGCTGTCCTGGGACCAGGGCTTGCACGCCAAGTGCCATATCGGAAACCTTACCAGTCGCGGCCTTTGCGTGTGGGGCGCTGTAACCTCTGCTAGAAATAGGCCTGCTCGCGGATTTGGAGCTTGCCGGCCTGTCCTCCGCGCCGTCATTCGCGTGGTCTCGGTGTCGCTTGAAGACGTTCTGGAAGGAGAACTGTCTTCTGGCTGAGTGGGGCTGAGCGTGTGGCGGTGGCGTGGGAGGAGCAAGACTCGCGCTATCGGGCGTGTGCCGAGTCTCGCCGCCGAAGTGAATGTGTCTCTCATGGCCGCCGATGCTATCGGATGAGCCGTGTGAGCCCGGGTCGTACTCGGTCTTGACGCCAGCAGGTACCCCGTAAGCACCGCCGTGCGCCACAGAAATTTCGGTAAGCTGCACAGGGTGCATCGGGCTTTGCATCTTATTGGAAGATATGTTGAGGGCATTAGAACTGTCGCTTCCCACAGACGACTGTCTGAAGTCCGGATGTCCTGGCAACACGCTTGTCGCACGCGACCGGATGGTACCCATGAAACTAGAGAGACCCGCACTAAACGGTCTGTCCTGCTCGGCGAGTTCCTCGTCGGTTGGGAAGTGAGACATGCCCAGCGGCGGGTGTGAAGCACCGGTATTTGGCGTCATTGGGAACGTGTTATGTGGCGTGGTTGTATGTCTGCTATACTGACTTCCGAGCGCTGCACAGGTGTTAGTCGGGTGTCGAAGCCCATCTCTCCAGCAGATGGGATGACCAGAAATCGCAATGACAGTACGACAATGCTTTCCAGAGGTTCCTTGCACATCCTCCACTCGACCCTCCTACCTCAGCGAGTGTAGGAGCACGAGACTGGCAGGATGAGACCGGGGGGGGGGGGGAGTGAGGACCCCTGTGAACAATATATATAAAAAAAACTTACTTGTTCTACGCCTTCGCAGACCATCCCATTCAAATTGCGGCTGGCCGTCCTCCCTGACTGCCTCGAGCCGCTCTGCCTCCTTCTCGGCGCGAAGCCGCTTCAACTCTTCGATCTCCATCTTCTCGCGCGTCGTAGAGAAGCGACGCACCAGCGCAGCGGCGCCCCTGATGGCATCTGCCTTTGGTTCCGTCTCGGCCTGCTCCTGTTCAGCAATTGTGCGGACCTGGTTAAGATCCCCACTAAAGACCGCTGTATCAGGCACGTCTTTGGCGGATTTGGACAGCTGCAGCAAGACGACGCCGGAGCATATCGTGAGGAAGCCCATGACAACGGTGACGATTGAGGTGGGGGTCCCCTTGAAGCCTTGAAATAAGACGGCGGAGGTGATGATGGTGGTGCTGGTGAAGTAGACATAGTAGGTCGGGGTGACCATGGCCGCATTGAAAATGTTCAGTGCTTTCTGTAAAGGGCGTCAGCAGCGGCATGGACAAGCTGAAGGGGGGGAGGGGGCAACTCTCACGTTCAAGAAGATGATTTCGGTCAACAGTGTCCCGATAACGAAGACCAACAAGACATAGATGAACCACTGGTTGAATTGCTGTTTCCCGCCAATCTGGGCGACTATGGCGGCGCCGAGGCCCTGGGTCGCAACAACACTGAGGCCGCCGACCCAGCTGCAGATGGAGATGTAGACCATCATGTTCTTCTTGCCGTACTTTGGGCCGAGCCAGTATGCGACAATGGCGGAGCCAAGGATGATGACACCGGCGTAGCTGAGAAAACCGGGGGTGATGACGAACTTCTGCATCTCCTGGATGTCGGCGACAGAAGACTCCTCGGGGGCGTTCATGACGATGACGACGGAGCCGACAATACACAGGAAGCAGGCGACCTTGCCGACCATGCTCAGCCTCTCCTTGAGGAATATGGCGGACAGGATGCTGGTGATGACGACGGACAGGGCGCCCATGGGGGTGACGAGGATGGCATCGGTGAAGGCATATGCGACAAAGTTGAGGACCTCGCCGAGGATCATGAGGGTCATGCCGCCCCACCAGAAGGCGTTCTTGAGGTAGCCATAGCCCTCGCCGGCCTCCTCCTGGTACTTCTCGTTGGCCTTGAGCAGGCCGACCTTCTTGAGCACGAAGGAGGTGCCGATGAAGAGGCCGGAGCCGATGGCCAGGCTTATACCGATGACCTTGTAGACGGGGGGGCGCTCATCCTTGGAGGTGTCGGTCGAGGACTCGTTTGCGCGGGTGTAGAGCTCGTGTGCGGTGGACAGGACGGCTCCCGCGGCGGCTTCCATGCTGGAGTGGGAGGGCGGCCTGTTGACTGGCGACTGGCGACTGGCGACAGAGGAGGTGTTGTGAGGCGGGGAGGGGGGAGGGGGGAGGGGGGAGGAGGCGGATGTGGGCTGTGGTGTCGAGCGCGGCCGGGGCGCTGGGGCACGACGAGAAGGTGCTGACGTCGTGGGGCAGCGGCTCGGGGTCAGCGAGCGAGCGAGCCAGCCAGCCAGCCAAGCAAGCGGTGGAAGTCTGGCCCGTGGCTCGTGGCTCGTGGCTCGCGGCTGGCGGATGTAAACAGTCGACGTCCCTATGGCTGCAGCTCCTCCATGTGTGCGTGTGCAGTGTGCAGTTTGCAGTGTGCGTTGTGCGTTGTGCGTGTGTCAATGGCTCGGCTCGCTCAGTTGATGTGTGTGGGTTTGAAAAGCTGGGAGAGTGTGCACGCAGCGTGCGCGGCGGGATTTGCGGATCGAGGACTTGTTATTGTCGTCTCTGGCAGTCTGGGTGGCACTCCGTACTCGGTAATGGTGTGTTGCAGGGACCAGGCTGGGTGGTGGAGCAGGCGTGGGACAATAGCTGTGTGGAATCCTGGACCAGCGGCCCAGGTGGGCGGATCGCAGGACGGGATGGGCTTGTGGTCGCGATTGGAAACTCTGCTGAAGTTTTGGGACGATGCCAACCACAAGCCACAACAGCCTGCAGGTGGGGGAAGCGCTGGCAGCTGTTGTTGGTGGGCTGTCAGTCAGTCGGTCAGTCATGTCATGCATGTACTATACAGACACGAGGAAGGAACGACTGCTTGTTCACAAGCGCCACCTGCCGGGCTGCCGGGCCTGAGACAGGCCTGGACTGTGGCTGTGGCCCGCCTCCTTGCCTCTTTGAGCATCAAGTCCCGGGCCTGGCTTTTTTTTCTCTTTTTTCTTTCTAGCTGGCTGGGCATGCTCCAGGTTTCCGATTTGAACTTCTGATACTCACTTGATCAGCTCAGGTCGGCTGTGCCCCATACGTACGCTCGTTGGCTCGGTACGTACCAGGCATACGTACGTAGGTGGCTGGCTCTTCATAGGCCCACGTCTGTTGGCGATGCAACCTGCCAGCCTGCCAGCTGAGCCCCTTGTTCTCCTGCGACGCACATCGCCCAACCGTCTGCCGCCCAGCCCGCCAGCCCGCCAGCGAACGAACTCGAGTCCGAGCCCGAGCCTGCACCCGTTGATCGCTCGCTCGCTGCTGGTTGCCTGGGTTTGATTGGCCGCTTCGAGCCCAGCATCGAGACCCTGCTTCGGCCGACCTGTCGTTTCAGGCCGGCCAGTGTCACCACCACCACGTGCTCCATTTGTCCATGTCTCGTTTGACAGCCGAGGCGAGTTGTCATCACACAAAAGAGTATTGCAGACTACTATTGACACGGGAAGAATATATCTGTATGGACACCGCAGACGCCATCACATCCCCAGTATGAAGAACAAGACACCGCCCATGGCAAGCCCCAGCAACGACCCAGGAACTGCACCGCCCGCTGGTCCCTCTCCAGCAATCGTTGCCAGGGCCGTCTTTGCCCCCCCAGGCTGCTGCCCCGTGCCCGTGCCTGTGCCATTTCCCGTGCCAGCACCAGCAACCCCGGAGGGCCCATGAGGTGCTGCGGGAGACAAGGCCACGTCCACTGTTTCCGTCGCCGTAGAAACCCCCGTCGACGTGAATGTCACAGGCGTCACCAGCTTCGAAATGATCATCTGCCACGGGTTAGCATTCAAACAACCACGTCGTGGCCTCGGCACCTGCTTACCGTCGTCGTCGACGAGATGGTCGAGCAGTCCGCACCAGACTGGCCTGCCGCACAGCTGGTTATGACCGTTGCTGACGTGCTGAAGAGTGTCGACGTCGAGCGTCGCGTCGTCGTCAGCCGCACTGTTGTCGTTCTCGTTATTGTGCTCCGCGTCGTCAGCATGCCATCCGAGCTGCCCCCTGCCTCAGAGCTCTCCGTGCCCGGCACGGCGTGGTTCTGGGCTATTGGGGGGGCACCCTTGTCCGTCGGCAACGCCGCCGCCCGTGCTGTCGATGACCCCGACGTTGCCACCTCCGCATCCGTGTTGTATAGCGATACGCTGCTATGGCCGAATTCCATCGATGTGGACGCGGCTTGGGACTCGTCCAACCGACTTGATGGTGCCACGTCGTGTGCGTCGGCTGAGGAAATCATCGTCGATGAAGACGGGGGCAACATGTTGGTGCCGCCGTCCTGTGAAGACTGCTCCCGCGAGCCGTCTTCAGAGGACTCGGTTGGTGCTGATGACTCGGCGGTGGAGACGGGACAGACAGTCGTATAAGCCGCAACGACCTCCGTTGAGAGCACCGTTGACTTTGCCGGACAGCTTTCCACTTCTAATCCACACGATGTTACGGTATGGATGTTGGTGCTATAGACCGTAGAGGTGGTCATCAATTCGGGTGAGTTGGTGGGCTCTGTCCCAGACGTCCCAGCTGAGTCTACATCATGCTTGGACTGCGTCACCGCCATCTCGCCAGATTCAACCTGGGTGCTCTCGGAAGGTGGTGAAGAAGCCGGTGATTCCTGGTTGACAGGGCGTTTGACGGGCTTGGCGAGCCAGTACCACCACGGCAGGCTTTTGTTCGGTAAAGTGCCTTTCATAGTTGATGTGGCCCCCGTCGGAGAAGAGGACAGGGCCTTCGATGAAGACGAGGGCCCGCTGGACGCTAAGGCCGAGTGGGAAGCAGCATTCTGTGCAACCGCATTCGACAAAGCAGCGGGTTGTGTTGTTGCCGAGGAACCCGTCTTGACTGAACTCGCGGGTGAGACATTAGGTGTCGAGGACTGGGCCCTGCCCTCAGTAACAGGACAGACCGTGGTGTAGTCGACCACCGTATCCGTGACAAGTACAGTTGAGAGGAGAGGCTTGTTGGCGGGACAGTCCGTCACTTTGGTGTTACAAGATGTCACTGTCGAAAAGACGGTTGTTTTGTACACTGTGCTTGTAGTGAGCTGAACAGAGCTGGCGCTTCCAGTTGCCTGAGAGTCCTGGCTGCTGGCAACGTCGGTCGAGGTCGCGCCGCCTGTGGTCCCGGTCGATGAGGACGAGCCTCCGCTTGGCTGGCTGTTCAGGCTAGGAGCGGTGGCTGTCGAGGTTGTGCCTGCCGCAACCGTCACGCTGCTTGACGAGGACGAGCTTGCGACGAGGCTCCTGGTCTGCGAGGTCTGCGAAGTCTGCGAAGTGGTAGGTGGTGCTGGTTGAGCAGCGCTCAGGGTGTTGAGCACGGATGAGCTGACGATTGACGAGACAGACTGGGGCAGTTGAGCGAGACACTTGACGCTCTTGGACGACCCGCTCTTGTCCGTGTAGTTGTAGTAGGCACACTTGGAGGACGGCTCAATGTCCACGCTCCTCACATAGGCAGTGTAGGGCAGCTTGCTAAAGTCCGTGTTACCACCAGCCCACTGTCTGACCCCCTCAGCCTGTCTGTCTGGGTCACCCGCGACCCAGACGCCGAGGTGGAATCGCGACGGCGTCTGAGGGTACTGGTGATCCGCGTTGTCGCAGTCCCTTCTCGGCAGTGTTCTGACAACCTGTCCGTCGATAGACCACGTCAGGCTCTCAGCGGTCCAGTCTATGCCGTACTTGTGGAGTCCCGCCGTCATCTCGAACTCGGTGAAGACAGATGTCGACCGGTCGTAGTTGGCAGTGATCCCTTTGCCGAAGTAATTCGTCTGCACGTTGGGCTTTGATTGGCGATAGTTATTGCCGCTCCACTCCCAGTCGATCTCGTCGGCCGTGTCCGACATCAGCACCGCTGACGAGATTATGGCAATCCCTGGGGCTGCTTGCATCACCACATCGACGTGGCCATACAGGAAGTAACTTGTTGTCCAGATATACGGTGCATCGGTTCGCCTCTCTATGGGGAAGACGCCGCCATCCTTGCTGTCTACACGAAAGCTGGCGTAATCGGCGATGGTCCAGCCGTTTTTCTTGACGTCTTCAATAGAGGAAAACTTCGTGAAGTCCTGGTGGATGGGTGAGGTGATCCCTGGAATCGGAGCGCATGTCTCTGGCACACGTTAGCAAAACGATCAGTGATGAAATTACCAGGTTTTGGCCCTACCTTTCAACGGGTTGCAATTTGCATTGACCGCGGGTATGCCAATCACGCCAATTGCCGTGATGGCAGTGATGAACCTCATTTTCAATCACTCTGATAAAAGTTATCCAGGAGGTCTGAATGAGTATCTTGTGTCGAAGATGGTGAGCGATTCAGGAAGACACGGTGATCGATCTGAAGGTGGATTCTTGAGTGGCTGCACATGGGCAAAGAGGCGTCGCCGAGTCTTGCGGACAAAGAAGCGGATGATGGCTCATCTCAACCACGCCGATGCACGGCACTCAGGTGAAAGGCTGTATGTGGCGATATAATATGAAATTTACTCGGGCCACAAAGGACAGTCGAGGTTGCTTGTTGTCGAGCCCTTACCGTGTTCCCTTTCCGGAAGCGTGCCCGCTGTCTGCCTCGACATCCAGTGCCTTCTTACCCGTTATAATACACGGACCATTTTTCGGATACCATTGTTGATATTGTGGACTTCATAGTGCCTTGGAAGCGGCAAGTGAATCCCGAGGTCATCCCGGGCGAGTCCGTTCTTCGGCAATTTGAGGTGCGTGCAATGGGATTACACACAATCAACCGTTCTACTGAGGCTGACTTGTGACTTATCATCCCAAGGTCGCCAAGAATCGAAAAAATTATAGAGTTGTGCCATTAGACCCATGCACCGAGTTTCAAAATAATACACCGAGCTGTGTGGAGTCAAGGCTTCCAAGGCTGCCATGTCATTGCTCTGCATCGAACGTAGCTAGAGGGGCGCAATTGGCCAATTGGCCCCTGCCAGTGGGGCCACTTTTGTGTAAGTGATGGGCAGTTGCCGCCTACACTGGCAAAGTCTGTCAGCAATATTGGATTCCCTGAGATCAGAACAAACGACAAGCATATTTGGAGTTGCAGTCTGCAGAGGCAAGAATACGACAGATGAGAAATCGCTCCGCTGGAAACAGGGCGTTGATGGCGACAACGGCGTGTTGGCTCGTGATCAGGTCGTGCTTGGGTTTGGCTACCGGGACTGGCTCAGAAAAAGGTCGAAACAATCATGCAGGCGAGTCAACATTGGAAACCAGAAGACATCCTGCTAATTGATGGCCGTTTTTGAGAAAGGCAGAGATCGGAGTGGGCGCCTAGCAGAGGGGGCGCGACCAACAATTGCGACCAACAACTGCGACCAACCGGCCCGGCCGCGCTCACTAAAAATAGCAGATGTGACTGACGGTCAGGGAATATCAAGTACCCAGGTTACCAACAGTCAACCAACACAAACGAGTGCGGCGCTTAGGAAACTGGCTGCATGTTGCAGACAATAAATTGAGAGCGCCAAAACAACACAAAGGAACCCTCGCTGGCACTGCACGTTGCGAATTGAGAGTCCTGAAGTCAGACTTGCAAACCCCGGCCTTGAAGCTGAACTATTAACCGCTTGAGGGACCGTCAACATTCGGATACGGATATGGACAAATACTCACACAAGAGCATCCTTTCGCTCCCCGACGAGCTCCTCGTCGAGATCTTCAGCGCAGTCAAGACCCACAACCCGAACAATAAGGCACAGCACGCATCTTTTGCCAGCTCATCAGCAGACATCGCCAATGTGAGACTGGTGTGCAGACGGTTCGAGGCCTGCAGCTCCCACCTGCTAGTGCACTACATCAAGGTCGACGGGATCAACTCCGAGTCCCTCGACAAGCTGGAAGCCATTTCCATGCATCCAGTGATTCGCAATGGGGTGCACATTGTCAGGCTTGTCACTCAATTTTACAGTTCCGTCTACGCAAATGACATCCGCCGGTTCGCCTGTCATGCAGTGAGCCGAGTGTTTGGCCAAGCCCTGCGCTTCAAGCAGGACCTCGAAGCTGCTGAAGACGAGGAAGCGGATGCAGAAGGGGCCATGGAGAGGCGAGAAGAGGCTGCGGTGGCGCTGGCAAAGGTCAAGGCCATCCTCAAGACGTGGGGTCGAGTCAGCCTCGAGGGGATAGAGCACGCCACCGGGCCCTGGAGCATCGACCCGGAAAAGTCCAGCCAGGATTGTATGGCACTGTGTCGCAGGAACTCTGGGGAGGACGAGAACGATGAGGCTGCACGACACCTTCAGCTCTTGCACGTTGCCCATCAGCTCTACCGGCTGCGTTATCAAGACCAGGAACGACTTCGACAAGGTGATACGTTTACCCGGAGATTTTCAGCTGCCATGGCTCGGATGCCAAAGGCCAAGGGGATCGAGTTCCACGACTTCGGGGTGCAGCAGTCGCGTACCAGCTTTCAAGAAGAACCCGAGGACAACCAAAGCAGGGTTCGCTTCGCCGGGACCGACGAATATGCTGGCCTCATGGACATTGACTCACTTGTACTTCCCGTGTCTTGGGGCGAGGCGCTAGACCGGTCACTCGGCGATCCTCCAGTCGAAGTCCTCTTCGGGATTCCCACTGCGATAGACAAAGCCGGGGCCCGACTTGACAGGATATCGGTGCAGACCAGCACAAATGCAGAGCAGTATTATCCGTTATTCAACAAGGTCGAGATGAGCAAGTTCGTCGAGCTGCGAACGGCAATCAACAGGATGAGCCTGAGGAGCTTCATATTCTTGCACCAGGACGAGATGAAGCCGCGCGCCCGGCAGAGCGCGTCCTCGGAGGAGACAGGCGCTTTCTACAGCTTCATCTCGGCCGTGACGAACAGCAATGGCCTGGAAAGATTCTGGCTGCGCCTTGACGGCGGCTGGTCTGACGGCGGGCTCGATGCCGACCGCCCGTCGGGTATTGGGCCACTCCTGCTTCGTGGGGCTGAGTCACCAGAGCGGTGGGGACAGGCGGGTTGGGGGAACCTCCGCGACATGCACCTGTCCAACGTGGCGCTGCACCTGTCGGACCTGTCGCGCCTGGGTGCACAGCTCAAGGAGTCCGGGGCGAGGCTCGAGTTCCTCACGGTGCAGCGAGCCCGTCTGCTCAGCGGCACGTGGTCCCTGGCCCTCGAAGTGCTCCGGGGTGTGGAGGTTGAGTATGAGAAGCAACTAGTTGAGCCGAGCGGGGCGGAATGCGAGGACCTGGCGAGGGCGAGTGGTGGGCGATATGACACTGTGTTTGGAAGTGACAAGACGAGAAGCATGGCTGACGACTTTATCAACGGAAAGACGGAGAACAACCCCCTCCATGAGAGTGACGCTGTTGAGGATCTCTCTTCGGTCGATGGCGAGGACGTCGTCGTGGAGGTCACCGTCGGGGGTGAGGGTGAAGATTTTCCGTACGCCGGGGGAATTGAGAATGAGGCAGCGTCGCACATCACATGGCAGATGGCCGTTTGACTTTGGTTCGATGTCGATGGGGGGGGGCGCTTGAGTTGTGTGTAGATGCATGCTAGGACACGCATACATTCCGTGATGTAGCCTCACATTTGCAGGTCCGTATGTTTCCGACTGCTACAGTAGAGGTCCAACAGTCGGATAGACTTCCACTGAGCCCGTGACTCGGTTTCAGTGTTGACACACTGGCACACTGGCACACTGGCACACTGGCACACTGGCACACTGGCACACTGGCACACTGGCACACTGGCACACTGGCACACTGGCGTGCTGTGCTGTCTGCTGCCACGCAGCGGCAAGGCGGACCGGACTGGCGGGGGGAAGTGGATGGCGAGCGTCAAGTCGGCCTCGTGGGCGTGGCCAGAAGTACTCCGTATCAGCGGAGAATTCTTGAGAACAAGGAGAACGTCTCAAGGGCCCTGCGCACCTGGGCAGTTACCACATGCGGCTCTAGCCCGCCCCTGCCCTGTCTCAGATGCCCCGCCCTGCGCCCCAGGTGCCTGGGGGCCATCCCTGCCCCACCCCTGCCCCACCCCTGCTAGCGTTGAGGCTCTTGTGCTGCTTATTCTCGCGGGTCGAGTCTGGATGAGTTTATTCTCACCACAACAAGCGCCGTGCCCCCGCCGTGCCCCCCCGCCCTTGCAAGATGGCAACCGTCTCGTGCGTCTCGTGGGCCCCTTCACCGTCTCATGTCGGCCCGAGGTCGCCTATCTAGCAAGCAGTCTGGGCACCAGCAGTCTGGGCACCAGCAGTCTGGGCACCAGCAGTCTGGGCATGGACCATGGGGCGTGGCACCTGGGGCAGTGGGCCACAAACCCTACTGTCGGTCATGGCCAAGCTTCGAGCAAGCTTTGGTCGACCTGGCTGGTGATCACTGATCACTGGTCACGCCGCAGATCTCCCGGCTGGGAATGTGTGGTCCTGTCAGCCTGTGTGTTCGTCACATCTCGCCGGCTGCCGGCTCACTCGTCAACTCACCACTTGCCAGGGCATCCTCGCAGCACATCAGTGGTCGCATCATGTCTCGTCTCGTCCCATCGTGTCTGCATGTCCACATGCCAGCCCATCTGCCAGGCGGCCTGCCCGTCCGACCTACGGACGGCTCTGGCATGGCATGGCATGGCACCCGCCTCAGGGGCGCCGTCTCACCGTCTCACCATCCTTGCCAGCCATCAATGCCATGGGCGAGTATGATCGGCATTGAAGGGGAACATGTCGCCTGGTGATTCAAGTGCTCGCCCTACCAACCCTGGCCTCACATCATGTTTTGCACATCACTCGCATCGCTCTCCGTCATCTTGGGTCGCCCTGCCCTCGCCCTGCCCTCGCCTGCCCGTCGTCTATAAAGACCTCGCTACCGGCGCACATGGCATGGCCTTTTCCCTTCGCTCTCACCTCCAGCATCGTCTTCATCAGCTTCGTCTTCTTCGCCATCTTCCATTCTTTAACTGTTCTGTGAACATTTGGTTCCCTACCACATTCTTTGCCCACCACTACTATTTTACATTCACTCTTTTTCTATACGCTCAAACTCCCTTGCTCGGCCAAGGATTGATTGCTCTCATCGACAAGACAACATTGAACCATACCCCCCCTCCAATAATACCAACACCTCCACCATGATGTCCAAGTCTGTCATCGTCGTCGCCGCCCTCGCGGCCTACGCCGAGGCTCGTTTCGGCCAGGAACAGGCTCCTGTCTCCGCCGTGTCGGCCCTCTCCAACTTTGGAAACCCAGGTGACGCGGGAACCCTTGCTGGTGGCATTCCCGGCTCTCTTCTGGCGGCCGCGAACCCTTGTGACAAGGTATGCTCCTGATCTCTGCCCGCCCCCTCCCCCCCCACCAGCTTCCCTCGGTGCTGACCCCATCATCACAGCTCACCCTCGCCGACAAGATTGTCACCCAGCTCGGCACTGACCCCTCCGTCATCGACGCCGCCAAGGGACTTGTAGCTGCCGAGCAGAACTTCAACCCCTTCGTGGTCTCCATCCCCAGTATCTGCTCTGACCCCACCCTCCCTGCCACTGCCGAGCTGCGCGGTGTCGTGCCTCTGATCGACCCGGCCGTCACTGGTTCCGATACCGAGAACGCCAACTCCAAGACGTCCCTGACCACTCCTTTCGACGCCAACGGCCTGTCAGTGGCCGACATCATGGCCGCCCAGGGCTTCTCCAACCTGACTGCCGTCGCTGTTGATGGCACCAAAGCTGCTGCAGGTGGTGGTGGTGGTGGTGCCGCCGGCGGTGCCGCAGCTGGCAATGCTACTGCCGACGCTTCGAATGGAAATGCGAACGCTGGTAATGGCGGCAAGAAGTCCTCCTGCAGCTCCAAGGGCAAAGGCAAAGGCAACCAGGGCTCCAACAACAATGCCGGTGCTAACAACAACAACAACAACAACAACAACAACAACAACAACAACAACAATGCTGGCAATAACAACAACGCTGGCGCCGCCGCCAGCAACAACGGCACAGCTGCCGCTACCGGTGGGCAAACATCGTTGGCTGGGGCCGATTTCGGGAAATGTACACCCACCATGGATTTCCAGTTTGGCCGGGCTGGACGTAAGGCAACCGAAGGCACCTTCTTGCCCAGCGATCCTATTGTCGCTCAGGGACAGCAGGACGCACTCAACCCTAATATCGTAAGCATCAACCTTCTCCTAGCACGGATACCCGCCTTTCATCCTTTTGAACTATTCGCAAATTCGACACTCCTGAACACTGCAGCGGAACTAACACTGAATCGTTTCCCAGATCACGAACCGCATCTGCGACCAACTGACCAACGTCTGTGAGGCCAACCAGGCTGCTAAGGATGCCTGCCAGAGTGCTAAGGCCCAGATACAGAGTCTGGGAACCAAGGACCAAAGCACTGCTGAAGCGTTCAACCAGGCACTGGGCTTCTGATTCTTCTTGTGGGGAGGCGAAACTGAGGTCCTTGGCTATGATATGGAAGTCTTGGCACTGGTCTCCTGCCTGATAGTGTGGTCGTGTCAGTCTGCATCAAGACATTCTAATAAGACTTAGATCTGAACACATCTAATGCTGCTAGCTACTTGAAGTCTGATCCTCTTTATAACTGCCGAGTTCTTCATCTTCACCAAGTCTCCTTCGTGGCGGATTCGTAGCCCGACACTCCAAGTGCGTTGTTGAGGAAGGAGCGGTGCGGCTGGACACGCCCCATTGGACAATCCCAGCAGGAAGCCCACTGTGCACTGAGTACTTGTGGGCCTGGCACTGGAATTCGCCGTCTTTGGACGCAGTTATTTGGTTTGGGGCAGCTATAAGCGTAACACTGTGGGCTCTTTGGAGCTCTCTACCGTTGTAGATGCGGCGGTGACTGGTCCACGCCGAGTTCTCCTTGGGAACTGAGCGGCTGCTCGTCCTCTCTCGATAAGACTCTTGGTATCTTCGGTAGATTGGCGGGATTTCGGAGTGACATTGGCAACTGTGCTTCGAGTTCTCTTCTCATGGGTCGCCGGAATAGGTACAGTAGTGACATGATAACATGGCTTGCCTAGCCAGCGAGCTCTGGCAGGGCAATCATCCTCTTCGCTGGTCCCCGTCGAGATCGACACGACTCCGTGACGGCCAGCCCTGATCCGTCTGTAATTAACAAGGACACATGCGATGTGTGCCTAGTGAATGTGTGGAATCATCCCAACATGGATTTCCTACTTGGAACTGCACAATTATATTTATATTCTTATCTGCCTAAGCCCTCAGCTAGACGGCAAAACCGCCACTGGCCAACTGCCGAGGCTCACCAGCCGCATCGAAAGTGCCGTTAGGCAGCCTCCTGATGGCTTGCGCGGTGGATGACCCGGGCGCTACCCACTGAATGTGATGACCGAGGCCGGCCATGAACGCGGTGGTTGAATTGTCGTAGGCGTACTCGAAAGAACTGACGTCAGGGCTGAGCTGGTCGTGCAGGCGAGGAGCGGCAAGGGCCTCGGCAGCGCTCATGTTGCGGTCAAGTGCATTGTGGATGATCTGAGCCGTAGCGGAGATGATGCGAGAGCCGCCGGCAGACCCGCTGATGAAGAAGAGCCCGCCCCCCGGGTACTCGACAATAGTTGGCGAGATGGAGGATAAGGGCCGCTTGCCGGGCCTGATGAAGTTGGCCTCGCTGGGCTGATAACCGAACGCGTTCGTGGAGTTTGGGGTAGAAAAGTCGTTCATCTCATTCTAATAAATGTGACGTTAGGCCTGCTAAATCAAAAACATCAAAGAGAGGGGACCCGTGACAGATGAAAAGAGGTGCTTACGTTCATGATAACCCCAGTCTCAGGAACCATGACGCGTGAGCCGAAGATGGTGTTGATGGTCGTGGTGATGGAGACGGTCAAGCCAGTCCGGTCTGCGGCGGCAATGTGTGAAGTTCCATTATCCGACAGGATTTCGATATTCGAGGGGTTGTAGTAGGAAGAGTTGTACGTCTTGGTGTCAGATATCTTGGAACGAATCTCTGCAGCCGTCTCCTCGGAGAGCATATTGGCTGTGTATTTGGTCATGTTAGCCACGAAGGAAGGGTCTCCGAGATTCACCCGCAGGCCATATGACCACCTGAGGGCCTCGTCCAGGCGGTGGGTGGTGAGGTTGATCTGGGCAGGGTCGTCAAAGCCGTCAAAGCCGTTGATGATATTCAGGATGGACAGGGCCACCTCGCCACCCGAGGGGGCGCTACAGGAAGCTAGGTGGTGACGTTAGTCGTGGTGCGGATCCCAAAGTGCTGCATTCTGGAACATTGCAAGTGATACTTACTTGCCTTGTAGCCGCGGTAGTTGATATCGACCGCGTCGCGGATGGCCACGGTATAGTTAGCAAGGTCGTCCAAAGTCATGGTGCCGCCCGAAGCCCGGAGGGCCTGGATAGTTGCGTTGGCGATGGCGCCCTCATAGAAGGCCGACGCGCCTTGATTGGAGATGGTCTCCAGTGTGGCAGCATACCGCTTGCGGGTCATGGTCTGGCCGAGCTGGACGATGGTACCGTTTGGGGCGAAGTCGATGGCCCACGAAGGGTCGCGGACGAGGAACTCGGGGTTCTGCACACCGGCGATGTACTTGACCGTATCCGCCGTGACTTGGAAGCCGTTGCGGGCAACGTCGATGGCAGGCTGCATGACGGTTTTCCACGGGAGACTGCCGTACTTGTTGTGGATATACTCAAGCCCGCGTAGCTCGCCGGGGACGCCACTGCGGCAGGTCAGGCCTCAACTCAGTTGCTCGCTCCAGACGCCCCAGGGTGCACATGTACTCACGCTGCGAGACCGCCATATAGGCTCAAGTCGGTCTTGTTGACATACATGGTCTCGTAGTAAGAGGCGGCAGCAGTCTCTCTAAAGTCGACACACTCGTAGGTTCCATTTGGGCTCTTGACGAGGGCAAAGCCACCTCCGCCGATATCAGAATGATACATTCCGATCACGCCGACACAGAACGTGGTCCCTACCATAGCATCAATGGCATTCCCACCCTGCCGGAGCAGCTTGACGCCAATGTCGCTGCAGACCGCGCTCTCAGAGGCGACGGCACCGAGCTTAGCGTCGGTGGAGTTGGACTCGGGGTATGTCGTGGGAGAGCCCAGTGTGAGCTGGGACAGGCCGAGGCCCAGGCCCAGCATCAGCTGTCCTGCCCGAGTGAAGCGTCCGGTAGACATGGCAGCGAGTGTCGACGTGAATGCTCGAGTGTCACAATCACAGGCTATGGGAACCGCGAGAGAGGGCTGGCCGGAGCACAAGGGCTGAAGGGTAAAGAATCAAGTAGTAGTAGTACTACTACGACTCCGCCGTACTACTACCACAGCAGTCGGTCTCGTGCGATCCATCCTCCCCTGCATCTCGCCATCGTGGACGTGGGCCGGTCCGGACAGACATGGATCTTGCATTCCTGAAGTCGTGGCAGTACTGTCAGACTGTGTAATAAACTGGGGCCCCGAAATGAGACATGGCAGTTTGCTGATGAGTCCTGACTCCGACCACGGTGCCTATCTGTTGCGTGATATGTTGTCACTTCCGCAGACAAGGTACTTGGGCCTACTAGTAAAGCTTATCTGTGGGTGTGTGCGGAGTACAGAGTACAGTGGAGACCATGTGCGGGTATTCATTCCAAGGCCCCCGCATCTTTGCCAGGAACCGGCAAACGCATGCACGTTTATCTTGGGCCTTTCAAGGAACCTGGCCCGCTCGTCCTACCTGTTCTTGGTCAACACGCAAATGACTTGCCCAAGTACTGGGAGGACGGCGATCTTGCCCAGTACTGCATAGCGTGCTCTCCTTGGCAGGCAGACATGAGTCTGTCCTGCGCTCGCCATCGGGGCCAAGACCGCCGAGTAAGATTATCACTCTGTAATACACGTGTGTGCAAGCAGGGGAGCCGCATTGCTCACTGGGGAAATACCTACCTAGTCTTGTAACACACTTTGCCTTGGCCCGCATGAGCTTGTTGACATCTTCGTTCTACACCTACGGATGGCACATAGGTGATTTGGTACTAGTAGACTAGCAGCCCTTACTTAGAATAACCTTACATTACACATCTTAACTTACTACTTAAAGTTAAGCTTATTATAGAGATTATAGAGACTCGAAAGTTTTAGCATCATGTTTCTTAAAAGGTGTTTCGCACGGGGCTTGCTCTTGTGGTTCGGCATCTCGGCGGCGGCTGCTAATCGCAAAAATCTCTTCATCGACACAGATCTTTTCAGCGACTGCGAGTGAGCAAATCTTCTGCCTGTTCAGTATTTCTTATATTCATGGGGATCAATTTGCGTATTCTGACCTTCAAAGTGATGCATCAGCTATCCTCCTCGCTGCTACGAGTCCAGAGTTGTCACTTATCGGCTTGAACATCAACTACCCCTCTTCTTACTCTGCTCTCGCAGCATCTGCCATCCTCTCGCATTACGGCCACCGTCAGGTCCCCATCGGCGTTCCCAGACCCATCTCGAATGAGACTTTCACAGATACGTGGTCATTCGAACTGGGCGAATTCACGACCAAGGTCGCGTATCACTGGCGCTGCGAGGACTGCGCTGTGCGCTGGGGGCATGTGGACGACGATGCCTGGGATCCAGTGGCGCTTTACCGGAAGCAACTCAGCGAGGCTGCGGATGGTAGCGTCACCATCGCGTCGATAGGGTTCCTCAATAACCTGTCCAGGCTGCTCAACTCATCCGGCGACGCATACTCGGAGCTCACCGGCGCTGAACTAGTCGAGAGAAAAGTAGCACAGCTGGTGATTATGGGAGGCGCCTATCCCAGCGGGCACGAGTTCAACTTCTGGGGCTACGACCCTTTGGCGACAGCACATGTCGTAAATAACTGGAAAGGGCCTGTGGTCTTCTCCGGCTCTGAGCTTGGTGGCAACGTGACGAGCGGCGGCAGCCTGATGGCTCGGGGCCCAGCGAGCGATCCAGTCCGTGCAGCTTATTTCTACTACACGTACAACACCTCGCGTTTCTCGTGGGATCCTCTCACCATGCTCTACGCCATCAACGGCCTTGGAGACCTATTTGAGTTCGGAAATGACAATGGCTACAACTTTGTGCACCCAAACGGCTCCAATGCCTGGGTTGCCGACGAGAATGTCACGAATCAACATTGGCTGAAGCTCAAGGTGGACAATGTCACAGCGGCGAGATATCTGGACGAGATGATGGTCGAAGGTTCTTGGTCTGCTGTCTCCAACACGGACAGATTCACAAGTTCGGGGAAATCCCGAGCTTCCCATTCGGCGAAACTACCAACTCGGCCACGGCAGTACACCCTGCATCATCATCATCAAAGGCTGTGACTGACCTTTGGGTGGCGCCATGAAGCGATGTGACCAATGCTGATAGGAGTATTAATGATTAATGAATGATATGTGGCTAGGGCATGACACTTTGCTCAATAGACGTCTTATTTACCGGTCTCGTTACACTTCGAGCCCTTCCATTCGTATCAGGCAAGAGGCAGACCAATAACTGTGACGATCTGTAGGTACTTACTTTGAAGGTACCAGGAATACGTTGCATGTAGTGGCTGTTGGCTGTTCTTTTCACAAATGCTACTCTCCGTCTTCATTTATTCCCCCTCCCATAGACCTTGAGGCTACCAGAACCACGAGTGCCTGTTGCCGGGTGGGCTGCCACGACCAAAATCTAGCAAAAGGCGCAGCGATCACGCCCGTGGTCCCTCGCAAGCGCTACTCGTGCTTTGTACTCTTCCTGATGCGTCCGGCCGAGGAACCAGGATGGTTCCGTAGAGGTTCTCCCCGTGGCATGAAGACCCAGTAGTGTCTCATTATGTAGCATGACACCAACGAGGCCGGCGACACCTCCCCAGCAAGCCTCGACTCGGTCTTCCCGGCTCTCACCATCGTCTTGATCTAATGGACAGCCTGAGAACAGCAGCTGTTCCCTGGCCCGGTCCTCCTCAGCCGACGGAAGCTCCGCTGGCTCCAAAGGCCCCAGGCCGATTTCCCCAATGTTCGCCAGGCTTTGACCGCTGCGGTGATGGATGATCTTATTCAGTTGGTCCTCAATTGAAACATGTTGCATCTGCCAGGATGTATCGTGATGTCCAGCGCAATCGATGTCAGGACAGACCTGCCAGCCCCCATCCCTTGTCTGGTGAAAAGTGTGGAATGCCCGCAGCGGAAGACTCCAGATTGTGATGGAGTTGAGCGGGCAAGTGGAGTTTGCCATCCTGTGAGAAATGTTGTGGGCACGGCCGGAACAAGAAGTACATTTTTTGCTGATCTTTGGGAATGGGCGGTAGACGGCCGCGAGGTCGAGCTTGCCTAGATAATATGCGGGCTCTTGGATATCGTCTAGGTACTCGAGTATCATCAACTGCAGCTCGGCAGGAAGTGAGTTGCTGATCATCACCATCTGCGCTAAACGCCTGCTGTCGATGGCAAGGTGGTATCGTGCAATCCTGCGAGCATCCATGATGAATTGTCGTGACCGGCGAAGGGCAGCACGTTGTCGAAAATGGAGCTCCCTTGTGTCCTCATCGACAAGTCTGTAGTGGTAGGACCCCATGATAGGGCCGTCTGAGCCGATATCTTGCCACATCAGCATACGCTCGCCATGGGCAGAACTTTGGTAGCCAATCCAGGAAGCATCTGGATGTCTGGGGTACCATGTCGTGTCGCCGCGTGGACGCGTCCAGCGCCGACGAGGTCGTACGCCATTCTCGGGAGTCAGGCGTGCCGGATCCGTGATACTGGCAGCCCTGATATGGTCTTTCCTTCGCTGCTCATGGAAGTCTTTGACCGACTGTCCAGCACCGATGAAATCTTGACAGGTGATACCGTGGTTCCTGGCGCAGAACTTGACCGGATAGCTGGTGAAGACCCATGTGAACAACTCTCGCTTGTCGCTCCTGCTCCATAACTGAGTAAGACATGACAATAGCAGGTCGTCCAGAGCGATGGCAAAATTGCAGCGCAGTGCTATTGGCTTGGCGCTTTTCGACGAATAGGGCAACACGCCTGGCAGTTGGCCATGTTTACTATAAGCTTGGGTGAGGTACAAGGTCATGCGTGCAGCCATCATGTAGCCATGGGGCTCCACCGTGGCAAGCGCGTCGATGACGCCGAGGAAGCTTTCCCAGGCTTCCAGAATTGTTTCGTCCGGCGTTGCTGCGCTGCCTTGATAGCGGCCAAAGTCGCAGATGTGGACATAGAGTCTTTCCAGCAATGCCTCTAGCTGGCTGTTAGACCGCTCGGTTGAGCAGCTGCCATCGTCCAGGGGTTGGTTTCCATCCTGTCCTTTCTCAACGAAGCTGTATATTTCGGTGGCCAATGCCTTGTTCTCTTTCGGCACAGAGCGGAAGGACATCTTCGGAGACGTGGCCATGTTTGTACGAGGGGCAGTCACCAGGGTGCACACCAGGGTGATAGGCCTATGGTGACAAGACCAGACTGGAAAAGAGACCAGATGTGAAGAGCCTTGAAGAAGAGGATGATATATATGGCGTACCTGCCCTGGGGGTAGGTAGTCACTTAAGTACACACATGCAGCCTCGGCACTAGTGGCAGCTGCCTAAACCCGGCCAGGGGTCGGAAATCCACATGCAATCGACGACGAGGAAGCCGGCCAACCTCATCAGTCGTCAAGTGAGGCAGGATGTTCCGTTGGCCGAGCCTCACTTGCCCTGCGCCAATCAGTGAGATTTCACCTGCCGCCTCAGAGAACAACGAAATAACACTGACCTTTCAGGCTTTGGAAGCAACAAAGTCGATCCGGTGCAGGAAATGGGCCTCATCATCGTGGGGCTCAGGAAGGTCCGGCGAATGAGTCAAGACAGCCGAGAATATCTTGCCCATGATTTACTAATATGGGCGCGCTTCAGAAGTGCTTCTGTTTCAAACGTTTCGGCTGGGAGACAGCCCCCATTCTACGTGCCACGCAGTGCAGCTGATGCATAGATGTGTTACTGACGTTGAGTTGTAGACCAGCCCATCTGGCCCAAAATCTGCCCCGGCTGGTCGGCTCATAATAATGGGTATTCCTTCATCCTGGTACGTTGGTTGACCAGGCCTTGGAACGTGGAATTTAGAAACAGAACAGACCTGGGTACAAGCTCTCCCATTTGGTCTGAGCCTCGGATCTGAGGAATTCAGTCGCGTTCAGTGGGACAAAGTCATAATCCGCTCTCCGTTGTACCTCGGTAGGAAACCTCTCGGTCTGATGCAGGTGATCACCTCCAACCTGTTGTGCTTCTGATCCCGTTCCATCAAATGACCAGCCTCCTGGCCTTGTCTGTATGGCACAAGACTAAGGCCACGTGCCCATAGACATACTACTTGTCTCTATACTATTATTAGTATTATATTCTTTTAAACACTAGATCTTAAGCATTTACCACTATAAGGAGGCACTATATATTTTTTATAATTTAGAATTCTTATAGCATTCTAATTAATACTATTTTAATTTTATTTATATATTATAAAGTTAAAGCTATAAATACTTATTATATTATAATTATTATTATTAATATTATATTCTTTCTAAATATTAAGTCTTAAATATTTATTATTATATAAAGCTATTATATATATTCTTAAATATATATTAAATAAAAGTAAAATTATATAATTTTACTTTTATTTATATATATTTAAGAATATATATAATAGCTTTATATAATAATAAATATTTAAGACTTAATATTTAGAAAGAATATAATATTAATAATAATAGTTATAATATAATAAAGGTTATCTTATAGAAGGTTAGTTTATAGAAGGTCATCCTATAAAAGGTTATTCTATAAAAGGTTATCTAAGTTATTTTATAGAAAGTTATTTTATAAAAGGTTATTTTATAGAAGGTTATCCTATAAGAGGTTATCTTATAGGAGGTTATTCTATAGGAGGTTATCCTATAAAAGGTTGTCTTATAGAAGGTTATTCTATAGGAGGTTGTCCTATAGGAGGTTATCCTATAGGAGGTTATCCTATAGGAGGTTATCTTATAGGAGGTTGTCCTATAGGAGGTTGTCCTATAGGAGGTTGTTTAAGTTGTCTTATAGGAGGTTGTCCTATGAGAGGTGATCTCTTGGGGCTTGGGTATACCCTCTATTTTGGTGGGTGTGAATATCCGATCTCTTTATTAAACTTATTTGATAGGTATAGTTACTTGGAAGTAAGGAGGTCCTGGTTATGCTGAGGGATTTGGGTGATACAGGATATGAGAGTACCCTACTAAACCACCTACTCCTTGCCCTTGCCCTTGCCCATGGCCTCCCTGTCCGCCTCCCGCTCGGCAAGCCCCGACAACTCAGGGTTCCGATCGTCCGCGATGCGGTCAAGCTCGATCATCTTCCTCATGGTGTCCAAGAGGGCGCCCGGATTGATCGGCTGCATCTCGCCATCAGGGCCCGGAATCCGGATGCTCTTGGCCGTCTCATTCTTGTCGACCGTTGCCTTCTTGCCCATGACATACTTGTCACCGATGATGACGAGGCCGGACTGTTGCCTAGTCTCGGCAACGTTCAGGCGGTTCCTGTCCGAGACGAAGCCAGGGCCCGATTCCAAGTTGGAGATCGAGATGAAGAAGGTTAGGACACCCTCGCGACCATGGAACGAGTCAACAGTGGCGGCATCTGGCATGCCCTTTAGGCATGCGTGCTTGTCTACCGCACTCTAGACTTTATCCGCGGCCCATTTGTAGGGGTTGATGATGACGATCCCCTTCGGATCAATCTTCATCTCCTGGACCAGCTCGACGATGAACTTGACGGTGACCTTGATCTGCATCGGGTTCGACTTGGACAGGGTCTCGGGCTGCACGATGACCTGTCCGGGGCAGTGCAGGATCACGGGGAGAAGCGTGCCCTCCGGGGACTTCTTGACACCCGGGAAGCTTCCGAGTATAAACTTCTCGAGCTTGCGACCGGGCTCGTGCCGGGCTTCGGAGATGTCACACCGGTCACCGTAGGTCGCACAGCCATTACTCGGTCTCGTCACCCGGGTCGGAGAACGGCAAGCCAAATCCCTCGACAACTGGCGGCTGGCGCAGTATGAACCGCACGAATGTCCGCTTGTCGGGCTGGATCTTGTCCTTGAGCTTCCCGTCCGGCAACGGCTTGGTCCGGTACTTGAGATCGCCGCAGCCACCAGGGATATCGACCATCACCTCGCGGAACTTGAGGATGATTGTCAACGACTCGGATGTCTTGGGCGCCGGGGGGTCGCGACCGTAGTCGACTATCGCAAGCGGTCAGTAATGCAACACAAACATGGGATGACACATTCTCACTCACTATCGAAGCAGACGCCAAAGTCGCTGTTCTCTGTATCCTCTGGCTTCGCGCGAGGGAACTCGATCTTTAGGCCGAGCCATGGGTCAAGAGACGGCTGGTTGGGTGGCTTGAACGATCCAACCTTCACCGCAGGGATGTATCAGCCCCAAGATACAATGACAGGCCATACGATCGTGCAGAGTCACTTACTCTTGAGCTTGCCGCCGACGAAGGAGCTGTCGCCGATTAGGTGGCCATCGGGTCCGCCGACAAGAAGGACTGCTGCTTTGTGCCAGGTGCCGTGCTCCTTGGGGGGTGCCGGTGTGTCTCGGCTCTTGTCTTGGCCCAAGGCCTTGTTACCAGTCTGTGGCTGAGACATGGTGTATGTTGTTGTTGTTGTTGTTGTTGTTGTTGACACGAGAGTCAATTCGGATACCTGTGGCATGTTAGCAAGTGGCCTGCTCGCGTGACGACGTGAAGAACAAACCCAAACCAGTTCCTAAATTAATAGGACCTGGGAAATTGTGAACAGTCCAGAGAACTGCCACAGGGCGGGTATGCCGAAAGGATGTTTGTATCAACCGCAACAACGCTCTCCCTCTTCTCCCTCTCCCCTTTTCCCTCAACGAGGACAAAAGGCGAACAACCAAGCGCGCAAGATCACCAACGACCCAATCCAAGTTCCACCCCGAAGGGCTTCACAAGAAAAATTGCGAATAGCCCAGAAGGCTACCGCAAGGGAAGGAGGTTCACCGACGAGCATAGAAGTTCTCCAGTTGACCAACGTCGCTCCACCCCTACCTAAAGTACAAATCATGATAGACCCGAAGTCTATCTCAGCATAAACGACCTGAGCACCAATGGTTGACGATGACTAGTATCGTATCACAGAAGAGTAGATCGAGTCGCGGTTGTAGAAGGAAGAAGGAAAGGAAACAAAAACAAGCAGGGCACGCGACAAAAGTGTAGGCCAAGCAAACTCTCTTATCGCGCTTATCAGTAAATCAGCCCTACTTGCAGCTTGCTAGGTCGCAGCAGTCGAGCTCTCTGAGACTGTCTAGGTAATGTGGGAGTGCTGGGGCTTGATATTAGAGACGGAGCCCATGTAAATACTTTATGTCGTCCTCGAGCTTCAGGTGACCGCCAGCTCTGGCGTACACCTGTTCTCTACTCGCTAGAGGCAGTGAACTCGAGTTTCTCTAGGCTATATAGGTGCATGAGTAATGTGTGGCATCTGCGATGGTGTTTCTCGAGGTCTGTCTCATCGCCTAGCCATACCTTGCCAATTCGAGATCTTGTTTTTCTCTCAGTCCTGACAAAGTGACTTGGGAGTCTGCCCCTCCTAAACACAGCTCTCAAGCCCCTGCAGGCCCACAATTGAGTCCGCCCCTCCGCTTGATAGCTATCGACTTCAACTAAGTAAGTAGGTAGACACTGGGGTCCCGCTTCCAATAAGCAGCTCCGCGGGCAACAGTACCAGTACAATCTAAGTACCCACGGGAGGACGTCCCAATCACATATATAAAATCTTTAATAACTTGTGCTGACAAAAGACTGGACCAAGGTGGGACACGTGGAGAGCAACATGCAGTATAGGAGCCCTGCCCAGTGACTACCTAGGTACCTACTTAAGTAGGTACCTACCTAGGTACGTATCCAGTTATGAAAGACTTGGGTCCTGGTGGAAAGTGTTGTTGATAGGCACCTACCTAGGTGCCCAACGCCTCTGCAACTGTCTTGAAGGGACCGCGATATCCCTGTATTTCCCAGACCTTTTCTGTACCATTATAAACACAAGAAGGGTAATATCTAGTCCAACGTTGCCCTGTTCATGCCTCGTCTCGCTCCCGCGCGCCTTCACAGCACGTACTGCCTATTGCCCTCACCCTCTGCCAAACATCCTGGCGCTCGCATCAACACCCTCCCGGTCCACAAGCGCGCTTGTCGCATCGCTCCTAGTGGACACCACACTGGCCCTCCTCATATCTTCGTCACCAGTAACCGCGTTGACCATCCCTTTAATCCCCAGTTCGACCTCTCCCACCCGCCTCAACACACCGAGGATAGCACCCCTCAACTCACCCGTCATTTCCTTGCTTGCCATGAGCTCGACCACCAGCCCGTAGAAGGACTGGACGTGGCTCTTGAAAGATTGCTCTGGGAATGCCGCGTACCCCTCCAACACGTCCACCACGACAGGCCTCCAGGCCACAATATTGCGGTGCTGGCTCTCCTCCTCGAGCGTGACGTAGCTGCGGATTATACTCTTGCACAGGGGCACCAGCGCGTTTTCCACGTCGGCTTTGGATTCGCTCCTACGCGGGTCCGTATCGCCGAACATTCGGAACAGAATGGCGACATACGTCGCCGCAGAGCCAGACTCTTGCTTCAGCAGGTTGGGTGGCTGCTTCATGAAACCTTCCCTCCAGAGACGCATCCGCAGCTCCTTGTCGTTGTTGAATCGCTGCGCAAACAGGAAAGATTTCTTGAGCACGGCCATAAGTCGCAGTAGCTCGTTGGATGGGATCTGCGCATAGACGTTGTCATTGCTGAAAAGCTCGTTGACGGTCTCGATCATGAGGAGTTGTAAGACGCAGCGGCTGATAATGCGGTTGAAAAACCGGCGCCGCGCAGCCGAGATCTGAGGTGGGGGCATCTGAAGGTTGCTCGAGGGCTTGAACTCTTCGAGCGGCTTCGCTGTTGTCGGCGTTCTCTGAGGGTCTTCCTCTGGAACAGTGCTAGCTGCTGTCGAAGGGCGGTCGTCCTCTGAATGACCATTTGTCTCCGTGCCATTGATCTTGAGAGATTTGGAATCATCGTCTGTCCCTTCCACGCCTGGGCTCAGCGGCTCACCAAAATCCACGCCATTCGACGCCGGTGCCAGCGAGGCCGTACTGTTGATGGTCGTAGCCGAGAAAAGCTGGTAAGCAGTGGTCCGCTCGAAGAGCTCACAGAACGCGCCGACTATCTTTGACCAGTGCTCCACTGTGAATTTTCTGACGTTCTGCAGGATAAGCTGCTGCAGGCAGTTGCTCCCTATCCTTGCAATGGTATCATTCTCCTGACAGATGCAGAGCGCGAGAAGCTCCAGGAAACGGTCGAGCATGTACTCGAGGGCCTCGAAATAGTGTGTGAAGAGCGTGATCATGTGGCGAAGAGCCTGGATCATGGTTGTAGAGAGCCATACTGACAGCTCCTCGTGGTTCAGAGCATTGCTCATTTCCGGCTTGGACCGCAGGACGATGAAGATTGGATAGAGTTGTTGACGCCACAAGATATCCCAGAACTCTGGGGGAAAGCCCCCGCCATATCTAAGTAGGGCCTCGAAGAAGTAGTTCAGAGCGTTTGAGCGGACCTCGAGGTCTTCTCCTGTCATGAGGACGTCGTGAAAGGCAAACAGGACCGGGAACCAGAAACCTTCTTCGACCGACGTCCGAGTCTGTTGCCCTGGCGACTTGAGATTGATGTCTGCCATGCTCGACTGAGCAGCACCGAGGTCGGATTTCCGGGATAGCGGGCACTCCGGCGTCTTGAGCATCTGCGGGATGACTGACTTAAGTGTCTCCATTGCCTGCAGGCTCTTCTTCTGGTATTTCATGTTCTTTGAGAACTCTGTAAGACAGACGATAAGATCTGTGAACGCGCCTTGGTTGATCACAACACCAAAACGTGTCTTGTACACCTTGAGAACGTTTTCGTATGCCATATTGACAATTGTCTCGTTCGGGTCCCGAGCTGCGACGGTGAATATTCCGAACATGGTCCTCCAACCAGACCGGATGTTCTCGCCCCTCGCCTGGATCATCTGAATCAGACAGCTGAGGACCAGCTCCTTCACCCTGAGGTTACTCGAGTTTGACATGACGTGCTCGAAAGGCTTCAGGAAGTCTTTTTGGAATTTGAAACCAGGGAGTTCGTCAATCTCCATGAACCTCATCGACAGTTGCCGCAAAGAGTCGATGGAGAAGATGACAACGGTCTCATTGATATGGCACCCGGCCTTGTTGAAATGCTCGCCAAGGACGTCCCATATGTGAGTCCACTCAAACCTCACACGTGTCATGTTGTAGTAACTGATCTCCACGATCTTCTGCAAGCTGTACATGCGAGGCCTGTCATGTGCGCCAGAGACCTTGATTTCGTCCCAGCTCACTTCAGTCAGGGCCCGCGCGAAATGAACGATCGCATCGCCGTCGAGGTTCGCGGTATTAGTAAAGATTCGGTCTACCGTTTTGATTATCTCATCAGACCTGGCCTCCAGAGCGAGCACTGTCGAGAATCCTTGTGGGCCTGTGTTGTTGCGGGGACGGTGTTTCCTCGACGAAGTAGACCGGCGCGAATCGGTTGTGTTCTCTCGCTGTAGCGGCACGAAACGTGCTTTGGAAACGTCCGGCACTGAGCTCTCGTCGACACCGCCAGTTATGAGCTGCAGACGGTCCAGCTGGCTGATACACATGAGAATGTCTTTCCAGGACTCCTTGAGGTAATTCCCCTCGGTCTGTCCGAGGTCCAGTAGCACCTTGAGCGCCTCGACATTCTTCGCCAGGACCTCCTGCGGGTTATTGAGGTTCGCCGTGTTCTTCAAGACCGAAATAAAAGCCTCACGCGGCGTGGCCCACTCAAAAAAGCAGGCGATCTTTGCGGCAAGCTTCATGCCTTCAAGGCAGAGCTTAACCACTTCAAGATTGTGGGCATTCTGCATTTGATTCGACAGGGCCGAGAAGTACGACATCCACGTGACATCAAACATGGGCCCGACGTGCTTGAACGACGTTGCTGGAATGAATTTGACTCCAGCATTGGCGGCATTCCTCCGCTGATTTCGGAAAAGGTCTTTGAAAAGCTGCTCTGACCTGAGAGCAATCTCCTCGGACTGCTGCACGTATGCTTCTCTCCGCAGGTCCCGGCCGACGTTTGAGAATACCGAACCAAGGCCAAGGCCAAGGCCACTGGTCTGGGGGGCAATGACCCCAGCCGCAGCAGCGGCCTCTCTCTCGCTCTTCAATACGATCTCGTTGCTGGCAATCTCGTCGTAGATGCTGGTGAGATACTCGGGGGGCAGGTCAGCATTGTCGTTGATTCCTCTGTTGTTCTTGATGAAATCTTCTTTGGTCATGCGCCTGGCGATCTTGCTGCTGTGTAGATCGGTGTTCAGCATGATGACAGAGTATGCGAGGACATATGCTGTGTCGGAGCTGGCAAACGCGTTGGGGTTGCCTGCGAGATATCGCGACGCGAACTGCAACATGAAACGGTCGATCTTCTGAGCCTCGCCGGGCAGCCGGAAAGACTGCAGGAATTGCCGAAGGGCATCAACAAAGCGCCGTTTGTGAAAGTCCATCGAGTCGACGAATGCGTGCATGACTTCAATATTCTTAGCCTCGCCCTCTCCAAGGAACTCGCCGATCTGTGCCTTGTCCAACCTCTCCTCGGTCAGAAGGAAACGCGCTATGTCCTGGGGGCTGTCGCTGGGTATGAAGCTTCCCTCGAGCAGCATCTTGATTCCTCTTTTGGGCTTGAAATTGAAAGCCCGAATGGCTCTGTCGAGTGCAGTCTTGCGCGCTTTCTCCCTCTCGAGCTGTTCGGGGTCGTCCTCTATAGTGGGTGTCGACGGCATGACGGGGGTCTCCATCCTCGACATGCCGTCGGCGATAGAAGGGTCGATCGACTCCCTCACACCATCAAGAGACTGCCTTTTCTCGGCGTCGGACGACTCGCTAGTTCCATTTGACTGGTCTGGTTGTGACCAGTTGACCATAGACCGTAGTGATTCGACAAGAGCGTCGAGAGCAGCACGCTTCATCAGATACTCCTTTGGGATCCCATTCTCGGGCTCTTCGGGCGGGACGATATTTGCGACCGACAGCGAGGGTGGGAGCATGCCCCTCATCTGCCAGTCGCCCGGGTTGCTCTTGGCAACCTTCTCCTCGTACTGCTGCTCGTGCTCGGGCTTCACTATCACATTGGTGGTGGAGTACTTGGCCAGGTCTTCCACAATTGTTTGGAAGATGTTGTTCATCTGGCTGTCACAGTCGTAGTTCAAGTAGGACTCCACCAGGGCGCGGGGGTCGCCACAGAACCTCTGGAGGATTGTGATAACTTGCAGCTTTTGCGTGGGTGACGCGTTTTTCCTGGACAGCAGCGCGAGGTAGATTTCGTTGAGGAACACCTCTATTTCTTTCTGCCCGAGGCGTCAGAACTCGACTAGAAAAACACACCTGACGGGCGACTGACCTTGAAGGGGGCTCGCATGAACTTCAGCATCAGCCAGAAGATGTCGCAGCAGACCTCGAACACCCGGTCGACGGAGCTGGCACCGTTGCGGGAGATACTAAGACACAGGTAGAATTTTATCGCTTGCAGGAAACTCGTGGGCTCGTTACTTTTGGTGCTCGTGATGGTACATAAGGGCGAGGTGAAGACGGAGATGTGGTTGTTGAGGAGGGTGTGTATGAGGTGGAGGGAGATCAACTTGGACCGCATGGGCTGGCCGCGCAAGTCATAAAGCATCTCGGGCGGTAGGTTCTTGGTGGATAGGTTGCAGAAGGAGCGGAAGACAAGGTAGGCATCTCTGACGTAAATCTCGTCCTCGGTGTCCAGAGATTCCTGGGCATCGTCCTGGTCACGGTCGGTGGCGGTCGTCTCGGCATTGCTCTGTTCCGACACGGACCTGGAAGCCTTCCTCGGCCCTTTCAGCTTGGTCACCATGGTGGGCCCATCGCCCATGTTGGAATCGTCGAAGCTCTTGCGGTGCTCCAGGTCCCTCAGGGTGAGCTTGGGGCCGTCATCGGCCGTCTTGTCGGCCGTGGGGGGCTCTGCAGTGGCGGCTTCGGGGGGGTCGCTGTCATCGGCGTTGGCCTCGCCACCGTCCACCGAGTCCCTGCGGTCAAAGGTCGCACTGCTCTCGCCATTCTTGAGTTTTGCCAGGTTCACCCGGGCCTCCTTCATGTGCAACCGCGTCTTGACCCTCTCAAAGACGGTGCCGACCATCTGCGCCAGGGTGCCCTGGGCTATCTGCTGGTTGCTGGTGTTCCTGGACAGGAGAAAGACGTTGTACACCTGGCGCACAGCCTTGAGCAGACCGGCGCCATGGACCACGATCTTATCGTTGAGGACGGCAGCGAGCAGGGACTTGATGATCTGCAGCTGGACCTCGGCGGGCGTGGCCTCGCCCTGGAAGCAATCGCATATTGTGTCGATGGCCCGCTCGATGAGCGGGGCTTGTGGCTGGGCAGGGGTGGGTGCAGGGGCAGCAGCATCATCATCCGGGGCTGGTGGTGGCTCGGCGGGCGGCTCGGAGGTGAGGGAGAAGTAGGAGGATGAGATGAGCTTGCCGATGCAGTCGAGGGCGGTGGTTGTGAGCTGGACGTTGCCGGAGCGCGAGGCGAGCTGGAGGGGCGCGAAGATGATCTCGGGGTCTGGCAGGTGGGGGTCTGCCTCCTTGAGGGCTGCCTGGGCCTTCTCGACGCCGTCGGTCAGGGGCTTGTTGCGGGTGCCAGCATGTTTCTGGATGGCATCCAGAGAGGACACGACAAAGCGGATGGAGCTCATGGTCGCCGTCGCCGTGCCGGGGGGGGATCAGGAGGCATCCGCGTTGGGTAGTCCTGTCGAGGTGGAATGCGATCGTTAGGGTTTGGGGGGGGGGAGGGTAAGGGCGCTGGCTTGATGGGCCGTCTGGCAGCAGTTGATCGTGGATGTCGCTCCCTGGACTGCGCCGAGGGCAAGAGGGGGGACGAGGGAGAAGGAAAGAGGAAGTAGGTCGGCTGGTTTTCCTTGTGATCAAAAGGAATGGATGGACAAGGCGGGTCTAGTAGACAGGCTCGGTGCTGGAGCTGGTGCAGAGGTGCTCCATGGGGGAGGGGGAGGGGGAGGGGGGACGGGCCGGTGTGGAAGTCGGGGCCAGAGTCGAGGTCGAGGTCGAGGTTGAGGTTGATGTCAGTGTCGGCGACTGCGTGCGTGTCTTTACTGTGTGTGGTCTGCCGGGTACGCCTTGGACTACGGCTGGGCTTGACGTGCAGGCAGGCACTCAGCCCAGGTGCTCAGTGTCGCAGCTGGGCAGCCTGGGCAGCTGGGGCCCGCGGCCGAGAAAGGGACCAGGTTGCAGCTTCCAAGCAGGGGCCGTGCGTAATGGGTGTTCTTCACTTGTTCTTGGAGGCATTCAAATCACGGGTGTATCCGTACTGTGTGTGCACCATCTTATCATCTCGCCTCTATTCTCGCCCTTGGTTTTGTTGTCCGGACAGTCAGGGTGAGCGCAGGAAACCCGGCCGCTTGTGCTTACTTGCCTTGCACCTTGCACCCAGGCCAGGTATATCGCGCATCAACAAGACGTATCTACACACCAGCAATCGATAACATTTTGAAGCCCGCCCGCTGGTTCCAGATGTCCCTTGGCTTTTTGTCGGGTCATGCTATGCCCAATGCGGAATGGTGCTCTTGGCCCTGGCCAGCCCGCGCTCAACGCCTGCGGTACGGGGGTACATCGGCCCACTGTGCGGTGCGATGGCGCACCCGTGGCAGGGGGCCGGAGCTCCCAATCCTGGTCCGCAGCCCCCCAGCCTGGCAGCCAGCTCTGTCCGCCCCAACGAGAAACGGGGAGCGAGAAAAGAAAAAAGATCGCACGCCGAAAACTCCCTAACATCGGGACCTCTCCTCCATCACCACCGACCCTTGTGCAAGGCGACGCCCGCGCTCACTCACTCACCCACCCACCCACCTCCCTCTCCTCCGTCGTCTTTTGCATCTGCTCGACTCCCCTTCCTGGGCCTCCCTCCTCTTGAGCAGATTGAGCAGAGCAGTCCATCATCTAATTGTTGCCGCCCTGCCGCCCTGCCAAAGGACCACAATTCCCCCCCGGTCCCCTCGTCAGTCTGGTCTGGTGTGACTTGCTCTCAGCGCACGCCCGGACTTCCCACCTCTGTTCGATCCCCGAGACTCATTTTTCCCGCAACCACAACCCACACCAGCCCAACATGCTCGGCCCAATACTTCGAAGGCAAGTCCTTCACTCGCGAACAGCCCTCCGACAAGCCCTGCCCACCACCTCCAGCCTGGCAAGATGGTACGCCTCCTACCCGCCTCACACCGTCGTCAAGATGCCCGCCCTCTCGCCAACCATGACCGCCGGCAACATTGGCGCCTGGCAGAAGAAGCCCGGCGACTCCATTGCCCCTGGCGATGTGCTGGTCGAGATCGAGACCGACAAGGCCCAGATGGACTTTGAGTTCCAGGAGGAGGGCGTGCTGGCCAAGGTCCTCAAGGAACAGGGCGAGAAGGATGTCGCCGTCGGTAACGTACGTTGTTGTTGTCTCGCGCCGCGATAAGACCCACCCGCCCGCTGCAGCACTCCTCCCCCCTCCCCTCTCTCCCTCCCTCTTGCTGACTCTTGTCTTGCTCCAGCCAATCGCCATCCTGGTCGAGGAGGGTGCCGACATCTCTGCCTTCGAGGGCTTCTCCATCGCCGACGCCGGCGGTGACGCCGCCGCCCCGGCCGAGAACAACAAGGATGAGCCAAAGAAGGACCAGTCCTCCGCCCCCGCCCCCGCTCCCGAGCCTGCGCCGGAGCCCGAGGACACCACCTCCTCGGGCCGGCTCGAGACTGCCCTGCAGCGGGAGCCCAACGCCGTCCCCGCCGCCAAGCGACTGGCCATCGAGCAGGGCATCAAGCTGTCCTCGGTCAAGGGAACCGGGCCCGGCGGCAAGATCACCGAGGAGGATGTCAAGAAGGCATCCGCCGCCCCTGCCGCTGGAGCTGCCGCTTCTGGTGCCGCATACGAGGACATCCCTCTCAGCGGCATGCGCAAGACGATTGCCAACCGTCTGCAGCAGTCCGTCCGCGAGAACCCCCACTTCTTCGTCTCCTCGTCCATCTCCGTCAGCAAGCTTATGAAGCTCCGCCAGGCCCTGAACAGCTCGGCCGAGGGCAAGTACAAGCTCAGCGTCAACGACTTCCTCATCAAGGCCATCGCCGCCGCCGCCAAGAAGGTCCCCGCTGCCAACTCGTCCTGGCAAAACGACACCATCCGTCAGTACAACACTGTCGATGTCTCCGTCGCTGTCGCAACCCCCACTGGCCTCATCACGCCCATCGTCAGGGCTGCCGAGGGCAAGGGCCTCGAGGCCATTTCCGCCTCGGTCAAGGACCTCGCCAAGCGTGCGCGCGACAACAAGCTGAAGCCCGAGGAGTACCAGGGTGGCTCCATCTCCATCTCCAACATGGGCATGAACCCCGCCGTCGACAGCTTCACCGCGATTATCAACCCTCCTCAGTCTACGATACTGGCCATTGGCGCCCCCAAGAAGGTCGCCGTCCCGTCCGAGAACGAGGGCGGTGTTGCGTGGGACGACCAGATCACAATCACCGGTAGCTTTGACCACAAGGTTGTGGACGGCGCGGTCGGCGCTGAGTTCATGAAGGAGCTGAAGAAGGTTATCGAGAACCCCCTTGAGCTTCTGCTGTGAGAAAGGTGAGGGTAGACGGCGTCGCTGCTGGCGATGCGAAGGGCAGCTGTTGGGGGGTCATTTCCGTCTTGGAGTAGACACACGCTGAGCAATCCCAGGGTGTATGTACTAATACCAATTCAGTTCCTCGCGGGCGTACATGTTCGATCCAAATGAGCCACCAACAAAGAACCACCCAAGTAGCTAGTGTAAAAACTTGATGCTAATTGTTTCATTGTATTGAGGGGCACCCAAAAGGCCAGTCAGTACATGCATGTCGCCCAGTGGGCTTTTCTCTCACTTGCACACATGGCCCACCTTGGGGCAACTGATTTCGGGCCTCTCTGATCAACACCCGATCGGCACGAGTAGAGTGCCGTTACAGAGCCGACACGGACGTCCAGATCTATCCCTCCTTTGACCGGTCCGCTCGGTATGCCTCGCCTTCGTGACCCTCACGCGGTACCTTCGGGGACTGCAGCATCCCTCCCTCGCCACATCAACGTAGCTGATTACAATCTAGCCTGGAGCGGAGTGCTCCCATGATATAGCTTCGGGCCGGCTTTTGGATGAAATTCCTGGCCAAAGTGTTTTGACTACTACCAAACACTGGAGGGCTTGCAGCCCTCCGCATCTCGTCAGCCCAAAGTGTGTGAACCCTTCGCTCCAATGGCATATGAACATGCGTGGTCCCCACAGCTGCAACAATATTGCCTCCAGCTGCCCGCGTTCAGCAGAGAGCAGAATGATGTCCGACTTCAACGCGCCCGGTCAACTCGCCCCAACTTCGCCCAGCCTGAGTTGCTCTCCCTCTCCCTCCCTCGCTCTCTCTCGCGCGCGCGTGAATGTTCTTGTGAAATGATGCTATACCTCAGCCAGGGCCCCTGACGTTTTGCAGCTTGAGTCCCGAAATCCAGTCTCAGTACTGTACAACGGCATCTAGCCTGTCTCGGCTTGAGGCGTAGAAACTTGCCGAGGCAGCATCTGGTGTGCGTTTAACCGCATTCCCTGAATGTGTGAATGCAGCACATTCTCCAAGAACTAATGACTTCCTACCCGCTACCCTCGTAAAGAGGCTGGAATCATGTCATATGATGGCATTCAAAGGGTGCTTGCTGGTTCATACAGATTGGGGCACTTGGTATGCAAGTCATGGACCAATCTGGCCAGAAGCAAAGGAAGACGTAGTGCGGCAATGGCTCATAAATCCCGAAGACGGATCTTCCCTCTGTAATGTGCAAGGAGAGAGGAAATCACCCTCGAACCAGACTTGACCAAGAGTCGTCGCCCAGGCAGCTCTTCTAGTCGCCATTCAGCATTCCCTCTATCCTCAAAGCCCGCCTGGGCGCGACCTCCCTCAGCCAAGCCTGCATCGCGTCCGCCTCTCCCATCGGGGTCCATACCAGGTTCTCCGGCATGCCCCAAAGCGCATCAAACAGCTGCGTATCATCGGCGTCCCGCACCAGCGCACGCAGCGCATCCACGCTCAGCTTGGCGGTGTCAGCAACCCTCAGAGCGCCTACGAGCTTCTGCATGCAGTCGATCCAGGTGAGGTGCATCAGCTCGTCGCCGCGACGGTCCACCATGAACAGCACAGCAAAGACGAGCAGGGAAACGGTTGGGCCGCTGGGTGGCAGTTGCGTGGTTGACCTGTTGAGGCTGGCAAAGTCCAGAACCGCCAGGCGCGGGAGCAGGCGCAGAAAGCGGTCCTGTGCGAAAGAGCGCTGGGCTATGAGGGTGTGATCCGTGCTCGAGGACGGGAAGGCGGTGTCCATCTTGTGCAAAAGCTGCCAGCATAGTGCCTCGTCGCCAAACAGCCGGCGCCATATCGCACCGTGGCCCTGGGCAGCCCGGCGAACAAGGCGTATGTCGTATGCCTGTTTCTGGTCATCCGTGAAGACAGGCTGTGCCAGGGGAGAGTCGATATCCAGGAGATCACCGAGGATCCTAACGCCCTGGTGACCGACGCTTACAGCAGGAGACGAGAGCCACCGGTCGAGGAAGGCCTCCAGGAGACCCGGGGCGGAGGCGAGGATGGATGCGTCAGAAGGGGAGCGGGAGGCCTTCTCCAGGATGGCAAAGGCGAGCTCGTTGATGTAGGGTTCCGGGGAGGCGAGGGCAGTGATGAGGTATTCTGGCTGGCAGAGCTCAAGGGCCTGGGGGAAGGGCAGTGGCCGGAGGAGCTTGATCGTGAGCGTGATGAGCGGCGGCGGGTAGCCTTTCCAGTCTGTCGACGGCTCTTCTGCGGCGGCGGCGCATCTCTTGATGATGGCGGCGACTTTTGGGAGGAGGCGAGCCGTCAGCTCTGGATATTCGACCGGGCCAAGTTGGTAGTTTATGCGGTCGAAGAGCGAGGCGTTGAAATGGGCCGAGGGGTCGTCTTGGTGCTGCAGCTCGTCGAGATGAGAGTCGAGCTCGTCCAGCTGCGAGGCCAGGGGCAACTGGTTCCCCGGGGAGTCTGCCATGTCTGCTGCCATGTTTGCTGCCAATGTTCCCCAAGCGAGGGGAGAAGAGAGGTAGAATGCAGCCTGGTTCGAGATGAACCATTCACCATAGAGAGTTATGGGCATGGGTGCCTGGGTACCTGGGTACCTCCGTACCTCCGTACATCCTTGAGTACTCGAGTACCAGCTCCAAGCTGCGGGATCCCTGCAGCATGATCGGCAGTAGCTCCCTCTTATCGATAGACTAGCCTGGCGGCCCGCTGAAATTTGGCAGCTTTCAGCAACAATTTCCAGGCTGCGTGCGGCTCGGTCTGTGACTTGTAAAGTTGACGCCGGCAGCCCACGGTTTCTTACTTTCTCACGGGAACACGTCAATTGCCACCGTCTCTCTCGCGGCCCCTTCAGACTGGTCCTTTCATCGCACCCCCGAGCCCCGAGCCCCGAGCCCCGAGCACGCCAGCACTCACTGATACCAGCAAACCCCACTGTCGCCATGTCCCGAGGCGGGGGTAGGGGAGGTCGCGGCGGCCGACGAGGCGGCGGTCCCAATCTCCCCTGGCAAGAAGATCCCTCACTCAGGGTCGACGGCAGACCAGCCGAGGCGTTTCCCGTGCGTACATGTGTGGCACTTGCTGTCGCCCCCGAGACTGACCCCGTGCGCTGCAGCCGTATGATGTCCCCATCCCGGCACCCCTCATCTCCCGCGAAAAGTCCCAGGTCAGATCATACCTCCTCTTCCGCGAGCAAGTCCACGACGGGCCCTTCTACACAGCAACGCGCTCGCGGGACCCATCGGCCTCCGCGCGCGCCTACGGCCAGGAGCAGGTGAACCAGCGCTACGGCCTCAAGAGCAAGGCCACCCTGGACCCCTTCACTGCCGTCGAGATGCCCTCCTCCCGCATGCGGAGGCCCGAGAGGGCCTTGCCCGATTTCAGCGAGCGCCCATTCAACAAGTCGCTCTTCCCACCCGAGCTGCATGCCACCCTCGACGGCGACGACGAGCCCGCCACCGCCGCAGGCAGGAAGTCGAGCAAGAAGAAGAAGGTCATGACTCTGTCAAAGGTCACGAGCCTGCGGACCGCCGAGGAGATCTTCAACATGCCCTCCGAGCCCGCCCCCGCCGCAGATGGCTCCGGCCCCGCTGACCACCAGAAGGCACTCGAGGCACTGGACCAGCTGGGCGACGGCGGAGGCGACGGCGACGACGATATCGACCTTGGGCTGGATGACGAGGACGGGTACGAGGAGCTAGACGACGCCTACGAAGACGATGATGGAGGTGACTACGATGCCGAGGGTTACTTTGACAATGGCGATGACGATGACATGGACGATGGTGGCGGGGATGAAGGAGAGTACTAGAAGTGCATACCAGCGCGACGCCGTCGAATTAATTGATACCCAACCGAGTTCAGCCAGGTTTAGCTTCACAGCCCCATACGTAAAAACCCGAGATCCACCGACAAGCTGGGAGCCCATGGCAGGCTGCCCGGCACTGTGCCTTGGCGGTGATGGGTCCGGAAGCCATGATGGGTGATAGGTGACTGCCGTTTGTTGACAGCCCGGGGTATTCCTTTTCGCGCCCTATCACTCTAATGCCACTGGCCGACCCGACCAGCCTCGGTGCAAGCACAGACTCCGGATACCAAACCAGACGTCGCAGCCCGCCTCAGACGTGGCTCAGTGTACCCCATTCGGCCCCCTTCCCCTGAAATCGCTTAGCTGCAGCTCCGTGACCCCCTCCCTGCCGGCACCAACCACACTCGCAACCTGCAGGATGCTCTCTTCAAAGTCCCTCAGCACCGCATAAAGCTCCATCTGCTTCTCCTCGGCCGACCCAGCACCAAGGCCACCACCGCCATTCTGCAGCCGACTCGCCTGGTCCATGACGCTCTGCTGTACGCCGCCGAGGTGCATCTCGATCTCGCGGACGTTCTTCTGGAAGCGCTTGATCTGTTCATCCATCTCGTCGACCTGCTTGGAGAAGTAGCCGACCAGATCAGACGCCGTCTTGTCGTCATCGTCGCCTCCCTTGCCGTCGCCGCCCGAGCCGCCCCTGTTGGAGCTCCCGAAAAAGCCCGGGGCGTTGTTGACGTGGTACTGGCTTGGGAGCATCAGGTTGTCGACCGCCGAGAAGCTCAGCTTTGCCTCCTCCGCGTCCGACTTGACCAGGTCGCGCATCTGCTTGATGGCGTGCAGGTCTGCACCCAGCGCCAAGTCAACGGCGGCGTATTTCCTACCGACGAAGCGTACATCGCCCGGGATGGCAGAGAGTTGCTCGCCGTGTGCGGGCATGAAAGCGTCGAGCTGGTCCTTCTGGGACATGCAGCTCTGGATGAACCTATCGATGTCGGCTATCCCTTTTTGGATGTCTTCATGCAGGTCGTTGAATCGCGTGGTGGACTTCATGTTGGAAAGATCGATGCGCACGCCCGGGACGACCTGTGGGTTCATGGTCGCACCCAGGGTAGGGTTCGACTGCTGCGGGTGGTTTGTGGGTTTGTTGAGGCCGCCACCGCTGTCAAACGGATTAGCTAGAACCAACGCAGGGCGGGATGGATGCAATGGACTGCACGGAGAGAACGCACAAGAGGCCGCCAGATGTGGCCTGAGCTGGCTGGGTAGCAGCCTGGCCGCCAAAGAGGCCACCGGGCTGTGCTGGCTTTTGTCCAAACAAACTCGACGTCCCACTGTTGGTGTTTCCGGCGCCACCGCCAAATAAAGAGGCTGCGGCATTCTGGGTATTGCCGAACAGCCCCCCGCCTGCCGCTGGGGTGGACTGGGTCGCAGCAGCGTTGAACAATCCCCCGCCACCTCCTTGTGACGGCTGAGCTGTGGATGTGGCGGTTGAGCCGAAGAGGCCGCCGCCCGTCTGTTGGGGTTGAGAAGTTGCCATGCCGCCAAACAGGCCTCCTCCTCCTCCTCCTCCACCCGTGGCTGCTGTTGCAGTGTTGGAGCCAAACAGGCTGGGCTGTGACGATGCCGCCATGCTTGCTCCGAACAGACCGCCGCCTCCGCCGCCGGGGGGCTGCTGCTGCTGCTGCTGCTGCTGCTGCTGTTGGTTGAGGTTGCCACCGAAGAGGGAGGGCGTCTGGGCTTGAGGCTGGGAGGTTATGGTGTTGCCGCCAAAAAGGCTGTTTGTTTGCGTGGATGGTTGTGCACTGGCCGGGATGGATCCGGCAGGTGGAGGCTGACTCGAAGTGCTTCCGCTGGGGACCAAGGACTAATCAGCAAAATTCCATCTTGAAAGGGACCCACGTCTTGTCTCGGCCGGGGTGGGGAGGGGCGGAAAGGCACAGTAACGGAAGAGACAAAGACGGGGCACATACATGACAGGCTGTGTGTGTACTCGGTGCGTGTAAAAGGCCAATATAATAACAGACGTGTGAAGAAGTGCCGCAGTACGGGCAGCACGGGCAGCACGGGCAGCACGGGCAGCATATACATGCAAGGGAGAGAGACACAGACAGGGCAGCGAGAGACATGGAAAGATGGAGAATCGACAGAGGGAGGGGGTACCCACAACAGGTTGGCTGCTCCGGTATTGATGCTCAGACCAGCTGGTCCACTGGCGGACCTGGCAAAGGCCATCTTGGACTCTCTGGCCCTCCTCAGAGGCCTTGCCTGCTTGCCCTAAGGTGCCTTTGCAGATAACGGTATGGCAGGGTGTGGTGGATCCCAAGATCGAGCTGCTGGGGTTAACACGATGCGATGCGGTCGTTCTTACGGCAGTCCCTCCAGCATCCCATCTGACTTCTGAGGCTCCAGAACGGCACGTCGCGCCCGCTCCCATGTTGATTTTTGGGGGTTGCAGCCCGTCTGCGCGACAGCCTGCCTGCCAAGGGAACCAGCCCCCTGCAGCAGCTAGCTCCCAGCTCCCCTGCAGCCCTGCATCTACTACACATGTAAAGATACCTAGGTACCCAGGTACCTGGACAGGTACGGGCCCATGCTTCTTTGACCTCATACCAGCCCAGCACTTGCACCTGCCTACTACCCTTCCGTCGCCCTGCCAAAAAGCTCGCACCGTTACTTGACATTGCGGCAAGGAAAACCGTCCATCACCAGCTGCAACCACAGCCACAAACATGGACATTGACGATAACGATGACGATTTTTATGCACCTGAGGAGCCTGCAGCCCCTGCAGCCCCCGCAACCCAGCCAGATGGCGCCGCGACAGCAGCCAGCGCCGTCGCGGAGCCCCAGCCCAAGTCTGACCCGGACGAGGACCTCGAGGAGGGCGAAGAGGAAGACGAGGGTGGCGCCATGGACGAGGACGACTCGTCTGATGATGTGAGCGAACAACAAGCCCCGGCAACACACACACACACACCCCTTGCAATGCTGTGCCATGTTGCTGATACCGCCCCTCCCAACAGAGCATGGTGATCATCACAGAAAGGAAGGACGGAACCTCCGCGGGGCCACCATCGTCAGTACCACCCCCTTCCATGGCCGTCCGCCTCGGTGCTCTATCTTACCTCACCTACCAGACAATCCCGATACAGCAATATCAAGGATATTCCTCAGCGCTCAATATCCAACGACACCACAACGAAAGCCCCTCCAAAAAAGCCAGATTCCCCTACCGCGCGCAAACAACCCAGCGGCGCCGATCTTCCCGCTGTCAGGACCTCGACCCTTGACATCAATGCCATTCCCAACCACAAGCCCACTGGCAAGCCCCTCACACAGGTCAACATCGACGAGGACCTGGCCGAGCACGACAAGCCGTGGCGGAGACCCGGCACCGATCTGTCCGATTATTTCAACTACGGGTTCGATGAGTTCACCTGGGCCCTGTACGCCTCCAAGCAAGGGGCCATGAGGCAGGAGTTCAATTCCGACACCATCGCCGCCAACAACAAGAAGATGATGGAGGACATGCAGAACATGATGATGATGGGCATGCCGGGCATGCCGGGCATGATGCCTGGCGCCGCAGGAGGTGGTCAGGGCGCTTCAGGCCAGGGCGGGCCTCCTGGCGGCATGCCGGGCATGGAGGGGATGCCGCCCGAGATGCAGCAGATGATGCAGCAGATGATGGCTGGTGGCGGCATGGATCCCAGCCAGATGGACCCCTCTGCCATGGGCGCCATGTTTGCCGGTATGCAAAACGCCGGCGGTCAACAGGGCCAAGGTGGTCAGCCACAGAGCTTTGGTGGGGGCAATTTTGGTGCCAACCAAGGCCAAGGCTTTGGTTATGATCAAGGAGGTATGGGCGGCGGTGGCAACCGGGGGGGCTTCAATCGCGGTCGTGGAGGTCGGCAGCGGTACTAGAGGCGTGGTCCCACGTCCTGAGCGGCGACTGGGGCCGGCGCGATGCTGAGCTTGAACGTCGGCCCCCCGGCCCCCGCGTGATTCTCGGATGTTGAAAGATTAAGGGGGGAATTCAACAACGCAGGCACACTGGACTTTTGTTGGATCTGCCTAAGCCCAGGCAGGTATGCTGACCGTCACGATAAGCCATAGCCTGGCCGGCTGGTGCGCGCTGGCCGATTTTGATGCAGTAAAAGGAAACATATACCCTGGGGCGGGATCGTGGCCTGGTCGCCATAGACGGGCCCGTTGGAATGAATTGAATCAACGGAAGTGCCTGCGAGGTAGCTATACGGGGAAGTTGAATCCTAATGAGTTACAAAACGAAAGGCGTAGTTCCAAAGCCGCCGCCCCATCCCTCCCTTGAGAGATCCTTTTCCCCATACAAATGCAAGGTCAGTGGCTTCGGGCAGTACATAGTGATTGCCCTTTTTTCCATTATTGTCTGTGTAAAACTCTATTCCCTTGGGTGAAAGGCCAATCTTTGGCTCAGTTGCATTGTCATCCAAGTGTCTATTTTTTGGGGGGAGGGGCTATGACATTGGTAGTGCTCGGACTGATTGATCATTTTGGCATTGCAAAAGACTCAACGACATACACATATACTTATTACCATTTTCAACCCGCCTGAGTCAATCTCACTGGGGACGAGAGGTTGTATCTAGAGGAATGGCCAATCGATTCTTAGCATAACTGGTGCTATCAATGATATGAGTCTCTCACCCTTGCTCGAGGGTGCTGGATTTTAAGGGGGCAGGACTTCGTTGCCTGAAACGGCTAGACTGTAGTGAACAGGAGCACTGAATGGGCAGGTGGAGGATAAGTGTGCTCCTGGGGAACGGGCTCAGGCCGTTCAAAGTTTCCCATCATGATGCTGGCAGCCCGACGAGGGGCGTCGACCTGGCCATTGACTCCAACTTCTACCGCCAAAAATTGTCTGAACTGAGTTGTGCGAACAGGCACCACTTGCCATGAAACAACTGGCAGGGAAAGCTTAGCCGAGCGCTTTCGTTCGTTTCAAGACCAGCTTCGACATTAGGCGGACCTGAGACATGCGAGGTGACCCTTGAAAGCTGATCGAAACTCTCACCTTGCGTGCATGATGACATCTGGCAATTCGTGCCGAGACTGTACCGAAACTTGGACTGCTGCTTGGTGCGAGTATACCTGATCAATTGTCTCCTCACATTTTTGTGAGATGCTCCTGCTAGATTCGCGAGAAGCTCTGGGCGGCGTTGTTCAGATACTGAGGCGTCAAAAACCGCCGACATCAACCAGTTGACTGGTGCATACTTTACGTGCTGCGAGCCAGCAGACAGTTTCGTTTCTTGGATCCACCCACGTCGCTCTTTTGACACTTATCATCGTGCAAAACCCCTGGTCAAGTCGTCACGCCGATACCGAGCATCCGGGAGCGTCTCCACGAGCCAAGATGGAAGATCCAAGTCTGCCAAGAGCAGCAATCGTCATTTGCCTCGGACTCAGCCCGGTCTCCCAAGACAGAACGATGAAGAGCCTTGCGATTTGTTCCGGAGTCCTTGACTATCTACGGGACGTGCAAGGGCGTGGGTGTATAATGACTGTCAACTTCTCCGGCCGGCGACTCCTGCAGTCGAACAGCCCGAAGCTCGCGGAGCAGTGTATCCGCGAGGACTGCGAGGACTGGTGCGACGTCCTCGACGCGGCCTCGAGGCTGGTCAAGCGCAACGCCGCAGAATGCGCAGAGCTAGAGGTGCTGCTTATAGGAACTGACGAGGTCCCGTGCAGAGGCGACCCGGCCTCCATATGCCAGGCTTGCAAGGCCAATGGCATCCGGATCAATTCGATTCTGACTGACTCGACGCAACCAACCGCCTCGCCCCAGCAGGGCAGCGGCCGGAGAACTGAGCGCTTCGAGATCGTGTCCGTGGCAGATCCCTTTGCGGACCCAAAGGAGGACGCACTGTCTGCGGGACAACGCAACAGAGGCTGGGATATGACAAGGCTGGCACGAGAGACAGGAGGACTTACGTTGTCGCCGAATACAGAGGGTAAACTCGCACTTCACTTGCTATTCGGCGAGATGTTTCGACGGTGGGGAGAGCCGTACTGGAGAGCCGCCAAATAAGTGCTCTATATTCTGCGGCATGTCTGATAGGATGGCAAATATAGACCGTGGAAAGACAACACGACCTCAGGCAACAGGTATCACAGAATTAATTTTGTTTTGAGCGGGCATATAGAAACCGTGGCAGAAAGAATAACATACGCTTTTCAAGTAGTGAACAAAGACTACCCAGGTAGTCAGTCCCCTCCCCAACTTTGGAACGGCCCGGCGTTTTTACCATCAGCCTTTAATACTATCAACCTGAACCATGTCGTCACACTTGTACTCAACGTCACCATCAGGCTAGCTGGACCTCAATCAGCTTCTCTGGCGCACCTCCACAAGGCCAGATCCGAGATACCCTCAGCCCAACACTCTCAACCAGCTCTCGCCATTGCCTCTCTTGCCTTTCCCATGACGAGTGGATGAGCATCATCAGCATGTCGACACTTGTCGAGAAGGAGTCTGCACCCCGGTCTAGGACCACAATCTCATTGATCAAGATCCGGCTATGATCTGGAATGAGAGCGGGTTTCAAGTTATTCAAGATTACTCTGCACTGTTCATCTGGCCAGTCATGTAGGACCATCTTCAAGTAATACGCCTTGGCGCCCTTGATAGGCTGAGGAGTGAAGAAGTCATGGCACATCAGCTCAACCGGGGCGAGTGCCTGTGTGTCGAGTGGCTGGATCTGGCCTGGCAGGTCTTGCAGGATTAGTCGTCCCGGCTGCGTAGGGTGTGCTTGGTGAAATCCTAGAATGTCGTGGCCCGCATTGCCGCCGACATCAACCATCAGCACACTTTGAGGGTCCAAGTCGGCTGGGAAGATTTCGCTGAGAGGGACCGTGTTGTACCACCTCTGATGGGACGACTTGAATTTCATGTGATTGGCAAAGGCGCGCTGTCGGTCTTGTTGGGTTTGCAACCAGGTAAAGTATGGCAAATCGATACCTGTGCCGAACTTCCAGGCCGTATTGTCCTTATCGCTTGGATTTTTATAGTTCGTCTTCCTCATGAACTCTACCACCTTTGAACACGCAGATGTCCATCCATCATATCTATGCCGTCAGTCAGCCGCCAGCTGTAGCGGACGATGAGGTTATGGAGGAGAGTGGGCTACCTCCGGTTTCAAATGTTCTGGGAGGGGTTTTATACGTACACATCGGTGAAGGCGCCAGTATTCACTTCATCTGCAAACGCTCGGGTCCATCTGTTGGGTATGTATTCGTGCGAACCGATCTCCTCGACCAGTGGTGGAGACGAAGAGGCCACTCGTTTCAACAGTCTTTGAACCAGGGCAGGATCAGCTCCAGTCATCTCCGCGAGCTGACACGCCTGCTTAGGAATCGTGGCCCCGCTTTCTAGCATCAACTTGAAGACGTCGAGGTCGATCAAGATTCGCAAGGCTGCAGATACAGTTGGCTCGTCCCAACTCATTCGAGCGACCAAATGGCCAGGTGTTTCTAGTGCGCTCACTAGCTTGCGGGCTGAGCTGAGAAGTGCCTGCCTTTGGGGTTGATCATCGACAAGTGAGAGATTGTGAATGCTCTCCTGAAGAGCTTCTATCTCCTGGAAGATATCCTGGGCGCTTGTACCTTCCAAGTAAGACATTGCGTTCAAAGCTGGACAAAGATCGAGGAAGTACTGGACCGTTACAGCCTAGGAACGTGTCAACGGCCAGGACTGGTGAATGTGATGAAGAATTGAATGAGTTCAGGGAACTACACCTGTGTCCGTGGTTTATAGCCCAATACATCAGATCTACAGCTGCGTCATTAATCACTGTTCTAGTACGAAAAAAGAGTTTCTTCGATCCCCTGCCCAGGGAGATACGTGCAGTTCAGTTGACGATGAGCGAATTGGTGTCACCGCGGCATATGCCAAGCTGCGGATTGCTCAGATCGGACTTCTCTGAAGTAACAAACAGGGTTGATGGCTGAACAGTGTACCAATCACAAGGTGCAGCCTGCATGTGACTGACTAGAAAAGATGTCAATTCTTACGTGAGACCCAGTTCGATGGTGATACGCAGTGTTTATGAACAGGGCGGGGTTAGGAAGCCACTACAATATTCAGGCACTGAGCCACTGGACGTACTAAACTGCTCTATGTTAGTAGCACTGCTGCCAATTTAAAACGGGGTTCCTTAATTATCACTTTAGTTATTTTATATTAGAAGTAAAGAGTTTATTAAGTTATCTTTAAACTATAGATAAACTTATACTTTAGTGGTTAGTTATATTAACTATATTAACTTAGAAGAAATACATTCTTTATTATTACTTTATAATTTATAAATAAATTTATAAATCTTTTTTTAAATATATATTATATTTTTAAATATTTCTTTAATATAAATAATTTCTTTTAATATTAATAATTATTTTAATAATAATAATAATAAAGTATTATTAAATTTTTATATTATATAAAATATAAGAGATATTAATAAGATATATTATCTTACTCTACTTAAAAAGTGTAAAGAACCATTAAAATAGAAATTTTTATTGTGAAATCGTGAATCTGAATGTGGTTGTCTGTAATAAGTCGTTGTCGGCCAACTTGTAGTGACGTCACGGGCAGAGCGTAACAACAAACGGCTGGCAGCTCTTGGTCTCGCATACTGGGACAGCTTCTGACACCCAAACATCAGTCTCAAAGCACCATCCCTTCGACCTACATCTCGCCCAACGCTCTCCGACCATGTCCTTCCCAACAGGCCTCGTGGCTCTCATCATTGCCCTCATCAGTGCTTACGCCATGTCCGTGTCAGTCTTGTCCATGGCCAACATGAAGAAATACGAGTCCAAGGCAGAGAAGTTGGCCGAGTGGAACAACGCAGCCCGGGAACGTCTGTGGGATACGCGCTATACCATAGGAACTGGTTTTCTCTCCGTAAGCAACCGCCACGTCCTGGGTTTGTAGATACAGTGAACAAGTTTCGAACTGCCTGACACAGCTGATAATCAATTGATGACGTGCTCACTTCTAGTGCCTCGTGTCCCTGATCACAGCAGTGATGTACCTCCTCCTCGCACCAGACGGCTCCAGCGTCCTCGCCGCTCCGTGGTGGACCATGTGGCCAGCCGCCCTCGCAGTGGGCCTCCGCTTCGGTGCCAGCCGCTACATGCACAACTTTTGGGCCACCAAGGCCAAGGTACCGCTGGTGGACCAGTACAATGCTGCGATCTCCCAGAGCATGCATGTCATCGGTTTCTTGGATCTTCTTGCGGCCGGCTGGGCTGCGGTGGCGGTGCTGAAGGCCGTGGCGCTGTGACGGCCGGAACTGCTCGGAGGCCTCTTCAAGGGTCATACGGGCCTCGCGCACGTCTCCCAGAGAGCAACTCGGCCTCACCATCCTCTTTAACCAGATAGATATCTTCATGCCGCACCCCAAAGCGGTTCTCCAGATAGATGCCTGGCTCGTTCGTAAATGTCATTCCGGGTGAGAGACGAACGCCCGTGTTCCACTTGTTCAGGTACGGCGACTCGTGAGCTGTCATTTGCAGTGCAATTAGCTTTGGTCTCATCATGATGGAAAGGCGGAGAAAATCAGTGCGTGGGCGCTGCTGACCCTTGATCCCAATCCCATGGCCCAGTCGATGCGTGAAACCATTCCCATATCCAGCGTCCTCAATCACGGTCCGGGCTGCAACGTCAACGCTTGCGGCGGTCGCGTTTGGTTTGAATGCACCCGCTGCAGCCGTCTGTGCCTCGAACACGATCTTCCAAACCCGAAGTTTCTCTGCATGTAGGTCTGGATCCGTGATCCCCTCCTCGCTCCGGCCGCTTGGCAGTCCCATAAGCCCTCGAATATTGTCACTAAGGCGGCCACCCAAAGTGTAGGCTCCTGCAGGCGGGTCTATAAAGAAACTCCTGCAAATGTCGGACGAATATCCAAGATAATGGGCGCCCACGTCAATGACTACCATACTCTCATATGTTCTGTTCAGTGTCAGCGCCAAGGCCCTGACGACATGTACACATCGATGACGAATCATCAATGTTCCCTACCAAGCTATCCAAGTTCGGAACTTACAGTTTGAGCCAACCTGTAACAAAGCCGCCGTGGGGCAGTGCTCCGTGGCCCTCGAAGAGCACGATGTTGAAGAACAGCTGGAAGCCAATCGAGAGCATCGCGTTGTTGAGGATATCCGTGACTTGGTTCTCGGTCAGGCCAGGCACGAGACAGGGCCGCATAGCCCTCACAGCCTCGACCGTTCCCGTGTTTACAGCCCTCAAGAGCTCAACCTCTGCAGCACTCTTTGTCTGCCGGACAAGCTCTACGGCCGGGGTCAGCCCTACGGTATGGAATCCCACGCCACCGAGTCCCCTGACAATGTAGTCGCGGATTTCCTCGTCCATCATCAGCTTGGGCTTGTGGTTCAGGTCGGCGAAGAGCCGCGACTTCAGCAACGTGGCATACGGGTCCCAGTGTTCCTCCCAGATGACAATGTCAAGCTCGGCGTCACGACTGGGGATACCAAGCATCCGCACGCGGCCTTCTTCGAAATGTGGCGACAGGAATGCGGTCTTGGCTCTGATGGTACCATTTTCAGCCTGCTCGGGCAGCACAAGCATGAGAAACGGTCGTTCTTCAGGCTCCCAGGGCTCCCAGTCTGTCTGTGAGATGTTCCCGTAGTATCTGGCCTTGGTCAGTGGCAAGTACCTTTACATGATAATAGGCGACAAATACTGAAAGGTGTAGCCCGGCTCAAGGACGAAGGCATCTATTTCAGATGCTGCCAAGGCCTGGGCAAGACGGTCTCGCCGGCCGACGAACTCATCGATTGTGATGGGCTTGGCCCGATCCAAGAAAGACAGGTCCCTGTGCAGGTTGTCGATGGCGCATCGCTGGGCCTTATCGAAGGTAGATTCTCGCTTGCCCTGGAAGAATGGGAACGGTGATCGAAAGTTAGACAGGCAAGTGAGCCAGGTCGTGACCAGAACGACGGTGCCTGAGGCAAGGATTGCTCGCTTGCATGACCTCAGCCCCGAGGCGGGACGAGCCCGGCGTGGTATGGAGTTTGCGGCGCCCTGCGCCTTCTCCATGGCTTGCATATCGGGTGCCCGAGTCTTGGAATCCCTTGCTCTCAACACCAGCCTTGGTGTGGCTATCACTTCTGCTGTCGAAGGCCTGAGGTTCGAGGATGCTTGGTAAGGATGGTGTGAAGTGTGCAGGTCCTGGTGCCGGCGCGTTGGATCGGCCGCCACACGAGGATAGGTGTGCCGGTAGAGCGGATCCTCCCCCGCCATCCAGGGTTTGAGCACCGGATATCGCTCCCTAGATCTTTTGGATGCCGGCGAACTGCCGGCAAGCCTGTCTGTCGATCATGCCTTTATGTTACATCCTTCATGATAAGACCATATCCGAGTGTCCAAATGCGGCGGTGACCCTTTAAAAGCGGGCGGCCCCATGTCGTGAGATATGCCTGTATTTCTCCTTGCGTCTCTTCCACAGCCAGCCGCCCCTGACAAGATCTTGTCCCCCAAAACTCGATGATGGCTGCTGAAGATATCAGCCATGAGCCCAGGGCTCTCGCAGCATCCGCCGACGGACTTGAGATCCAGAAGTCAAAGATCGATGCAGCTTCAACAACCTTCGAAGCATCTGGTGATGTCGAGATCCAGGGCGCAGACGAGCCAGAGAAGACGTATTACAGCAAGCTCTCGGTCTGGCTCATGGTTCTCTTCTCCGGCTTAGCAATAGGTTCAGATGGCTAGTGAGTCCCTCGAACGCATGGATCCTACAGGCTTGGACGAATCTGACGGCTCATTTACCTGCCCAGCAATGCCGCGGTCATTGGCAACGTGGAGCTTCTCCTGGCCGTGTTGTATCCGGAGGCTCTGACAGATGCCATATATGACCGGCTGAGCAACGCTTTCCTCATCGGAATGATCCTCGGAATGCTGCTATTCGGCGTCGTCGTTGACCAGCTGGGCCGCAAGACAGGGGCCGTGGCAACTACAACCCTTCTGGTTGTCGGCATTGTGCTGTCTGCTGCTGCTAGCGGGGACTCCCCTACAGGGATGTTCTGGATGTTGATTGTCGCGCGCGGTATAGCTGGCGTAGGAGCCGGCGGTGAGTGTGAGTGCCAAGATCCAGTCTGATGTTCACTTACTATATTGGCGTTGAGCATATCGCTGACGCCTCACCGAAATTTCAGACCCCGTCTCCGGCGCAGGCGCTGTCGAAGCAACAGATGAGAGCCACCAATACCGCAAGCACCGTGGTTTCATGTTCGCCATGCTGGCCGATCTCTCCAGCTCGCTGGGTTATGTCTGGGGGGGCCTTGTACCTTTGCTATTGCTCCTGTGCGTCGGCCAGGAGGTTGACAAGTATGACGTCGTCTGGCGAACTTCGTTCGCACTCGGCCTTGTCCCACCGTTGGTCATCTTTTGGTTCCGCTTGAAGATGGCCGTCTCCACCGCTTATCGCAAGTCAGCCCTTCGCAAACAGAGGACACCATATCTCCTTGCCATCAAGAGATACTATCGACCTTTAATCGGTTGCGCGACTACGTGGTTCCTTTATAACTGGATCTCGATACCGTTTGGAATATTCAGCTCCACCATTATATCACGCGCCAACATTGGTGACAAACAGCTCGTCAAGAACTTTGGGTGGGGGACACTGATCAACTGCTTCTATATCCCAGGTCCGTTCCTTGGCGGATATCTTAGCGACAAGATTGGACGTCGTAAGACCATGGCCCTCGGTTTTAGTCTACAGGCGGCTCTCGGATTTATCCTCGGTGGGGCCATATTCCCCATCCAAAACGTCTTCCCACTGTTTATTGTCCTCTATGGTGTCTTTCTGACTTTGGGGGAGGTTGGCCCCGGCAGCACTGTGGTCCTGACGGCCTCGGAGTGCTTTCCCACGTCGATCAGGGGGCAGATGATGGGCTTCATTGCAGCTTGGTCTAAAGCTGGCGCCGCGATAGGCACACAGGTATTTACCGCAATTCTCAATGCATACGCTACCGACCCATCAAAGGGGAACCAAGTGGCTTTTCTTATCGGCTCGGGTTTCGCAGTTCTGGGAGCATTGGTGGCATTCTTTGTGATTCCAGATGTATCTACAAAGCTGGAGGATGATGATAGGGAATGGAAAACCTACCTTTCCCAACACGGGTGGGAGGGAAGCGGCTGGGGCGATAAGGCGACTCAAGATCCAAGCGGTGTGATACTAAACCAAAAAGGTTCATAGCTTTTCTTAATAACTAGAGTCTTAGAAGTATTTAAGTAGTTTATATATTAAGTTAAATAATCTTATTAAACTTAATAAGAAGTTAGATTTACTTTATTAAAATTAAGTATTATAACTTTTTATAAACTTTAAAAAGTAGTAAATTTTACTTAATTTATTAAATTATAAGGGATTATTACTATTATTATAAAGCTTTTTAAAGTTATTTAAACTTTAAAAAATATAATAAACTAAGGATTAAGTATAGAATAAAGTAGTTTAAGTTTAATTATAAAGGTTTATTTTATTAAACTACTTAATTAAATTAATTTAATAAAATTATTTAATAAATTTTATTTATAAATTCTTTAATAAATTTCTTTAATAAATTTCTTTATTAAATAAAAGATTTAAAAATATTTTAATAAAATAATAAGAATTTTATTATTTATTAATATAAGAAATTATTTAATTAAATAATTATAATAATTAATAAAAATAATTAAATATTTTAATAATTTATAAAATTATATTATTATAATTTTATTTAAAATATAATAAAGTTTATTAAATTTATTTAAAGAAAGAAATAATTTTAAAATAATAATATTTAAATTTATAAAAATTAATTATTTATTATTTAATTAATATATTAATAAATAAATAAATCAATATTTATTTATTAAATAATTATATCTATTTATTTAACTTTTTTAACTATTTATTTAATATAAGAATTTATATATAAAGTTTATATAAAATTATATATTTAATTAGAATTCTTTAAATTTTAATACTTTTAATATAAGCCTCTTCTATATACCTTTTAATATAACTTTTAGTATACTTTTAATATATATTTTTAAATCTTTTAATCTATATATATTTAAGTATTAATTAAGTGTTTAAATATTAATTAAATATTAGAAGGTTAGAAGTTAAGAAGGTAAAGGTAAAAATTATATACTTTTTAACCTTTTAACCTTTCTTTTAACTTTCTAACTCTTTAAACGTCTAGTCTTTTAGTATTTAGTTAATATTTAAATATTTAATTAATACTTATTAAAAGGTGTGTAGAAGGGGCTTATATTAAAAGTATTAAAATTAGAGAAGGAAATTATATTATAAGGTTTTTTAATATTAACTTAAAAGGTACTTATAAATATAAAAGAGTTATTTAGAAATATTAATATTAAATAAATAGTTAGTAGAAATTAAGTAAATAAATATAATTATTAAATAAATAAATATTAATTTAAAATATTTATTTAAAAATAAAATAATAATTTAATATAATATTATTTAATTTATTTAATTTATTTAATTTATTTCATTTATTTAATTTATTTCATTTATTTAATTTATTTAATTTATTTAATTTATTTAATTTATTTAATTTATTTAATTTATTTAATTTATTTAATTTATTTAATTTATTTAATTTATTTAATTTATTTAATTTATTTAATTTATTTAATTTATTTAATTTATTTAAATTTTTAAATTATAAAACTTTAAATTAATAATTTTAAAATTAATTATTAATATAATAAATTATTTAATTAAAACTTATAATAATTTATTTAAAATAATTTATTATTTAAATAATTTATAAATATTTATTATTATATTTAAAAGTTAAAAATTTAAAATTTATATATAAATTATTTATATTTTATATTTTTAATATTATTATAATTAAATTTATTATATAGAATTATTTAAAATATTATTTATTATTAAAATATATTTTATATTAATATATTATATTAAATTAAATTATTTTTATTAATATTATTAATTTTAATATAAATTAATTTATTAAAATTTTAAAAATATTATAAATTATAAATTATTTAATTTAATATTAATAAATATTATAAAAATATTAAATTTATTATATAATTTAAATTTTTAAAGTTAAAATATTTAAATTAATTATAATATAATATAATAATTAAATAAAGATTATTTAAAAACTATAATTATAAATTTTAATTTTATTTTAAAAAATAAAATTATATATAATTTAATATTAAAAAAATTATATAAAATAAAACAAAGTTTAAAATAAAAATTATTATTATAAATATATAAAAATAAATTAAACTTTTATTTTTTATTTAATAAATTATATTTAATTTAAAATTAATTTATATAATTTTAATTTTATTTTATATATATTTTAAAATATATATAATACTTTTATATAATAATAAATATTTAAAATTTAATATTTAAAAAATAATATTAATATAATAAATATAAACTATTTATATTTTATATTTTTAATTTTATTATTAAACTAAAAATAAATAATTAAAATTTAAAAATAAAATATAATATATCTTTTAAAGATTAATTTAATTAAATTTATTATATAAAACTTTTATAATAACTTTATAATTATTTATAATATTATTTATTATTAAAAGATACCTTTCTATATTAATATATTAAATTATATTAGTTTAAAATAATATTATTAACTTTAATATAAATTAATTTATTAAAATAAAAGTTATTATAAATTATAAACTATTTAATCTAATATTAATAAATACTATATATAAGTATTAAAATTTACTATATAACTTAAATCTTTAAATATAAATTAATTAAAATAAGTAAAAATAAAGCTACTATTCCCTTAAAGGTTCTAACTTTACTTTATAAATAAATATCTATTTATTAACTCTACTATATTATAAGTAAAACTATTTAAAAGTAGTTACTTAACCTACTATATTACTAAACTAAGAGATAATTAAATAAAGTAACTATACTCTATTATTTAAGTTTATAATTTTAATAACTTATAAATAAACTAATATCCACTTACCTAATAATTATATCTACTTACCTAGCTTTTTTTAATTACTTACCTAATATAAGAATTTATATATAAAGTTTATATAAAATTATATACCTAATTAAAATTCTTTAAATTTTTAATACTTTTAATATAAGCCCTTTTTAATATACCTTTTAGTATACCTTTTAGTATACCTTTTAGTATACTTTTTAATATCCCTTTTAACACTCTTTTTAATATCTCTTTTAGTACCCCTTTACCTTTACCTTTACCTTTACCTTTATCTTTACCTTTATTATTTAGTTTATATATATTTAAATACTAACTAAGTATTTAAATATTAACTAAATATTAAAAGGTTAAAAGTTAAGAAAATAAAAATAAAAATTATACTCTTTTTAACCTTTAATACCTTTTAACTCTTTAATACTTTAAACTTTTAACCTTTATTATTTAATTAATATTTAAATACTTAATTAATATCTAAATATATATAAATTAAAAGGCCTAAAAGATATATTAAAAGGTATACTAAAAGGTATATTAAAAGGTATATTAAAAGTATATTAAAAGGTATATTAAAAGGTATATTAAAAGAGCTTATATTAAAAGTATTAAAAATTAAAAGGAAATTATACTATAAAGTCTTTTAATATTAACTTAAAAGGTATTTATAAATATAAGATAATTATTTAAAAATTAATATTAAATAAATAGTTAATAGGAATTAAATAAATAGATATAATTACTAAATAAATAAATATTAACTCCTTATAAATAAAAAAATAATTATTAATAATTAAATTTATAATTATATAAAAATAAACCTTTACTTTAAAAAAGTTATTAATATTTAAAATAATTAATATATTTTTAAAAGTTAAAATATTATAAACTTAATTTAAAGAAAATTAAAATTTATAAAAATCTTAAACTTAAATTTAAAGGTTTTAATTTAATATTTATATTTATAAAAATAAAAGTATTTATATAACTTAAAAAAGCTTAAATTAAGTTAAACTAAATTATAATAAAAGAAACTTATTAAATAAAAATTAATTAAAAATTATAATTATAAATCTTTTAACTTTATATTAAAAAGAATATAATAAATATAATATAATAAATATTTATAATTTTAATTCTATAATATATAATTTATAATTTTACTTTTATTTTATATATATTTAAAGATATATATAATATCTTTATATAATAATAAATATTTAAAATTTAATATTTTAAAAATATAATATTAATATTAATAATTATAATATAATAAATATTTATAATTTTAATTTTATAATATATGAATAAAATTAAAAGTATTATTTAAATAATAATATTAATATAAAATAATAGATTATAGTAATTTAATTACTATAAATAATAATTAATTTATATATATATATATAAATTAAGTTTAATTAATAAAGTTTAACTAATCTAACTAAGTGTTTTATTATCTAATTAGATAGACCTTCTAATTAATATTAATATATACTATTTTATTTAATTATTTATATATAAGTTAAATTAATTAATACTAATTAATTATTAACTAACTTTTAATAATAAAATACTTAAAGCTATTATTAAAACTATTTATAAATACCTATAGATATTATAATTTAAAGAAGATAAAGTTTATAAATACTTATAAATATAATTTAAATAGAACCCTTTTATTAAATAAGTCTTATAACTCTCTTATAATAATCCTTTTTATAATATATTAAAAATTTAAAATTATAAATACTTATAATAACTTTTTTAATTAACTAATTTTTATAATTAATAATTTAAATTTATTTATTAAACCCTTAAATTAATATTTAATTATATATTAGTTAACTTATTTAGTAACTTATTTAGTAGATTACTTTATTAACCTACTTTATATTATTTAAATAAGTAACTAAGTAAGTAAATCCTCTTTATAATAACTCTCTCTCTCTTCTTTTCTCTCTCTTTTATAATATATTAAAAGAAATATTAAATTATAAATACTTATAATAGCCCTTATAATCTATTAAATAATCTCTTAAAGAGATTTTTATAATAACTATAATACCTATTAATTAATTTATTATTTATTTATAATATAATAAAATTATAAATTAAAATTATATATAATGTTTAAAATTATATTAATAATATTTATAAAAATTTATTTATTTAAATTAAATATTTATAATAATTTAAA